TAGGAGTTTTCCGCCGCAACCCATATTTCGGTGCCCTCTATCGAAAATATTAACAATTCCATGAACTTTGGATTGATCATTCAATCACAGAGTCGGTGCGTACCTGGTGTGACGTCTAACACATCAACATTCTTCACGCTTTCATACGCCACCTTGATGTCGTCTAAAGCATTGACGTCAGACAAACTAACTCCCTTGGTCTCCATTCCATTAATTCCAGTCGTTCCAGTTTTCTCAGTCCGCATGACTTTCAATATTGTATCATGAAGTTGTTCATGCTGTCTCCGGAAGGTACGCAAAAATGTGATACGCTCCTGCAGCTTCGCATGGACAGGATTGATCTTAATGGGAAGAAATTTTTCTGATCGCTTCCTTGTAACATCCCGGGCGACATTTGTGAACTCCTTCACCTGATCGTCCCATGTCCGAAATACGTCCTCACATCCACCAGAGGCTTTTTCAAAGTCGTCGTATGCCATATACATCATGCGACGTGTACCTAAGACTCGGAGCAGCTGTTCATTCAGATCGCGCGAGATGGCTTCGACAAGAGGTAGTGCGCGTCGAATAGGGTACGGCGACAACTTCAGCTTTTTCGTCAAGTGGTTGAAGATGAGTATCAACGATTCCTGAATCTTCCGGATGTCGGTCGCCGAGAGCAGCTCATTCAAGGGGAAGTCCTTCATAAGAATGTTATACTTTTGAACCTTCTCCACAGCGTCCTTCATGCCAGTATCCGCATAAAAACTGACGGTCGCATGAAATCGCTTTGCGTGCTTCAGTATGTCCAATGTCAGCTGCACCTGATCGCTCTTCAGCTGTTCTTCTATGGATCCCAAAGCCCTCTCCATATTCAGCCAGAAATTGATTTCTTGACTAGCATTACCCGACGCCGGGTCCCTAGAAAGCTTCGTAACCTTCTGGATCTCTTTAATCCAACCATTCACATCGGCTTGGAGTTTATTTAAAACGGCAGAATCGTTTATAACATCGCCAACGACGTCGACATTCACCCGCCTCCCTTGTTCGTGGCAGATTTCGGCAGCTCGCTGCACTACAGGGTTGAAATTAAGTATAACGTCAGGAATTTCAACATTTTGCTGCAACTGTAACAAGGACAGCTCCAGCTCTGCGATTTTCTTTTTCGCCATTGGAATGCCTAATTAGAAGAATGCATCATCAATCAGATGTTGGAAGATCATTTAATGAGGAAGCAATCATACCGGTTTTATTGTCCTTATCTTCTCTCCCATGCCGATCAATACTAGACGCGCTAACCCCCTTTGCCGCAGCAAAGGCATCAAAGAAAGGGGAGACAGCATTGTGGATATAAGAGTGAAGAGCTTCGTAAGGGTTGCCACCCTCACCCGGGCCAGGTAGATTGATAAGTTGCAGCTGCTGTTGCAAGGGTCGAGCGATTTCGACGGTAGAAAATCTTTTGATGACGGCGAGGGAAGCCACTTGTCTAGGAGAGTATACAAGATCCAATCGAACGGTTATCCTGAATGTTTGATGCGGTGTGTCCCCTGTAGGTACGTTAAAAATTCAGTTAACCCTAGCAATGCGATGATCACCACCACACTACGACAAGCGCTACCTTCTTGTTTCTCAGGCGGTTCGGCTTGTTCCTTCACAATGTACAAGACCTGCACCTGGGGGTCGGTACAAAATCGGCCGGCTTTCTCGATGGCTTCCGCAGAGTTAAGTAAACCATCTCTATCAGACGGGTCCCATTCTAGTACAAGTGGAAGCAGTCGCTCGACATGGTGCAGCAAGGCTGTCGGTTCAACTGTCCCACTAACGAGTCCATCGCTTGCAGACGCGACAGACTCTTCCTTAACCTCATCCATGGCGTTCCCTGAGATGGGTTATATAAGGCTTTGCCCAACAGGAAAGGAACGGTGTGTATCCACCTACCCGCCCTTTTTATCCACTTTTCACAGTCGCAAGTCAAATACGACGCGCAGTTCTGATATTGGGTACCGTTTGCAACGTCGCTACGTTCTTCTGCTCCCTCCCAGTGCAAGTATGTACCCACGATCAGAGTGATCTCGTGATGGAATTTGGGGAAACGGCAAGCTTTATGGAATGGTGCAGGGTGACTCACTAAACTTGGACCATCCGCTTATGTGATCATGCTGCGCATAGGAACAAGAGGCTGCAAAGCGCTTGAAAATCCACTTCACTACCCATTCCCGCCATTATTACAAAATGGACAATTGCACATTAATGATATGAATAAGGATGCTATTATCCAATCCTCAACTTTGTACATGGGTTCAGAAATGGACGTAAGAAAATTACACCCCAACCCTTTATACGACGGTACCCGAGCTGGAGGCGATCTTGGGCCACAAATCTGCGCACTCTTTACCGACGGGACCAGTAATTGCCGAACCCTTCATTTCACCTTTGGGGTTGACGATAACACCTGCATTGTCTGTGTAAAAAAAAAAAAAAAAACCAACAATCAATCGTAGATCGGATCCAAAAATATGTGGCAACAATAGAAACCTACCCTCAAAGTAGAGGTAGATGCCATCCCTACGGCGCCAAGGCTTCCTCTGACGGATGACAACGGCGGGCATAACTAAAATAATGACGGTCGGACAAATCAGTTCGCCATTTCGAAACTCAAATGAATCTGCTTCCTGTCGCCCACTATCTGTTCCATGCCCTGATACCCCCTTTCCGAGGGAGTAAATGGCATAGCTCCACCCCCCCCCCTACAACAACACAGCCAGAAAACCCACCCTTCTTTCTCAGATCCGGCTTTCCCTTCTTCACGGTGGCGAGGACCATGTCGCCGACACCAGCGGCAGGCAAACGGTTCAAACGTCCCTTGATACCCTTGACGGAGATGATGTAAAGGTTTTTCGCTCCAGAGTTGTCAGCACAGTTCATGACTGCACCGACCGGGAGACCAAGGGTCATCCGGAATTTGTTGCCCGAAGCTGCAAGAATGTTGATGTTATAACTAGCTTGACGACTGTCGTCAACCACTCATTTCCTTCAATCAAAACCCACCTCCAGAACGTCCTGTGTTGTGAATCCGCAGAGAATTTGAAATCGAAGAGAAGGGAAATTAGCTCATGGCCTTGTATGATAACCTCCGTCCTTCCATCCATCCATCCATCCGTCTCTGCAATCAGCGCCAGCCCGAAAGCATTCAGTCGTTCATCTCTCCTCCATCATTACTGACCTCTCTTCGACATGGTTTAGGGATTTCTTGCGCACCTAGCGAGTTAGGTATGGCAATAATGTGGGTGGCAAAAGGACGGATTGCAGCTGCATCGTTCCTGCAACCTTCGTTCTCCAGTATGGTCACGTGTGTTTACTAAGCTCAATCAATGGCACAGTCATGAAGCACTCATCCAGTGTATTACTAGCTTACACCAAATAAACAAAAGGCGAATTACTAGTGATTTTTAAGAGGTTAACCACCTGCCTCCCTGTCATCAATCACTAGCACTTCTGTACCCCGAGCTAGCCCGCTCTCTTTCATTTCCAATCCTCCTCCATTTTCCTCGTCCCCTTCGTCCTCATCGTCTGCTTCATCCTGTCCGTAAGTCAGAGCAAATTGCCTCAATCTCTCTCGTTCTGCTTTCACGCCCTCATCTTCCTCGTCTTCACTCGCCTCGTTTGATGTCATGTACATATCGTCTGACGATGCACCAGGCGATCTCAGACCATATGGCACGAACGCACTCCCCTCTGGAGGAAATTCGTGTCCCGATGCTTGTGAACCGCGTCCTCCAACACCCCACCGGAACCACTCTTGTTGCTGTGGCTCGTGTTCGACCGCCCCATTTTCCATATCAATGTCCGGGGAGAAAAGTGATGGAACATGTTTACCATGTACATCCAGGTAGTCCGAAGATGACTCGCCACCGCTCAAGGGAGACCGGCGTCGCCCTCGCAAGGGTTTCGACCGATTACCCGTCGTGGAGGGCCTGGTGCTATCCTGCTGGGCAGCACCATTGACGGCACATTGGTCCTTTCCTTTTTTCACGAGTGCTTCGATCGCTTCCGCTACGAAAGTTTGCGAACATTACGACGACGATATCTGGATCGCAAACGGGTTCCCGAGGAGGTTACTTACATGGAACGCTGGGCATGCTCTTCGTCCTTCTTCGCAGCCCTGCGGTGAGATTGTGGAAAGAAGATGACAGCTTTCTTATCCGATCGCGTATTCGGCTCTGTGCGAAATGTAATTAGCTCCATCATACTTACCACACGAGTAACATAAAACAATGCGCACCATGATGGTCACAGCCCCACGGACATCTTCGTCCGTCACCTGGACGGGAGCACCATACTGTAAAGTCGGATCCGTCTGTTGCAGCCATGCTTCACGTTCTTCAGGTGTTAAGTCGGCTGTGGTCCAAGGATGAAGCTAAATAAACGCAAATTGAATTGTTGTCCTACATCTCTGCACCAGGTCCAGTTCCTGCATGCGCGCACCTTGGTCTCTTCTAATGTTATTCTAGTTGATGGATCCTTATCTAATAGCTTGGTGAACAAATCCCGTAGATCGTCCGTAATGCGTATGTGACTCGGAAACTCTAGGCTTCGTGGCAAATACCGGTTACTGCCGTTCATAACCAGACACCAAAATACTACAGACTTACGTCTTCTTACTGATCACATTAAACAATTCAAACTCTGTCTCCGCCATGAAGGGAACCTGTCCAAATATGAAGCAGTATAAAGTAACTCCCATTGCCCAGATGTCGATCGCTTTTCCAATGCGAAGGTGCTGGAGGGGTGGAGGAGGGGGGTTCGGCGTTGGGGGTGAGGAAGGTGATAAAGGGACATCGACAGCGGATTGCACCAATTCCGATTGATCATCTTCGCCTTCCCGCACAGGTTCAGTACCAGCTGAAATACCCATTTTAGATGAAGGCTGCTTGTTTAGCACTGGGATGCGACTAGCCTGCTGAGGCTGGCCCAGCTCAGCTTGGACTTGATCCGTAACGTCCCCGGAGGACGTTTGCCGTGACATCGGCATGGGGGTTCCAGAAGTCCTATTGCCGCTAGCGAGTGCTCCAGTATCGGAGAGAGCAAATGATGATTGATTGGACAGGCCCTTCATGGGTGTCCCAGGTCCTGCACTTTCTGCTGGTGCAGTGCCACTAGATTGGCTATCACTGGGATTGGTACCAAACGCGTTGAATGGTCGGCCCGGCACGGCGAATAGACTTGAATTTGACCCGAAATCTTCATCAGTCATTCCGCACATCTCTGGGGCAAAGAAAGCAGGAGTGCCCGCTGTTTTCGCCAGTTCCAGCTCGTTACTCCGTTCCTGTTCTTCGCTCGCCTCGTGGTCGTCGTGTGAGAACTTTGGCCTGACCACGACACTGACTCCAAAATCGGATATTTTAACCCTCCCGTCGCCTGTCCAAAGGAGGTTCGCTGGTTTGATATCTCGGTGGACAATTCCTTGATAGTGCACTAAATAGTCACTTAGCTAACAAAGCAGGCGAAGGGAACTGAAATGAAATAAAGAGCCTGTACGCACAGTATTCAATACCGCATATAACATCTCTAAATATGCGTCGGCCATCGTCGATGGTCAAGATTGGCCTTGGTGGATCTGAATTATCATGCCATCGTATATCACCGCCAGCAAGATACTCTAATACTGCATCCTTGCGGTAGAAGGACAAGCCCGCACAATGAGGAACCAGTAACCGCACTAACAAATCCCAAAAATTTCTAACATACCCAAGTAGATTTTCTCCGATGCAGGATCATCTATGACCTCCTTCAGAGCGACAACATGTGGGTGATTGCACTTTTTGAGAATTGCGATCTCGCGCTTTATTTTTTCAAGCTCCGGGTTACTCGGTGGGACTTTTCCGTTCTGCTCAATATCAGCGGCCGCAAGGCGATTCGAAAGTAATCGACTTTGAAAGCGTGGCCGTGCCTTCTTTTGGACAATCTTCAAAGCCTGCCCAGAAACCGAAATACCAGATCAGCATCGATTGCTGCAATCGCATGAGGTAATGGATTACACTTACCCATTCCTCGCCAGTCTCCATATCAACACAGAGTTTTACTTTTCCGTGGCAACCCCTTCCAAGCTCTTTGACGATCATGTACTTATTTATAATCTTGTTCCCAGTCTGCGGGTCGTAGTCCCTAACCATTACATGAGTCTCTTTTACTGGTTCGCCCGCCGCAGATGAAGGTCGTCTACTGGATGGCCCCATCGTGAAGGAGTTGGATTTAGAGACGGATGATGGGGATCGGGAAATCAGGCTGTGCTTGGAGGGCGAGCGAGCAGGGGAGGAACAAAATTCAGCGGACGAGCGGCTTTGCGATGGTGAGTTAAACGGTTTCAAGCGGATACTACTCAGGCCACGGCTGGAGTGAGCGGGAAGGTCAATACTTGAGTTGCTGATAGGGCTGGAGTGCGAAGGACTTGGTCCCAGCGACGGAGATGATTTGGTGTCGAGAGGTGTGAGTATTTGCTCTGCAGCAGGGCTCGAGAGTTCGCCTTTCAATAAGCACATGATGAAGATGAGAGAGTTATAACAGTAATATTAATTGAATAAGTATTTTTACCAGTTGATGCCCTGCTTTTGGAGTTCCGTAATTTTGACAACGCCAGCCGCAAACCTCCATGCTTGGCTGGCAATGAACCCAAGATGTCGTTTTTTTGGTCCGAAACCCCAATCAGATCACTACTCGCTTTAGTTGAATGCGATCTTACTCCCAAACTTAAGGAGCCCCATGAGGGTGTGCTGCCATCGCTGTAAGCATAGTGACAACATATAAATATTGGTGCACAGGATCTAAGCACACAGATATGAATGTCCCACCTGCCGGCATTCTGCGAAGAATCTGACGCCGACGAGACTTGAGAGGAAAAGGATGTCTGCTTTACCAATCTCGCTGATTTTCGTCCAGAAAGGCTCAGTCCGTGTGTAGATTGCGACCCTTCAAAAGAAAAGACATCTTCTCCTTCTTCATCAATGTCAGGAGAATCTCGGCCGCTGGTCAACACCGGGTTGGCATAACTTGCATCTCCGGGAGTGTCTTTCTTCATCCACGCGTCTTTTGGTACACTGGACGCAAGAATACGGTCTGAAGACTGTTGCCCTCTTTTGCGACCCCAAAGTTTACCAAGTGAGGCTGAACGTGCGGTACGCACATTATTTTCTCCAAGTGATTTTTTGGGTTTGTCGGTGGACGGTGACTCGCTGAAGGTGCGGCGAGGACTGGCCTTCCCTGGATGTGCCGTGTGATTTTGAGGGCTCATTCAGGTGATAGCCGACTAAACGAGACTTCCATAAGTTGAGACTTGGTTTTGCAGGTCAAGTCTTCACCTGTCGGTGAACTGTTCTCGACGGTCAACGTCGACGCGAGGAGTTGGAGCGAAAACGTTCAGCACGGGCACCTACTTCACCAGTCGTCCTAACCGTATGCGGAGAAAATATGTCACCCTAAGTGGTATCCAAGTGGGTAAGATGGTCAAATAAATTAATGCGCTATAGTCGAATGGTAAAAGAGTGGGCACCAGAAGATGGTCGTGGCTGGACCCAAGCTTGATCACGTGCGCACCTTGTTGTTGACGTCCTGCTCGACGTGGTGAAGTTGCACTAGACTTTTTGTGGGTTATCTTTCGTATGCATCCTGCATAACAATGTCCCATACTTTGAAACCTCCGAAACGAAAGTCTTCCGCAAAGGGCATCGGTGCTATAGACATTGACGATGACGAAGGGCACGACTTAATGGGAGCATCCGGGCAGGGATACTCTTGGGAAGAAGAGTATAAGCGAAGTTGGGATATTTTGCAAGAAGATGAGCAGGGATCTCTTCAGGGGGTTGTGGCTTCCATTCAGCAGCAGCTCAAACGCCGAAGGTGAAGCAATTGGAGAGACCAAATCACGCCGGAAGTACAACTCACATTTGATCTCTCCGTTCCCAGACTACATCGTGACACGGCGACAGTTCAACGAGGAATTATTCGGCACCTGTATTTAGTAATAGACCTGTCGCGCGCTATGGCGGAACTCGACCTCAAGCCTTCGCGGATTGAATGCACCATGCGATTAGCTGAAGAGTTTATTGGAGAATATTTTGACCAGAATCCGTTGAGTCAGTTGGGCATCATCATTACTCGGGATGGTTTAGCAGAACAGCTCACAGAATTGACGGGTAATAGGGCTTCCATATGATGATAGTGTGTGACCACTTGATTAACCTGCGATCCAGGAAACCCCACGGACCACACCTCAGCTCTCCAAAAAAGATCTAATCGTGAACCTAAAGGAGAGCCCTCACTTCAAAACGCATTAGAACTAGCGCGAACGTCGTTGGCGTACGTATCATTCCCTGTGCGTATTGGCAATTTTCTCTTAGAAGATTCTCCGCCTAAAGAGACGCAAATACTACCTTCTTCTCATCAGGGGTTCTCTTTCTATCCAGCCATGTTCCTTCTCACGGTTCTCGGGAAATCCTAGTACTGTATGCTTCTTTAACGACCTGTGATCCCGATAATATCTTGGACACTCTCGAGTCATTGAAGAGGGAATGCATTCGCGTGTCAATGGTTGGACTGTCGGCGGAGGTGCAAGTGTGCAGAACAATATGTCGCGAAACCAAAGGTCGTCTTCATGAATTTCACTTTGTGGCTGCCTGGCACTAAATTTAAACGTTCAGGAACCTACAACGTGGTATTGAACGAGATGCACTATAAGGATATTCTTTTTGAGAACATTCCACCACCCGTCGCAACCGCGCAGCGTACGGCAAGCCTTATACAAATGGGGTTTCCAACCACTAGAACGTATGAGGAACCAACATTATGTGCATGGTATGTCAAAAGGTCATCGCAATCTTACAGTAAGCGCTAGCTCTTACGGTCGGCCCCAGTCATCATAAATTGATACGGAAAGGTTACGTCTGTCCGCGCTGTTCATCAACGGTCTGTGAAATCCCTACCGACTGCCCTGTCTGCTCCTTGACGCTGGTCTCAAGTCCATTACTGGCGAGGTCGTATCACCACTTGTTTCCAGTCGAGAACTACAAAGAAATAGGTTGGGCCGGAGTACTTAGGTGGGTCGTCCCCAGGCATTAGCATATTTTTGACTTCCACTGACAATGCCTCTCTATAGCACGATGCCTAAGCATTGCTTCTCGTGTCTAGTGCCCTTTCACGGGCCCCCGCAATCCATGTCTCATCGAAGGTTGTCTACAGCAGGCAACACCGGAGGAGGAACGGCTATAGGTATAGGAAGTGGAAGATTCGAATGCCCCAAGTGTAAAGAGCAATTCTGTCTGGAGTGCGATGCGTATGTGCATGATGTACTCCACAATTGTCCTGGATGTGTAAACAGATAGTGACTTCACAATGAAAAAGCCAGTGGTTGGATGGTCCATACTCTCAGAACGCGGTTGTGGCACAGCAGACATGTCTCGTCAGCATCGACGACAACAATGCACAAAATACAGAAGTAGACCAGCAAATTGGACGCTTGATTGCGATTCCCCCATTTCCTTTCTGCGGCTAGATTATGCTCACGATGATACCACGGAGAGTTTCCCCGAGTAGTCCGCAGACGGGGATATATTTTGGATGATGATAGACGTGAGAAGGAGTTAGCGAGCCGTGGAGAGCGGTTGAGGGGTGAGGAGTAGCCTGGACGCAGTGTGACTGGCTGAACACATGGCTTCATGTCAAGAGGGCCCAGCACTCGTAGTTATTCAAACTTGGAATTGCAGTGCGGTTGTTGAGCCAGTTTATCTGATCATTTTTTTTTTTTTTCGCTTTTCAAACAATACCACTTCCATGCATCCAATGATATAGGGTAACACGGTACGTCGACTGACCATTCTTCAGCAGATGCAATGAAAAGTCATTCTACGCAAAATAATGACGCCGAAGAAGTCATTCGTATGTTCCCGGATACCATTGATAAGCCAGCCTTGACAGTTGACATCGAAATCTTTGGTCACAAAGACACAGCGCATTTTAAAGGGGCAGCTGGCCAGCTGTCGAGGAAAGGAACCCTGATTTGCTGATCTGTGCAAAAACCTCCGACGAGGATCTGGTATTTTGCCGCGGGTTACATCATATATTCAATAATCCTCCGATGATATTTTTAAATGAATCTCAGATGCAGCTGTTGTTTGGCTTCGATGAACTTTGGTATCCCCTGTAGCCCACTCTGTATACTGGCAAAAGTTCCACAAAAGTAGACTGCGAGCCTAGTCAACTAGGAAAAAAAATGAAATCTAGCATCGATTCGACGCAAACCTGTATTGCAACACCGAATTATGCCGGTTTCGTACCCAATTTGAAGCACCAGTACGGTTTAACATATGGCAATGCCACCCGTCATATTCTTCGAACGGATCCGACGATCAAAAGTGGAATCATTCAACAGTCCATTGAAAAGCGACGTGGACTTTCTCAGGATGCTGGAGACCGACTGAAAGAGGATGTAGTCGTCAAGGTGAAATGCGAAGGCGACGATGCTGCCAAGTGGGTTTGGTCGACAGCCAAAAAGTATGCTACCGGCGATGATAGATTTTCATTCCCTCCTGTCCCGGGGTACACAGGTGAGTAATCATATACCTGCTTGTATTCAATGGATTGTATCTCGGTCGCCTCACGCTTTTCACAAGGTTATATACCTCGATCTCAAGAACATTTTGGCAGACCCTATGTGGAAACTACAAATGCGTCGTTGACAGATTTTCATCAAATGCTTAAAACAAAGGCCACTCTCCCGCACCGCATCGAAGCCATTCAGCAACACAAATCGCGCAACACAACCCAGCGACCAGTGCAGACAAAACGGTCCTTCTCGCGCAGTGTGCCTCATGGCGGCGGATTTGCTGCTGGAAACGCAAGCGGCGCATCCGGATTTGCTCCAGTCCCTCCCCCCGCCGGACGATCGGCTGGCAGTGCAAGTTCTCCAATCGATGATATGAGCCCGTACAAACTCCCGCAACATCATCCACAGAAAACGTTCATTTCTGGATATACGGGCTTTGTGCCTAGGCTGCAGAATCATTTTGGCGAGGTAGGTAAAGGATATGATATCTGATGTTTCTAAACCATTGCATACTTATTGGAAAGTCAAATAGCCGTATTCGGATAATGTTCGGGAAGCTTTGGACGAATTTACCGCTCCACGTACGCGTCAGGATCCGTACAAACACATCAAGGAGCAGAGCGCGGACACCCCGGCAACTTATGTGAGTCCCAAAGACACAGTTAAAGTGAATGTGGGGAAGGCAAGACCAATTCCCGGTACGTTTACGAAGACTTTTGCTTGTGCGATGTCATTGTTCTCGTTGGTTAATCAATGATTACCTTCAGGATTTACGGGATTTATACCTGGGAGTCGAACATACTATTCTGCAACATTCGCAAAGACTGCTGAGGTTGCTTATGAGCAGTTCAATAATCGGGATGGTAAGAGGTAGGTTTCGTGGAGAACTGCTTGAGATCCCCACAGCAGACATTGACTTGGACGCACAGCCATGCCATAAGTCAGCCCCCTTCTCTTCCGCCAAAGGACTTGGCCAAATCGCAGCCAATTCCAGGATACCGTGGACATAGTATGATACTTCTCTGTTGATGGTATTGCGACCAAACTGAATACTGATCATCAATTTTGTGCAGTCCCTACGTTCATATTCCAAGGGGACCGCCCCTACGGAATCTCCTCAAAGGCTTGCATAGAAGCCTTTGATCGGGAACGTGCGAGGTACAATCGTGAACAGGACATGTATAAAGCCAAGGAGGCTGCTGAGAAGATTCGGCGACACAACGGGGTCACGGTTTGATTGCGGGCTGATGACTTTTGAGGAATACTTGACTAGTATCTCTTCTCAATCCTGTGTACTTTTTTGTGGAATTGCCATCTGGCGGGTATTGTTGGATGGAAGAAAACGCATGTCATTCAAAATAGTGTGCAGGTGGTAGAAAATGTCACTAGGGACACATTCTCCCTCCAACCCACTACAGCCGGTTCTAATTTACAATTGGCCAGCCTGTCCAACCCTTCATAACCTATCCTGCAAACCAGTCCCACCCCTATCCTAACTCGCTACAGGTTCCAGCCTGGGTTGAACTGGGGTATGTGCAAAGCTAACTACTACTAGGCCCAACACATGCAATACATTACGGTTGTTCTAACCAGGTAACTAAGCCCACCACACGAGAGAAATCCTACTAAGCCCTTGATTCTGAAATTCTTTAGTTGGAGGATGTTCAGATACTAGGTAGATCAGAATTAGACTCGGAATACGCGTGGGAAAATACAAAGATAATGCATACCTGCGATCGTAGCAATGTAGTAGTAGCAGCATTTGCAAGGGGTTATGTTGTTGTTGTCGGGAGGACGAGGTCCTCGACACCAGAGCAGCATTCTGATGATGGACTTGAGAGTGCTGCGTGAGCGTTGCGCAGATGCTTCAAGAGTCGAGGATGGGTAAAGAGGAAAGGGGAAAGAGACAGAAGGACCCCTTTTTATAGACCTTTGGCATGCGCCTCACCACAGTTTGGAGGAAAAAAAAAACATTACATTAGCATGCCTCACCGCTTTGAGCGATAGATGGGGGTGCTGATTATACGATATGATTAACTGGATTATCCGGATAATAATGAGTTCTAGTGCCGTTTTCAATCACCTCCACACTAAATATCCAAGGATCTGTTGATGCCGTCAGCAGTGATTTCATTATTTCCTTTTTTGGATAGAGAAACAAACGTGACGCGGGTGATATCCGTTTCGCTGACCAGCCAAGCAAGCGTTTTGAACTTTTGATTTTCCAACTGCAGATCTTCCGTTCACCATTGCCTTTGTTTTTGCAACTGCCCCATCAAGATCATTGAGGCAGGGATTCTACCGTCTTCTGCTGTCCTGAGCTCTTTAAGAATAAACTCTGCTGGTAACAAACCAGAAGTCTCGCCTCGATCATCAACCATAGGCGAACCAGCGAACATTTCTGCGAAAGCTTCACTCCTGCCTGTTCTTGTTCCTTGATCGGATTATATCGCTTGATATCACGTAGCGCTCGCTATTCAGACTGAAAGAATTGACAATTGGCGATTTCCTACAAACGTTGCCTCCATTTGACCTCCACCGCCCGATTCTGATCTCGCAAGTTCCTGTTCCCCTTCTTTCTAATACTACTGCAGCGTTGCAGGAAGGCTCCTCTCTTACACCCTCGCCTTTCTACGGTACTGATTCTAACATAGCTGCATGTAGATAATATGTTATTTGGTAGTTGATACAAGGCTGTTCTCTGCCCTAAAAGCCCTTACTGATATACCCCCTACCTTTCCGACCTTCTGCACGTAGATCTTGTATAGTTGTGAGTTAGGCTCTCTCACGTTCCCGCTTCCACTTCCTATCGCTTTTCCTGTCCCCTTTTCTGATTCGTCGTCGTCATGTCATTCGCACTTTCCCCGGATTCTCCGGATCGTAAGAGGTCGCTAGAAGCGGAGACGTCATCCGATGAAGACGAAACTCGAGGGGGTCGGTTCAAGCGCCAGGCTCTGAATGCCGACGCCGTAGATCGGGCGCCGAGGTATGCAGTCATCAAAGATGAAGACTCGGCAAAGTCACTGCCACATGAGGAGGGCGGCGAAAAATCTCCCCCGGCAGCGTCGGATAGTATGAGGGAAGAACATACAGCAGTTGAAGGCGACTCCTCCATGGAAAGTAAGCTGGTGTGCATGCGTGCATTGATATCGACAAAGGAGGCTGGGGTGGTGATTGGCAAACAGGGACGAAATGTCGCAGATATCAGACAAAACTCCGGGGCCAAAGTCACAATATCGGAACTGATACATGGTGCACAGGACCGTATACTCAGCGTTACCGGGCCGCTTGATCAGGTGGCCAAAGCCTTCTCGCTGGTTGCCGAGAAAATGGTATCAGAGTTGCAAGCGGGCAGTGAGATATCTGTCGGGGAGCGACAAACGAATTTGCGAATTTTAGTTCCACACACGAAAATGGGCTGGCTTATTGGCAAGCAGGGATGCAGAATAAAGGAAATCCAAGGATACTCCAATGCTCGCGTAACGGCACACGAGGGCGTCCTACCCGGTAGCACGGAGCGAATCATTCAAATTCTCGGTGTCATGGACGCCATTCACATTGCAATATATCACATCGCATCTACACTACAGGAGTATCCTCAACGCGACAATTTTGGCTTTGTTCCGTACAGACCCCTACCGATGCAGATGCCGCTGCCTCTTGGTGGAATACCTGGTGCCCCGCCCTACGCCATACCCGGACCACACGCGTTTTTCCCACCCATTCCACCCGGCGCTATGCTACCTATGCCTCACCACCGCGGTGCCCCCGCACCCCATCTTCCCGTTCAGATGCAACAGATTTTCATTCCAAATGACATGGTCGGTGCTATTATCGGTAAGCAGGGTAGCAAGATCAACGAGATACGACATCTCAGCGGAAGCCAGATCAAAATCATGGAACCCCAGATGGGAAGTAGCGAACGATTAGTTACAATAACCGGAAATCCAGAACAAAATCAAATGGCTCTTTACTTATTGTATTCCCGTCTGGAAAGCGAGAAGGCAAGGATGCAGGGACATGTACGATAGTCACTTGATATTCGGAGTTGAGATGACGGACAGTTAGACAGGCTCTCTGTTGCAAGGCTTGCTAGATTTATATGTACAGTCATCCTTGACAACACGGTCAAGGGTTTTTGGAGGAGGTGTCCCAACAATATGAGATATTTGCAGGACAAAATGAATAAATATGCAGGAGTGTGCAACAATAGTTGCTCAGCCCTCCTGTCCATCTGCTTCCTCGTCGACATCTTTTGTATCTTGCTCCTCACATAAACCAACTTGTTCTTCGTCCAATTCACTCCCGTCATCATCATCATCATCATCATCTAGAATGATCTGTCCGGTGTCAAAGTCGCATTCCAACAGTGGCACGAGCTGCGTCTTGTGGCGAATTTTGTAGTATACAAATAATGAGATGAAAACTGGTAATCCGACTAGAATGAATCCTCGATTAGGATTTGGGTTCATGTATGGCAACAGACGTCAATTATGAACACGTACGGTACACAGCCACAATATTTTGAAATCGGAATGGGCGAGTAGCAAATGCAGAGTATCCCTATCATTCAGAGAGACGTCGTCGACTCAGCAAAGAGCCTATAAACAAAATCAAAGTTGCGTACCTGTCCAAAAATAATTAAACAGGCCAATACAACGGAGAGCCACTGGCCATAGGGGAAGAATGGAGCCTTGTAAGGTAAGTCCTCAATTCGGCGGTTCTGTGCTTTGTACGCTGCTCGAAAGCGTAGGTGAACAATGGTTATGGATAGCCAGGTCAGAATGCCCGACATGCCCGTTAGGTGGAGGAGCCAGGTGAACAGAAGGCCATCTGCAAAGAATGGTTTGAAGCGAGCGTGGGTCGAGTGAATAAAAGATCACAATTGGGTCGCAGCGTAAACAGAAGGTTTGACCTAGGACTTACCTCCCCATATTATTCCCAAAAATGCAAGACAACCTACGGCTGTTGTCACAGCCAGACTCCACAATGGCACCCCATTCGACGCTACCGCTCCTAGAAACTTTGGCGCTTTGCCTTCATTTGCCAGCGTCATCAGTGTACGCGACGCTGCATAAATGGCACTGTTCCCGGCACTCAGGACCGCCTTCAGAGCAAAAAGGATATTAGAATGGCCGACCAACGGGAGTTCGCCATGAGACATACAGTAAAGATCACCCCATTCATAACATGAGCAGCAATCGTAAGTCCAGCTTTTTCAAAGACACGGGTGAATGGAGCTATCTTGATATCGTCTGTTTCGGCAGAATCGAGCAGAGATGGGTCGTCATTACGGATAACAAGGCCAATGATGAAGATGGTTGAGATGTAAAAGAGTCTAGCAGGAACGATCTAAATGGTTAGATAAGAGCCCATGTTTCACGGACAAAGAAGTCAACATACAGTATCCGCCAGAAGGTTTGATTGATAGCTCTACCATATATGCGATAGGTAAGTAAATACAGGGATATTCACTGGTCGAAGCATAAGGTAGCATACTTCGGAACAGTCTTTCTAGGGTTCTTCGCTTCCCCCGCAGTGATACCCACTAGTTCTGATCGCACATAAAGTGAGTCAACTCGTGCAAACAAGGACCAGACGAACGGTATCCGTACCAGTGCCGCCGAAACTGAAAAATGCAATTACAAACACATTGAAAACACCCAGGATACCATTCTTGAAAGGAGCACCGGGTATAGTCCAATAGGTAAAGCCAGTGCCAGGCTCAGATCCCAGCCACCCTACATCAACAGCCAAGCCAACAATAACAAACACTGGAGACATTGATCAGACTCACATAGTGAATCGATCCTATGCTTTCATGAAATACCTATCACTGCAACCACTTTTATGGCGGATAACTAGTGCGAAAGGTTGATAAGCAAAATGAGTCCAAATGACAGTAATTTGCCCACAACGTAGCGTAGGCTTACCCAATACTCCGACTCGCCAAACCCTTTCACACTAACCACATTCACCGCCACGAGGGCTGTAAGAATTGATCCAGACCAAATCCAAGTCGGGACGTTTGGAGTCCAGAAGCCCATGATGATGCCCAGAGCACTGAGCTCCGAAGCTTTTGCGGTCACAAATGTCAGCGAATTTCTTATTTGTCTGAGCAGAAGACGGAGGCCGTTCTTACGTAGTGAGACCGCCCACTGTGCCCAGTCTACAGAACATTGTTGAGATGTCAAACGTACGAAGGATGCTGTCTGAAATTGAAGCGAGGCTTACAATTCCAGCCGAGAGTAAACGAATAGGCTGATATAAAAAAAATACGAAATTAAAAGGAAGCTTTTTAACAACGCACAATACTCTATTATGAAAATACAACATAGGAATAACGGAATCCAATTCTATTATACAGGACCTACCGGGATCTACGAATCGCCCAGCGTATGTAGCAAATGATCCCGAGACAGGTATTAAGGTTGCCATTTCCCCGAGACTTGATGTGATAAAAAAGACCATGGTGCCAACTTGGCGTGAGGATGAAGGTCAGCCCATCTCCGACGAATATCTTCTGCGTCAAGTGATGTTTTCTCCACCAGGGATCTCTTTCCTTACCAATAAAAAATGCAACAAGTGCTCCCACTGGGCCGGCGAGAGCAATAGTTGCTCCAGAACCGACAAATAAACCGGTTCCTAGGAATGAGTTACTTGTCAGCAAGCGCCAGGCTGGCGGCTTGTTTCAACGCCTGAATGTGATGATGCTCTGCTCTAACAAGGTGCCTTGACAACGTTCTATCTCTGAGAGCCTAACCTATTGTGCCCCCAATCGCAATCATTTGCAAGTGTCTCGCTTCCAGTTTACGATGTACATGGCCGACCTTTGGATGTCGGACTCGCGAGACAGACGCTGGGAGTAATTGCTCGGATGGAAGGTCATATCCTGACATTTCTAAGGCAGAGGAAGAAGAACCCAGTGGTGTGGGAGGAGATTTCATGTCATCGGCAAGACATGGGGATTTTTGTGGCCGACAGTGGGCAAAGCGAGCGTTCTTGGTGCCATTGGTAAGTGAGCCCTTATTGTGACTGTGCCATGAAAAGTTGCCATGGTACGTAATTCTCACCACAGAGCACGTCAACGTCGGGAGCATCTTTAACGAGTTCACCTTTTCAATCGTTGGCACCATGCTCCCCGCTCGTCGCCTACTTGCCACGGCCGCCACGGCGCGCCCTTCCGTCATCAGTGCTATTCGTCGTCAGCATACCGTATCACCTGCGGCTCTTTCCCAGATTGAAGTAGGGATGCTGTCGGACCCGACAGATGGGCTTTTATGGATACTGACCTTTGAGCTTCCTTTTAGACCCGCTGGGCAAAGCTCCCCGAGTGTGAACAGGGAGCTATAGCTGATTACCTTGCTGAGAAGCAGAAAGGTGACTGGAAGAACCTGACTTTGGACGAAAAGCGCGCTGGTGAGTTGAGGAATGAATGAGCACAGGCTTGGGACAGTGTTACGTAGCTGAAGCTTGTGCTGATCTTGAGTCATTGTGCATGATTCAATGCTTTCCTGCCTATTTCAGCATACTGGATCGCATATGGTCCTTATGGAGCTCGTACGCCTATCGACCCCGCAATGAAATGGAAGGTCCTCGGATGGTCATCATTCTTCTTCAGCATTGCTGTTGGTCTCTGGGTTTACTGGACCAAAGATGGTAAACCCACTGTTTTGGAAGCGTGAAAACGAGGGCAGTCGTACTAAAGATGTTCATCCTAGTCGTCCCGACACTCCGCACTCACACCAAGGAATGGAAGGAGGAGGAAGAGCGTCGTGCTATTGAGAACAAGCAAAACCCTTACAGTGGTGTTTACGCCAAGTACCGCACGGAAGTCATGGGCGAAAAATAAATGTGAACACCATTTCCCACATAGACTGATAACCAATTTTTTTGATGATGTGCCAAAAAGTGATATCCAGGGCTGTGCAACATTTTGGCCACGGAAGCGTGTACAGGTCGGAGAACCTCCCTGAAATAGGATATGGAATAGAACAATGGAAGTGGATTACCGTCGCTTTCCGCTTCTGACGCACGGGGGGAGCTGTAAAACAGATTGTGAAGACGTCTTGACGGCGGTCCTGACATGAATCTATGCAAGTCATTAGGCTTCCTTTTAAAGACGCCATTAAGCGCACGATTTCATCTGCGTGAGGGATTTACCAGCATAATCGGAACCCATGTTCTTCCTTCGCCCCCATTTCACTGGAGAGAAACTCTTTCATGTATGTCTGATGGCATTAAAAGAATGCTCAGAAGTCACCTATGACCCAGAATCTCAGCGATGGATATCGTAAGCGTGGCTTTCAGAATCAGCTGTGCCACGTTCGAGTTGGGAGTTGAGATGTGGAGATCTGCACATGGAGGATTGGAGATGACTTTTCAGAAACCCGAGGGCCCCGAGCGGTTAGAGAACCGAATAAGAGCTTTAGAGTTCTTCTCCGGTATTGGCGGCTTGGTAGGTAACTTTTGACTTTCAGCATAGGTTTCGTGCATGTGAGTGTCGCGGACAAGATTTGTGACAATTTCTTTAGCATTATGGACTTGAATACGCTCACCCCAGGAGCGAAGTAGTTGCAGCCTTTGACATTAACGAACATGCCAATCTGTGCTACCATCACAACTTTGGACTCAAGCCTACCCAAACCGGGATCCAAACTCTTACTCCTAAGGCCGTCGATAAACTCCAAGCGAATTGCTGGGTAGGCTCGAGCATCTACAATTATTTGAATACATTTCTATCTGATAGGCGTTAATTTTTTTACAGCTCATGTCCCCTCCATGTCAGCCTTATACCCAAGGAGGTAAACAGCTAGATGATAAAGACCCGCGAGCGGAAGGGTTGCTACATTTGATTGAATTGCTCGGTCTTGTCCAGACGCCTCCTGAGTTTGTTTTTGTCGAGGTATGCAGAATGTGCTTAATCTCCTTTAGGCTTACATGACATCTCAAGTTGGATATTCATACTCACAATTAACTTTGCATCAAAGAATGTCCCGAATTTTGAGGTGCGAATGTAGACCCAAACCTGCTGCTACGTGCGGGCAAGTTGGTTGAACTTTGGAGGATGGCCTCCGGTTTAAAATCGTTCCTGAGACCTGTTGTGATCTTGGTTCCAGCTATCTCGTAGCCGAAAGCTCATGGTCGACAAACTGGACGAGCTCGGTTATGAGATTCATGAGTTTCTGGTGACTCCGCTCCAGTTTGGTATCGCTAATGATCGAAGGCGATATTACTTGACGGTATGCTCTTTCATAGCGTACCCACTTTCTCCATACTACTAGTGTATCCCGAATTAACCCTGCCATGTTAGGCTCGACGGGTTGGCCTGGCAAACGATAGTTCGAGGGAAGGAAAATACTCAGAACATGCAACGATCCACACGACTCCCTGGCCAAAATCGATATTCGGGAAAACAATGGAGAACGCTCCGCAGCCTCGAATGTTGTCTGAGTATTTGGAGGACTTGGATGACACCACGCTTTACAAAGTCCCTGATGTGTACATAACCAAGCGTCACAAATTTCGATTTGGTGGGTAGAATGGCTTGCTACAATTTGTCCAACGAGCTCTGATAACTAATGTCCCGCAGATATTGTGAATCCCTCGGATAGACGATGCTCATGTTTCACTAAGGTAAAATTGTAGATGTTCTAATGTAGCTTATGAGCCAATCTGCTATACGCTGACTCCCCAGGCATACGGGTCCCATCATGTCATTGGAAGTGGCTCCTTTCTTCAGACCGACAAGTTTGAGGTACGTGGCAATAGGCAGTTATTGTGGACACCATAAAAGCTCATCCAGCCTCCTATTATAGAAACCTCACAACTTTGACGATCCTACCGACTTGTTAGATCTCGGTTTGAGGTTTTTCACACCTACGGAAGTTGCCCGGCTGCATGCATTTCCTGTGGACGGAGAGGCCAATATACATCAATTCCTTGATGGAGGTGTACCTGCAGCCTCCAGGCACAAACTGATCTTCCCTCCCAATCTTACGACTATACAAAAATGGCGATTACTGGGGAACAGCTTGAATTGTCGGGTGGTGGGCGTATTGATGCGTGATGTATTATTTAAAATGAGATAGGTACAGTGGGAAGGATGCGTCAGGATTCAGCAGAGCTTGAAGGACTTAGGATGGGACTACGAGTCTGTTGCGCGAGGATTCGGTATGTCGGGTCCTGCAAAGCGCAAACAGTCCAAAGTATGCACCATTCGCTACGGCCAGGCCCCAAAACAAAGGTATGATACGACCCTCGAGTTTATCCCACCACCAGCCGCCGATCAGTGCACCAGACGCTTGAGCCAGTCCGCCATACACGGCGCTAAGGACACCTTGAGCGGTGGCTTTTAAGGCAGGCGGAGCACGATCGTCCATGAACCGAACGGCTTTACCGTGAATTAGTGAATCCATGAGTATGTGCATTTGATCCCTGGTAACGCTACTTCCAACAACTTACCACCGGCCCACATGATTCCGTAATATACCCCTAAACACAATAATCAGAACCACGGTCCAACTTTGATCAAACCCTTATTCATACCATGAAGTGACTCGCTTGGCAGTGCAAACCAAACGCTCCCGACAGCAGGGAGCAAGCCATAACCACATAATCGTATTACGAGGATGACTTGGGCAAGCAGCAGCATATTCCTGACGCCTATTTTTCGCATGATCTGCGGTAGATGATGGGACAGTATCAGTCTCGCAATAATAGTGCCATCACATCATAATAGACAAGATTGTCGCAATATGCGAATACAAAACCGCAGCAGACCTGCTTAGAAAAGTAAAAACATGGAATCTCCATCCCGACTTGGAAAAATTTGACTATTCCCAAAAACGTATTTGAAGCGCCCATTTGATTCGAAAGGAAGAGGTACAGAAAGCTGTCGACAACAGCCTGGTAGAGTACAGTTCAGCAACATCCTTTGTGGCCGACAAGGGGAAGAAATGTCTGAGCAGTGGGGTATACGAAGGGGAATGGACGCTCACCACGGACGTGCCCATGATGTATATCAGGGAATAAAAAAAGAGGACTGCGGGGTCCGTCAACAATGGGCGTACATTACTGGTGAACACGGAAATCTGAGCGGAGGCGCTAGACTTTCTAGATGAAATTGGTGACAACGAAGTATTTGAGGCGTCTTCGATCAAAGGAGATGTGGGTTGTATTCCTTCTTCTGCGTCGCCGAGGTCTGACTGCTGGCCAGGACGGTTAGAGCCAGCATAATCTTTCAACGGTATCCAGCCTTTGGCCATATTTTCTTGATCATTTCTTACTTCAATTGAACTCTGCTTGAATAATTCATCTTCCTCTTCATCCGCGCCCTTTAAAGCACCGTCTTCTTCACTCGGAAGCACAGGGTGCCGATCAGGATCCTCCCCCGGTATCGGCGAAAAGTACGCCTCCTCATCATGCTCTCTTCCTTCTCGGAGACTACTAACCGGCAACCAGTTCAACGCTACCAGAAACACTGCTAGGAATCCCACATGACCCCATATCATCGCTTCCAGATTACCCATCCAATCGATCAACCAACCTATAAACGCTGTCGAAACGCCGCAGGCTATCGAGCCCCATAGTCTCTGTCGCCCATATTCATCCTTGTGTTTGTCACCCAGCATGGCAAGCACCAATGCATCAAGAATTGGATAGCTAGGGTTACGAAGTAGAGCAACCAGAGCGGTGCCCGCAAGCAAAAGCGGGAAGGGCGGCCGGAGGAAAATAAGGAGGGTCAGCCCTATAGCCCCCGTCAGAGTTGCTGCAACGAAATATTTATGCGCGCCGAGACGGTCTGCTAGGGCGGTTGCAAACGGGTTACCAATCATGAGAACGAGGGGCGTTGTTGCGAGGATGACGCCGATTTGCGTTGCTGGCATTGCCAGCACCTGTGACAAATATACTGACAGAAATGAGAGAATGCATCCTGCTGATGTGAGTGAAAAGTACAAAATCTTTGGGAGGATAAACGTCGGTTCCGGCATGACGCCCTGCTTTTGGAATGAATACCGCAGGTCAAAATGTTCAAAACCTCTGGCAAGGCAGAAGCGGGTGACATGTTCGCTTACGTAACAACCACCGATCGAGGGTCCGACGATGGAGTCCAGTCCCACCTGCATCTAATAATAGAGTATGTCTTTCCTGGTTTGCCTTTGTGGTTGCATTTACTACATTGTGGTATTTCGTTTGAAAATGTTTCCCTTCATCGCTTCATTTATCTCGCCACATGCCATTGGTCGATCCGACAAGCCGTTTCGTTCGACCGTTTCCATTAGATAAAATACCGCCGTGCTAGCGTGCTCTCCTGGACCACCTTCAACCAGAGCATAGTAAAAAATGCCTAAAGCTAGCCTGAAAGAAAGTATGCATCATTTTGCTTTTGCTGAAATAAAAGCGGATATGATGCGATTGCCGCTAGATAGTCTACTTACACTCTCTCTTTCCAATTTGCAAAAGTGTTCCATTTCGGTCAGGAGCTTGGACGGTATGTTTTTTTTTTCTATTCTTGATCCTGTCAAACATTCAGAAAAATGAACATGGCTTTTATTTGCTTCCAGTGGATCATTTGCAACCGTGATACTCGCCACAGATCGGAGACCACGGCCGCCAGGAGAACCGCCGACAAAGTATGCCATGAAAGTCATTGACAAGGCAAAATGCAGAGGCTACGAAGATCACATCGTGAAGGAAATAACGATCTTGAAACAAATCAATCACAAAAATATCATCAAGTTGCATGAATGTTTTGAGACAAAGGATAGATTGTATTTACAGATGGAGTAGTGAGTTGAAAGAGTGTTTTTGGTTGGTATTTCTGCCTTATATTGATAATGCTACTTGTGTTGGCATAGTGTGGACGGTGGAGAGCTCTTTGACCGTATCTTAAACCTGGGTTATTACTGCGAAGATGACGCAAGAAATATTGTGACGGATACCCTAGAAGCTGTCCAATACCTCCACGCACAAAACGTTGTGCACCGGGTAAGATTCCAACCATACTTTTCATCCTGTTTTATATCAATCAAGTCTAATCAGTGAATCATTAGGATCTTAAACCCGAAAACTTGTTAATGTCCTCCAACTCTCCAACTGCCGAAATCAAGCTGGCGGATTTCGGGCTCTCGACATTCATTACGCAAGATAACATGCTCAAAACAGCCTGTGGAACGCTCACTTATGTGGTACGCACTGACGCACCGTTGAAAACCTGAAAGTTCACATTTTAATGTACCGCTGCCGTAGGCGCCAGAAATACTTGCGGGCAAACGCTATGGCAAGCCTGTCGATATGTGGAGCATCGGTATTATTGCATACATATTGTTGTCTGGATACCCCCCATTCTGGGCTGAGGAGGAAGCAACGATTCTGGATTTGATGCTCAAAGCCAAATTTACATGTATGTTTTCGTCCATGTCATTTTGTTGTTCCCTTTTTCTTTTGACAAAAGTTCTGTTCTCGTTTGTACGTTTAGTTCCCTCCCCAGATTGGGATGAGATTTCATCATGTGCAAAAGACTTTATTAGGCAGTTGTTGCAGCCGGACGTTGCGAAACGACTCACGGCCGAGCAGGCACTCTCCCATTCCTGGATCATACACGGCAGGAAGCCGCTCGCACCAGTTGAGGACGGAACGCATGAACGAGTCAACTTGAGAGAGCGGGTTGGCGGTAATTTGAGGAAGCATTTCAACGCAAGGCGCATGTTGAAGGTGGGGTTAGATACTGTGTTTGCGGTGAACGCCCTTAGTACAATGGGAAAGTTGCGATCACCATCAGGGGAAAAGTCTCCTGTGTTTGACACGCCTACTGTCCTCCCGAAAGATGAGGAGAATTTACAAGAGAAGGAAGTTCCGGGAGATCTAGGGTAGCCGAAGGCAGATATCTTAAACATTACATATACACACTCTTGTATACAAGTTAAACTATAGCGGACCAACACATCTATACAAAAAGGAAAAATCATCCTCCCAGGTCTATTTCCACCTGCCCAAATAATTAACCCCCCCGACGTCGCTTGGCCTCGGGCATGTAATCTACCGGAGGCGGGTATACCGGGTAAGGCGGACGAAGAGGCGGACCCTGGGGAGAGTATATGGGATGGGGACCCCTTCTCATGGGAGGGCCCATCATGGGTGGAGGAGGCCTACCAGAGAAAGAAGGACCCCCATATGACATCCCTCCTCCAAAGACATCGTCACTTCGAGTCCCGCCATGCGGTCTCGCACGACCTGTCTCCTGCATATATCCAGCGTTGTCCTGGCTGGGTCCGGGCCTCCCACGCGGTAGCGCTACCTGCCTACGATCGCGTTTGCCCTCCTTGTGACTGGGCCTAAAATCCGCTATCACACGCTCGGAGCCAGGCTCTGAAGGCCCCCTACCCTGCGGGCTGCCTCCAGGCAACCTGCTAGCTTCAGCAGCTTCTGCTGCTGCTGCTGCTGCCCGCCTGGCCCTTTTGCTGGCCTTACGATTCAGAGGTGGAGGCACTCGAGACAGTAAAACTTCAGACTGCACATTCAAAATCTTTCCCAGCATGGACACCCTTGTTCGATGCTGCACATCCCCTCCAAGTTTACGATCGGCCTCAACCAAAGCATCATAGGCCGCCGCGAGATGTGATGTCACCACGTTAATTTTAGAAGCAGTCTTACCAACATCATGATGACGATTGCTCGGGTCCTGAATGGACAGCAGGTGCGAATTCGCTGGAGACTTCAAATCTCTTTTCTGCTTCCTGAACAACCATACACCATCGGGGTTACCAGGATCAAGACCTTGTTCGTGGTAATCGAACAAAAATCCAAACATTAACAAAAAATCCAGAAAAAGTACGCCCAGTCCAGGTCCACTAGAGGCGGATGGACCCTGACTTGACGACGATGCCTCAGCAGCTGGGTTGCGTGGGTAGCGATGGACAAAGATGTCTGAATGCAACCTCAAAAATCCAGCTACCCAGCAGACAAGCCCGTAGCCACCGACACCTCCTATATCTCCACGATTAAGACCTCGTACATGAAGGAACTGCTTCAGAACGAATACCAAAGGGCGCAGAGAAGGAAGCTCGTTCAGAAGCCCTTTGACAGCAGGGATCGCATCACAGCCGGTCGTGTTATTGTAGGATATATCCACGTCAAACGCCTGAGAAAATGCTTATCAGTGGACCGCATTACGCATACGATGGATTCTTAATGTACCGTCTCTTTATCTGTCAACTTGAAGATGGGAATCCGTGCATTTTTAATGAACGCGAACGACCGCGGTAGTCCTGACTTTTTGATCGTAGACGCAACCTGTGCAAGCCCCTTCTTCATTTGCTCCTTGCCGGGGTCTTTAGGACCGTTGGGATCGGAAATGACGAGATCCAGATCCGAAGTGGGAAGTAAAAGCTCTGTCCCTAACGACCCAAAGATGCGCAACATTGCCCCACGGAGTCTTGTCTGAATCAGTTTTTCATACTGAGCTACAAGCTCATGTCGTCTTTCAATCTCTTTACGAGTGGGTTCCATGCAGCGGACAAAGTCGAGGATTTCTTGGGTGAGACGTTCTTCGAGGGTGCCGCTGTAATGAACGCCGGGAGGTATCCATAACGGTGTCGGCTCTTGCTGCTGATAGCGTACAATATTGACCTGATGCTGACCGTGGGGAGCCTTGAGCCGAAGACGGTGCTTTTGACCTGCTGCCTCCTCCGCAGCTTCTCTCTTTCGCTTCTTTCCCGCGGCTTTGGCTATCGCCAAGGCTTCAGCTATCCCCCTAGCATTGGGAGAAGCGTCATTCATTCCGTTGTCAAACTGTTGGATATAACGTTGAAACGAGAACGGTTCGCTTGCGGTCTGGGCAGGCGACGATTCGCCCGTCGGCAAGGAAGGAACGTGAGAACTCATTGCCCCCTTGGTTTTCTTCCAACCCCTGCAGCAAGGCAATAGGAATGATCACATGACCGTGAGCCGCGATCCTTGCTTCCGTAATCCTTACCAATCCACGGCCCATATCCAAAAAGATGCTTGAACCCGCAAAAAAGATACAAAAGACGGGGACGATAGTTCTTTAAAAAGGAGAAGATATGGAAGGGATTCTCCAGCACTTTATTACAGCAAAGGAAACGACCTAAAAACCTTGCTAAATTCCAATCATAAATTCATATAACACGATGAAGTTCTTGCTTGTCCTCGCTCTCGTCTTGTTCGCTCTTACTCAGTGTATAAAAGTCTTTTGTCGTTTTACTTTCCGAGCGACTCTTCATACTAACTTTATGCTGCAGTGACAACTGTCCATGCCGATTGCGTCCTCAGTTCTTGTCAATTTAAGCCCCTGTGCGACGCAGGCAAGAAAGAGACTGCATGCACAGTTCAAGGCGGGAGAGGAGAATTTGGATGCGATGCGCTTACGAGCAGAGTGTTGTGCTGCAACCAAGGCGAGTGCAGTAAGATCAAAATCGATCCGTAAAATGGACCGCATCATGTTGATAGCTCGCAGAAACAAGAATTATCAATTGTAGAAATTGTATAGTAAATAGAGCCAGCGAGTGCAACTACTCGTACACATGTATTGCAGTCAATACAATTGAAAACTCTCATGAAGATAAACAAATGATGGTATCATGTGATTGCCATAGTAACCAGGAGGCACAGCACAGATCAGTGCGTTTGGGGAGCTGTCGCTCGCCCACCATTAGAGTCATGTCGGTAGCCATTGCTCGCTGTCGGCACCTGTTACGCCCACTAATTGCACGGGGACACTGCTTCAAGGTCGTCGTAGCATACCGTCTTTCAATCCTTCATTCTGGCACTTTATTTCACTCTCGCACATCTGTTACTGCAAGCCCATTTTCCAACATGTCCAACGGAATCAAGCAGCCCGAGTGGGCAAAGCCGGAAGGTACACCTGTCCCACCCCTGCGCATCCTCAACTCAATGACAAAGTCCAAGGTACTTGTCACTGTTTCTCCGAGCAATGTTACGCACCGCCATGAAATGTAAAAACATGCGTTGATCTTTTTTTTTTAGGAAGAATTTATCCCGATAAGTGGAAACCAGGTTGGGTGGTACTGCTGCGGGCCAACTGTATACGACAAGTCACACATGGGACATGCGAGGTGCGTTTTTGGGTATTACTGCTACCTGTAGATCGATGTATGACTCATCCCCTTGTAAAGAGCGTACATTACCTTTGATATCCTGCGCCGCATTCTCGAGGATTACTTTGGGTACAACGTCTTTTATGTTATGAACATCACTGATGTTGATGACAAGGTAAGGTTGCAGCATGGGGGCAAGCCTGTGATAAGTAATGAAGCTCATTGCGGTCTTTTCAGATTATCAGAGAAGCTCGATACAAGTATCTCTTTGAAAGTCTTAAAGCCGAGACGAATGCACTAACGACCGACTTGATCGCTACCGTGGAAGAAGCATGGGGAACCTATGTGACATCGAAATTCAAGACGTACGCCCCGAGATCAATAAACGAGTTTAGTGCGTTTTTGGAAAAGTACAAGAATGGCGGTATTCCAGAGGCACAAGAGGAAGCCAAGTTTGACTTGTTTGTCAAAACTGCGGTGAGTTGGCGCACAGTCCTGGAGCAAACTCGATTCGTATTTGCCTACTGCAGTTGTCTGACACGATGCCTACAGACACGTACGGTAGAAGCCTTGGTTAGCGCCAAGACATCCTTGGAGAACGGATCGACCGGCAAAGAGGCTGCGGATCATTTATTGGACGCTAGCCGCGACGTTGTGGCCTCATGGATAGACTCCAAGGTTTGGCCCTGGCGCGCCGATCTGACCAAGAACATGTTGCTTACCTCGGTTTCTGCAGCACGGACATACCGTCACAGATCCAAAAGTGTTCCGGGAGTTTGCAGCGTACTGGGAAGATGCGTACTTTAAGGACATGGACGCATTGAACGTGGGTTGGCAGTAATATATGTATTACGAACGTGAAATCAGGCTAAGATGATAATGCACACGCTAGATCCGTCGACCTGATGTACTGACTCGTGTTAGCGAGTACGTCCCTGAGATTGTCACGTACATTGAAAAGATTATTCAAAACGGATATGCGTAAGCTCTGTAGACGATTTTGTCGAAATGGCAGACTACTCACGTACCGTAAATGACAGATACGAGGCGGACGGCTCTGTCTATTTTGATACGGTTCGATTCGATAATGCGCCCAACCACAATTATGCAAAGTTAGAACCCTGGTCAGCCGGGAATACCAAACTGTTGCAGGAAGGGGAGGGAGACTTGAGTGGGGAAGCCATGGGGAAGAAGAATTCAGCTGACTTTGCGTTGTGGAAAAAGAGCAAGGCGGGAGAACCTGCTTGGCCGTCTCCTTGGGGCGCGGTGGGTAGTTGGCTCGGTATTTGTGTGCCTTTTTTTCGTATATTGACGGTTAAATATAGGGTCGTCCGGGGTGGCACATTGAGTGCAGTGTCATGGCCAGTGATGTTCTTGGCGAGCAGTTGGATATACATACCGGTGGGATCGACCTCGCTTTCCCGCATCACGACAATGAGATGGCTCAGGCAGAGGTAAGCAAAACACGCACAAACAAGAACCACCGAAAGCTGGGACATTATTATGTGAATGCGTCTTTTGATGACGGCAGTTCATTCATTCCGCTTTCAAGATCAAAATGTTTTGAGCTGACCTTGTGTTGGCAAGAAACTGTCGGGGCTATTCTCTGGCCGGGAATGCTATCGTTTTGTTCACGGCTCGTTCCAAAACCGTACATTTGCAATACTTGGCTATCCACATGACTAACTGTTGGGTGCTTGTAGGGATATTATGACTGCCGTCAATGGGTCAACTACTTTATCCATGCGGGACATTTACACATTGAAGGACAGAAAATGAGCAAGAGTTTGAAAAACTTTGTGACGATCCAGGTACGCTTCCATGCAGTGCCAGATGAAATGGGCGTGAAAAGGTACTGATTGAATGATAGGAAGCGTTAACGCAGTATACAGCGTCCCAGATCCGGCTCATGTTTTTGTTGCATCAGTGGAACTCTGTGCTTGATTTTGGGAGTGGGTCGCTAATGGAGGCCAAGACGGTTGAAACCACCATTCAGGTAGGATTGTGTTTCCATGGGTAAGAAAGAATATCAATTGATTCTGTTTGCAGAATTTTTTGGCGAACGTCAAAGCAGTTGTGATGGAACAGCAGTCGTCTGTGCAGGCCTTTACGGGGGCACATCAGTATCGGGATGCTGAAAAGCAGCTTATGGAAAAGTATGTGCCTTTGTTTGGTAATTGGAGTATCTAAACTCACTGTACACCTCCCGTTTGTGTAGGTTCCGAACAAAACAACATCTCATTCACCTCGCCCTCCTCGACTCCTTCAACACCCCCACAGTCATGTCCGAACTACGCGAGCTCATCAGCGTCGCAAACGCCTACTACACCGACGCCACCAAAAGCAAATCTGTTAATGCGGACGTGTTGGCCAAGATTGCCAAATATGTGACGCATCTCCTGCGAATGTTTGGTGTGTTTGGAGATGGGAATCCGGATATAGGGGAGGGGTTGCGGAAAGAGGAGACGAATGTTTTGCCGTATGTGGTTGCTCTGTCAGCGTTTAGGGATGCTGTGAGGGATTTGGCGCAGAATCGGGGAGGTGAGTGCCAGTGTCGCTTTTCTTTGGTTGGTGATGGGGTGTTGATTGTGGGCGCAGATTACAAGGATTTGCTGCGGTTGTGTGATAAGCTCCGGGACGAGGATATGGTGGAGTTGGGTGTTGTGTTGGATGATCGGGAGGGTGCGTACCGGTGCTTTTCTCTTTTTTGTTGATAACAGGAAGGCTAATTGGTAACAGACGGCAAGGCCCTGGTTAAGCTGATTGACAAGGAGACACTGATTCGACAACGAGAAGAAAAACGACAGGTAAGCATCATGTCGTAACATGGAACGCTTTACACATCAAGGAGTAATAATTTGGCACGCGAATTATCGCAGCGCGAACACGAAAAGGCCCTCGAAAAAGCCGCCCGCCTCGCCCTCGCACAAACCAAACGGGCCGAGAAGCTCCTCAAAGGCAAGACGCCTCCCTCGGAATTATTCCGTACATCAGAGTACTCTGAATGGGATGAAAAAGGATTACCGACCAAGGATAAGGATGGGGAAGTGCTGAGCAAGAGTCGGCGAAAAAAGTGTGAAAAGGAGTGGGGCGTGCAGAGCAAGTTGCATGAAGAGTATTTGGCTAGTCTAAAGGAATGAACACTTGTTTGTATGTATGTTTTTAAAAGATTAAAAAGATATTAGATATGGATATGTCATCACTCAACACGTGCCACAGACTGAATTCCGAAAAAATTCCGTCACGAAATATCTTTTTGAAATTAAACAATTTGGGATAACCCCAAGTTCCACCATGCTGCATAGACGATCATGTCACTCTCCGAAGGTGAATACGAAGTATTAGAAGAATGTATCGAAATCAAGGTATTGCCTCCTCTTTTGTCCTGTTTCTCCCCAAACCCACAACACCCATTCACACTTTACTAGCATCCAAGCACGCATACCCACATTCGGACCCTCTCAGCCTGCACAGGCGCCATCCTAACTTCCCTCCTCGTAACGCCCTTTGATGTAGTCAAAACCCGGATGCAGTCGTCAGCATACCCATTGTCAACGCAGAGTATAATAAGAGTTGTGGTGGGGAGTGAGGGTGTGAAAGGGCTTTGGAGGGGACTGGTTCCAACATTGTGAGTATCAACATATGGATTTATATAAAAGATGAGTTGCTTATTTTTTATTATGTAGGGTCATGTCTGTTCCGTCGACAGTTGTTTATTATATTGGGTATGAAGATGTGCGGGGACGGATGGTGGCACGGTGGGGTGAGGGTGTGTATGCCCCACTCGTTGCGGGGGGGTTAGCAAGAAGTACGTTACATGGCACTCTATGTTTTTGGGCTCAAGTCTAATTGTTTGACTTTTTGTGTATAGCGCTTGCTGCGACGTTGACGTCCCCACTCGAGTTATTGCGTACGCGGATGCAAGCGGGGAAGATGCGCAGGGTCCGTGATGTGAGGGCTTGGATTAAGAGTGAGGGGGTGAGAGGGTTGTGGAGGGGATTGGGGCCAACACTTTGGAGGGATGTACCGTTTAGTGGTGAGTACACACGTCAGGATGAGCATGCATGTGTGCATTGTTTTGTTTGTTATGGCGGCTAATGTGGTTGGGTTTAATAGGAATATACTGGTTAACATACGAAAAAACAAAAACCCACCTCCCAAATCCAACATCAACCCATATCGAATTCCGCAACGCCTTTCTATCGGGTGCTGTTGCGGGTACAATTGCTGCAATATTGACCACACCTTTTGATGTGGCCAAGACAGTCATGCAAGTCGGTGCAGAAGGGGGGATGGTGCCGGTTTTGAGGGAAATTGTGAGGAGGGAGGGGTGGAGGGGGTTGTTTAGAGGAGTGGAGCCGAGAGTGGCCAAAGTTGCGCCGGCTTGTGCGGTGATGGTGTCGAGTTATGAGGTTGGGAAACGGCTGTTTTGATCTTGTTTAGATTGCGGATGCGCTTTGCCGTTCGCGGGCGCTTTATTTATCTTTACATTATTTTAGTGTTTAGCATGTATAGTGTTGGAGGGTTGGCTACTAGGCGGGAAGATCTCTTGAGCAATATATCTGGGCATCCTCATTTGAGAACAGTGTGCCTGTGAATAAAAATACTTTTCACTCAAATGTCAAGCATTTGACGCACCCAACATACAGCTAAATCTCTTTCTCTCTCTATACTATATATATATTTGCAAAAGAAAAAAAAAACTTTTCAACACATTGGTGCAGTATAGCTCTCTATGCGCAAGAGCAGAGGTACTAGGTCACAGACACTATGATACAAGAAAAAGATGAACAAGTCATGAGGAGATCGGTGATGATAAAGGCGTAATAAAAGTGGAGGTGAAGGTGCTGTCAAGGTGGATGATGAGGAGGTTTGGGTGAATGGACGTTTAAAGGAAGCAAAGACTTGTGGCGAGATCCAGCCAATGCTGCTGTGGCGGGACAGCATGTCACAATGTCCATTCGATTCCATGTTCTAGAGTCTATCGTCTGTTTGGCGCGAACGGCACGAACAACGTGTTCAATCGTTTCTCGCATTTGGCGTTCATCGACAGATTTTCGGGTTCTCAGATTTCAACGGTCCCCATTGAGCTTCCCGTTCGGCTGCCTACTCTGTTGTTCGTGGGCAGATTTTCGTCAGTCTCTCGTCGGCCGCCCACTATCGTCCGCAACAGATTGTTGATTCTTGTCAACGTTCACGATTATCATGGACACTCGTTACTGTACGGCGGTGGTCGCGCCTCGACCACCTTTTCCCGTTCCGGCCACGTGCGAACTCTTCTCAATGGATCCACCTCTTGCCCCTCTTGTCCAACCGCAAAGGTCATTTCAACCCTCGCCCTCCTCACAATAGCCGAATGCTCCTGTCCCAAGGCCTGAATATTCCGCAACCACTTGTCGTACTCTTCTCTAGTGACATGCAATCTCCCGCCCACACCTGTCAGGAATTCCCGTTCCATGGTATTGACATCATTCAACGGCAATCCTGTCATTTTCGACCATGTCTTATTGGCGTACCGGTCGTCTGTGTGGTATTTCTGGGCGAGGATGAGAGCCGAAACGAAGACGCGGAATTCCGAACCTTCTCCTGTATGTGATTTCGGAACTGCTTGTCGTAGGCGGGCCACGTATAATAAAGAAATGAGAATGTGGGGGAGGGAGCAGTTTGCTCTGTGAATGACATTGTGGACGGCTTCGAAAAAAGCTGGGTACCAATGTGAGGTGCCCGGTGGACTGATGACGGATGCGGATGGAGAGGGGAGAGCAGACGGTGCAGAGGGAGGTGAGGGATAGTTTGGAGACACGAGGGATGATGGCGATCGAGGAGGGATGCGATGCCATATTCTGTGAACTGCAAAACAAACAAACTCGCTGGCGTCTGCCGACAGTTTTCCGTTTGTCGGTTGTGTGCTTGCAGAGGGTGCTGCTCGCAGACCGTCGAGTCTGGCGTTGTGCGAGTCTTGCAAGAGAGCGGGGGTGACGACTGTGCCCGAGTCTGGCGGCTTCTTGGTGTTGTTGCCTGGACCCAAAGTAAAAGTGTGGGACATTTGTGTTGACGAAGCGAGAGCGTGCTCGTGCGTCGCTGCCGTGACATGCCGGCGTGGTGGTGGAACGTGTCCTCTCTGTTGTTGGGGATGTTGCATTTCGACCAAGCGTCAAAAGGAATGAGGAAGAGAAGAGCGGGTGTGCATAGGTCATAAAGAAGGGTTCGCTGTGCGCGTTACAAAAGTGGTAAGGATTGCGCAGTTTCCCAGTTCGTGCCTAGTTCCAAAGCAAGTCAACTAAAGGTGTGTGTGTGTGTGTGGCTGTAGTCGGTCCTACAAAGGCAATGAGGTTCAAAAGTAAATGACAAAACGCAGAATGACAAAGCCCAAAAATAGAAAAACGACGACGACGACGACGACGAAAGGCGGAAAAGAAGGCGAAATTGTGGCAGTGACCATAATGATTATATCTGATTATAATGATTATAATCAATATCATCGGTAATAAATGCAAAAGCGTGGGAACTTTTCACAATGGGGCTGAGGACTTTCCATTTATGGTTTAATTATGTCATCTTCAGCCTTGCCCACAGCCTCGCATTGGAGGAATTTGACGCACTGAAAAAGGCTATGGGGGCATACGGGCGATGGAAGGAGTGGATTTGGGTTATTGGATATTGGCAACTGGTGACAACCAACTGCGATATGGCCATGGCACACAAAAAGTATTGCATGGGGCACGGTTGGAATGGGCAGGGCATGGTTGGGGCAGGCAATGCCCGATGCAATGGGCTTTCCGATAGCCGAATTTGAAACTTGTTGGATACTCTTGGCAAAAGCAACTCAAGGGACTTTTCGTCAAAGACTGTCTTGACTTTGGAGAGTGCGCAAGAAGCGCCAGAAGCATGTCCAGTTTGTTGCGAGATTCACCCGCATAACGAACAGAGTGCGGCATCTTATCAGATCATTAATACGTTTTAATCTCATTCCATATGGTAAAACCCATGTACATAAATACAAAAAAAAGTAAATGCAAAAAAATACCAATACAATTCTACTTGTGTCGCTTGTTTCCCTTCTTACCACCTTTATTCGTTCCTCCCGATCCGCCGCCCTTTACAACCACTTCACTCCCATCCCGAGTAGCCTTCATCATACTCTTGAACCGTCCCGCAATCTTTGCGCCCTTGCGTCTAGAGAAAACAAAAGAAACAATCAACAAATGATTGCAGCGATTCACGCCAAAATATTGATACATACTTTTGTCCTCCAACCACCTTTGATGTCAAAGGAATATACGCAAACGGATCAGGCATACCAGCCTTTTTGACATCCCCCTTGGCGCGTTTCGCGCGGTACTGCCGCCCCAACATGCGCTCCATCTCTGCTTTATCCATATCGTCCTTCTTCTTCAATTTGCCTTGTCCCCATCCCAAACCGGTCCCCGTAGCACCCTCTTCATCAGGGTCATCGCGCTTGCGTTTATTGGGCTGCAGGAATTTGATGTTGCCAGTTGGGGTGCGTGTAAAGGCGAGTTCAGAGATGCGGGAGGCCTTGTAGTGGTCTTCGGGTTCAGGTTCTTGTGGTTCAGCTTCATCAGAATCGGAGGGATCTTCGAATACGAGTTTACCGTCTTGAGTGGCGAATTCATGTGGCGTGGAGCGGGATTTGGAGGAAGGTGCAGAAGTGACGCGGGAAACGATGCGGGCGTCCAAAAAATCGGCCACGTCTTCGTCTTCTCTTATACGCGTCTTTGAAGCTTGAGGGGTCTTTGTGCGTTGAAGGGCGTCTTTGAAGCGGTCGGGAATATACTTTTCATCATCATCGCTACTCGACAATTCAGATTCAGATCCATACAAGGCCTCTTCAAATTGCTTTTGGGCGACTTTTCGGGGCTTCTCAATCTGTTCCTCCTCGCTCTCGCTTTCTTCTTGGGCTTGCCGAGCGGCTGCTTTGCGCTTTTTGAGACGTTCACGGCGTTTCCGAATGTTGTTCAAAAGTTTCTTGTCCGAATCGGGGACAAAGCCTTCAACGGCTTCATAAGAGAACTTTCGGACAAGGCGCTCAAAAATGTGTCGGACTTTGGACTTGAAGGCGGATTTGTGTGGGCTCGTGTGCGCGAGAATGGACGAAACCTGGTTTTTGTTAATCAATCTATCAGCAAACGCGTTGCAAACCAATCCCGCACAGCAGCAATAAAACGTACGATATGCTCCAGCTCATCCGCCAACACATCCTGTGGCACCGTAACAACGGCAACTTTAACAAATCCGAGCGCGGCTTTGACGACCTCCCGATTCTTTGACTCCATCACAATCAAAACAGTCGACACCAACTCTCTCAAAAAGGCATCATCCAACCGCGACCCAAACTCAAAGACCAGTCGCCCCAAACTCGACACAGCAGCACTTTGCATCGTAGCCGTATCACCCGCCAACCCCGCAACCACCATTGTGAAATATTCTTTCAAATTGACTTGGCCGCCGGGGGTCTCATCATCCAGCGCCCGCTGGAGAGCGTCCATGTCCCACGCATCCTCCGTCACACCCCCGGTCAACATCTTGCGTCCCATGGCTACAAGACAATCGTACGCTGCATTGCGCGCCTTTTCACTCGCTTCCTTGGTAGCCAACATGACTTCAGACAACGCAACAGGGATATACGTCAACAGCAGAGCCTGGTCCTGAGCCGGGATGGCAATTGCGACACGTTGCAACAGCTGCATACGCGCCTTCTTGGCGCCCGAGGAAGCCTTGGACAGAACTTCGGGATCTAGGAGACGATTCACCAGCTCTTCCAGGTTGAGAACAGGAGGACGAAGGTACTCTATCACATGGTTCAACGCCTTGTAAGTCCTTTTCTGGAGCGTAGGGTCCGCATCCCGTAGCTGCCCAGTGAGAACCTTGTAAAACACCTCAACAGGCGAATCACCCGACGTCGTGGATGCTGGCACAAAAGGCAAAAGAATCAAAAGTAAATCGAGTATAGCATAGTCCCTCAACCTCCCCATTTGCGCAACAGCTGATTCCGGTTCCGGATGTGGTTGTGATTGGGATTGAAGGAGCGTTGTCACGAGGGACAAAAAGTAACTGTTGACAGCGCTTGGATCGGCGATGGGGAGGAAGGACTGAATCGTTCGGGCATAGTGTTGGTTTTCCCGTTCATGGAGGGATTGGAGAGCTTGGCCTTTAGTGGCGTCGAGAATATCCGGAGGGAGGGTAGTGTAATTATTGCAGAGGACGCTGAGAAAGCGTGTTGCGTAGGATTTAAAGTTTTCCAATCCTTGTGCAGCCTGGTTGGCATCTTTCTTTCGTTGTGCAACAACGTCATCTCGCCCGTCCTCCATGCCTTTCACATCTGCTACTTTCCTGTATCCCTCCACCAAATTCTGTAACGCTTCACACACAACGGGCCTGAAATCCGGTTCGGACGGTAAGTCCAGAAAGACTTCTTTCGGGGCACCTTGGAGAATCTTTCCAAACACGGGTCCAGTTGTTGCAAAGGATGATTCTACGTCCGGAGGAAGTGTCGAGCAGAATCCTGGTACTAGAGCCCATACCTGCGTCCCTATCGTTTCGTACAGCTTGGCTTCGACCTGCCGATTACCTCTCCACGCATCACCGCTCTTTTCGAACATGCGCTGGGCGAGGGGTAACAGGTCCTTTGAGAGAAAAGACAATGTATGTGGCCCAAATGCAGAGGATGGTATGCCAATGATGGTGGGGAGAGGTCTGTTGAGTGCTTCCATGAACGTGGATAGGAGGTAGGGACGACGGGGCTGGGATGGAATTTCGTTCTCAATGTTGAGAGGAACAAACGAGACAAAGTTTTCAAAGCCGAGTGACTGGACCGCAGCATGCAAGGCGACCTCCAGTTCCTCCTTGTAGGGGAAACTTTCGCCATAGGCTGGGTCGTCACGGAATGCCATGACATTAAATAGAGTTCCGCGGACCAGTTGAGGAAGGACACTACCAAGGCGATCAAATAGTGCTTCAGCGATTCCCAGGATGCCACCCCACGCGGATCGGTAGCGAATGTCGCTTAACCCGGTGTTGATGACTTGGATCATCACCATGAGACGGGATTCTGCGTCGTCTGTCATGTCCGACCGGCTGGCTTCTTGCACCATAGTCTCTGTCACGCATTCTCGCACCATAGCCGAAAATACTTGTGCAGCCTTGTTGACAATGACAGCCTTCGTGGCCTGCTGACCAAACACGGCCTCAAAAGTCTTTTTGAAAACCGAAACAAGCAAGTCAGGAAAGTCCGTCAAAGCATACTGCCTCTCTGTCGACATCATGCCGTCCTCGTTTCGCTCGGCTTCCCTAGCGAGCTCCGCCAATTTCGAAAACCCTTTCCCAATTAATTCCAACCAAGCCGGGATCAGTGTTGCGTCGTTTTGGTAAGGACGCATCTCCAAGAGCGCGCGAATGACAGAGTCCAAAAGCGCCATGTCCAAATGGGGAAAGATTTCCTCTTTCTCCAAAGAGGTTCCAAATAGGGCTTCCAGGACGGAAAAGATCCACTGGGTCAAGATGGTATTCCCAGTTCCGGATGATCGAACAGGTAATCTCAGTAATGTCTCGCAAAGCGCACGCAGTTTACCTCTCGTCCGATCATGACCTCCCTGCATGGCCAAAACCGGGAGCGTTGCTTTGAGAAACACCAAAACGTGGAGAACCTGCTGTTCGAGTTCCTTTCTGTTCTTAGCGGACACACTCCCCACTGTTTCTGCATATTCTTGCAAAGATCCCATCGTGTAATCAATGGTCGTCAATGTAGCGGGGTGGTGTGTGCTCGGTGGTGGTGGACGGCAAAGAATCCGTTTGACAGCCTCAAGCGCCCGTCGTCGCACTTTGGGCCGCCCATCGACAGACATGACCAACAGCACCTGGAACAGCTTTTTACACGTCAGATCTGTTGTCCACCGCGCGTGATCTTGAGCAGACAGGAGAGATTCAAAGCACGCGAGTACAGATCGAACAAGTGGCTGTTCGTCCTGATATGCCTCGAGTGTCCCACCCAGCGTCCGCGACACGTCATCAAACTTTAGTCTCAATATGGAGCTAGGTATTCTTGGGAAGACAATCGACAAAATGTGTGTCACGGCAACAAGGACCCCACGCTGTTCCGCATCGACAGCTGTCGCCCGCTGCTGTTCCAAAATGGTCATTAGCGCCCCGAAATAAGCCAAAGGTGTCAATTGTTCGCCTTGTTCCTGAATAGCTTCTTCGACAGCAGTGAGAATGATGGCAGCCTGTTTTTGGTTCTCGAGACCAGAGTTGGTTTGGGAGCGTATCTTAACAAGAGCGTCATTGTGGAAAAAGTCTTGTTCTTCCCGGCCTGACGCCGAGTCGGGGTTGGCAGTAACCGCCATGTTGCCCTTTTTCTGTACTGCTGGCGCTCCTTCCTCGAATGTAATGCTACCACCTTGTTCCTTTGCGCGTAAAGAATGTCCACCCCAAAATAAAATTGCGCAAATGAAACCCCGACGCTTGCAACCTTTGTTCTGCTCAGATGCTGCAAAACGTCGACAAAAACAAAAAAATTCCATTTAGCTCAAAAATGGAAATATGACATCCACGTGATTTTCATTTCCATTCCGATGAACTTTTTGGCCTTTGCGAGCGACGGATTGCTTGTCGAGTAGATTTTCCAATATGAACCACCGCATAGCAGGGGTGAGCACGAAGATGGGTTTGTGTGCCAGAATAGTGTGTTAACGGCGGGTAATGGGTCTGGATTTTGTAGAAAGCCGCGCGGGCAGTCTTTTCACGAAATGTTCGGAGTGTGGTCCCGTTGCCTCGGATCAGCTCATGTGTCCGCACACTTGCGACCTCCGACTCTGAACCCAAGCGGGATCTGGACACCTATTATGGGTTACACTCCCTCGACTGTATGTACTTTTAGAGTCCGCATCGAAAGACAAAAATGTAACTAACGTGCACTTGTAAAGTGAAGGGCGAACCCCTCGACATTCCCCTCCTCCCGACCCCGAAACCAACACACCACGCCCTCGCCTGCACACTCCACCTCCAAGGATATATGCCTGACCACCTCGATTTCGTAGCACACTTTTGCCGACATTCAGCCCACGCGATGCAAATGCCCTGCAGCGAGACAATCCATCTCCCTGTGCAGACGAAAAAGTGGTACGTGATCAAAGGCCCCTTTGTGCACGCCAAGACCAAGGAAGTGTTTGAGCAGAAAAAGTACGTGAGAGCCCTACAAGTCTTTGATGCGAGTGAGGAAAGTGTCAAGGAGTGGATAGCGTATATTGTCAAGAATGTACCGGCGGGGGTGGACGTGCATGTGGAGCGACATGTCCGATCGACGTTGGAGAGTGAGGCACCTCTTGTGGATATTGCGAATGCAAAGAGGGAGATGACGTTCCAAGAGCGGGTGGAACAAAAGGCAAGCGAGTTTGTCGCTGGATGGACGCGGAAGGCGAAATAGGATGTATAACGTCTGGATCGGCGAGATGACACTACATACACACAACAAGTAGATGATGAGTAATAATATTATTTCTGCATTGTATATGTTAGCGGTGATTTGGGCAATCTCTGAGCTCTCATCGTGTGGATGTGCTACCAACGCGATGCGTGCCTCTTGATATGCCGTGAAGAAAGTTCAATTGAAGCGATCCAAGTACCTCGGATTAAAAGTCACATTTAGATGGGTACGCTCCAGCCGACAATAGCAAGCCCGCACAGGAAACAATGGCATTTGCCGTACCAAGTTGTGATTGAACAAAGCCAGCTCTCCTCTTGACTCCTCTTGAGCTCTTCCGCTGCGTATTGAATCACTGAACTTGGTCGTTATTATTCCTACTGGGAACTGATGCATCGTGTCCACAATAATAGATGCACACGTGAGCTGCCGGATATCCAACTCTTATGGTTTGAACGCTTGGGTGACATCCAAGAAGCGCTCAACTGGCGGTGACCTCTCTTGGTCTTCTCTACGATTGGGTCATGCACTGGACCTCTCCACCTGGCATTACGCCCGCTCTCGACCCGTCCTCCGCGGCCTCAACGTTAGCTGCCTTCGTGCCGCGGCTCAAACCCGGACGATTGTCAAACGTATGTCAATACTGTCTCAGTCATCATCTCTAGGCTCCTCTATGAGGAAGTTATGTCCGATATGGGGACCGTCGCGCAATCTGGTGTGAGCGATGAAGACGTCGTTTCGAACTCTATGTATCTCCTGTCAAGCAAGTTGCACTTGTGACGATGAATGGCTTGCTAAGTGTGAGTATGGGATGTACTGTATGATTAGACTGGGTCCACCTGCGATCCTCGCAAGAAGGTCGATGAAAGGGTTCATTCGCGCCTCTATGGACGGCGTTGAATGACTATGAAGGAAACTGGATGAACTTTGCGGACGAATCAAAGGGGAAGGACAGATTGAATAAACAGATGGAATATTTTGTTCAAGAACCTGAGGATAGGTTTCGGTTATGATGGCCAGCACTCCATGTGGCAAGGTGATGGGCCAAAATATTTGGAGCACTTGCTCTGATTTGGGTGTTTATCCCCAACATATCATGTTCGCTGAGAATAGCAATTGGGGATTCTTCATTGCATTGATTATAAGAGCTTCAATTGGCGCACGACATGCCGCTTGGGCAGGTAGATGAAATCAGGATGGTACTGGAAGGCGGTCGATATTGGACCTGGATAATGGCTGTTGCGGGCCTCAACAAGGCGGGTTCACATTTTGTATTTGTGATAGCTGTGGCTCCAGATTGAATTTTATAGTGAATGGAATAAGCTTCCGGACGGACGGCCCGTCAACTTCCGAAGGTAGTTATGGACGTGAAAGGTACCCCGTGCATACGAAGTTGGTATTCCATCATTTCATCTCGCCGCCCAACATGATTGCCGAATTGCTTGTCTCGCCGTCTTAAACTTAGAGAGTCGCATATGCAAGATCTGGTCGTGAACGACAGTATGCCTCCTCTTTCCCGATAGCACCAATTCTATGATGTCGCCCCAGGTCGTTATTTAAAGATCAATTAACCATCCTGGTTGAGAGAATCCAGTAATCCATCCCTATTGAGCCTTTATAAGCGGCACACCTTTTCACGCTCCCCTCCATTCTTGCTGGCTTTAGCTGGTTACGGGAATGTAACCGTGAAGCTTTCGACTGTCTTGGGCTCTCCTCCGATGGATAAACTTTCCTCGCAGTGGCTTCCAATAACTGGCTGAAGATCGGTTACTTCATGCGTAAGGTACCCAGCGATGTGATTTTTAAGGCAAGGCAGGCTAATATCCGAACCTCAAATAACAGTCCCTTGGCACCCTTGGTAAGCCCAAAACCTGATTTTGATCCACTAAGCACTGGTTTTACACATTTGAAGTGCGGCTCCATCCAGTGTCGTATTACGTAGGCAGCTGATCGCCCGTCTTTTGGTCCTCCAAATGCAACAGCAGGAGAGAACGTCCACCGAAAATGACACACATTTCACAACAACGGTGGAGCTTGTTGGCCTCCAGTTCACCAGGAAAACAGTTGAAACCTATATTGCTAACACACGAGCGGTGGAAAGAGGGGGGGCACTTTTGAACAGTATATCCCACACTCGTGCAGCGCTCGAAGGGCACGTATTGAAATTGGAGGCAAAGTGCAAGGGAACGGCTCAGTATGACATTGTTGTTCGACTTAACGTCGAGACGCAAGGTCAGGAGTCCGTCATGCCAAGTTAAATGCGTAGTCTGACTCTTGCTCTTAGATGTGGTTGATGCAACATGCACCTGTCCGGTACCGACCAAAGGAAAGTGCAAACACTGCGCCGCTGTAATGCTACTATTTTGTGCGCGGTATGAAGACTTTTTGCCAAAGGTACAAATTTGGTGGTTGCATGTGTCAAATGGGAATGCTAACTCGTCTTACAGAGTATTGAATCTAGCAACATCGGGCATCCGGAGAGAGGAACTGGATCATCAATACCGCGCACACCACAGAAACCAGCAGTATTGAAAACTCCTCTCTCTACTCCAGCAAAGCGAAAGCTGCCGTGGAACACTAATGATGGGCAGAAGAGAGTAAAAAAGACCATACCTGCGAGTTCTACGTCAACGCAGAGCAACGCAGCAAGTCCCAAGCAAGCCGGAACGCATCCCGCACAAGCAAAGAGCACACCAGTCTCCAAAGAACAAACACCCAAACATCCATCCGTACTCTACATCCAAACCGATGACGAAGTATTGGAGGCTGCTCGAAAGTACCTTCTCCCATTCCGTCAACAACGACTACGAGAATTGGAGGAAGAAGAGAAGAGACGAGTAATTGAAGAACCAACTGGATCAAAGTCGATGAGACCCATGAAGTCGACGGGACGTCTAAAAACTTCCAAGAGGAACATCAAAGGAAAACCCAAAGTGCCAGATCCAAACTTTTGGAACATTATTGATCCTCACGAAGACGATAGCGTTCGTGGAGATACCAACCAAAATCTTCCCGTGCCGAATCGCCGGACGGTTGAGCATGCAAGACCATCATCACCACGGAAACAGGATAGTTTCTTGAATGACGATACCAAATACCTCCCACGCACAGGCTCATCCGAGCAGTCAACAACTGTACACACGAAGCGCGCCATCTTATTGGATTCAGATACAGATGACGACACCGACGCACCAAATAACAACGTCGCACCTCCGAACGAAGGGACAAATCCAGTGCTACATGCACCTGCTACACTGAAACAAGGAGAAACAGAAGTACACGAACGCCCGTTACAAGGTCTGTTGGGAGAATCCGACACAGACGACGACGGAGATGATAAGCTGGGATCTAATCCGAGTACCTTGGACTCTTCACCGATTGCAAGCATGCCCGCTCATGAAAGTACATCTATAGGTACTTCTCGTCGACATGAGGGCAAGTCTTGGGGGGATGCCAAGCTGACAGACAGGATAAATGCCACGACTGGGGGATCCAAGCCTGCTACTAATAGAATTGACGCGATGCTGGAAGACTTGTTTTTTTAATATGTGGTTGTGGCTTGAATGTACTCTATCAATTTGTATTGCCGTTTTACCATGGTATTGATGTGCACGATGCCGAAGCTCCTTCGACAGAGATTCCCGTCCTGCGGCCACTGCTCAGCCTTATGACGAGCGCTGAGTGATGAACAGTTGGACTAGTCATAGGGCGTTTGTTGATCCACTTTGCGGTGTGTTGAGGTATTCAGGCAGTAGCACTAGTTCCAACGAGGATATATATTGCTGCAATAATCGAGTCTATTTTATGTGTAGGAAACTTGATGCAATAACTAGGACCACACTACATGTCCATCATAGAAATGAAAACAGAAAGATGGGCTACTTATCCAGTTACCCACCCAATCACGCCCGCCACTAATTACTCACTGCCGGCCGCTTCCCCGCACCATCTACCCACCTCGCATGAACAGCATTCAAAAACTCTGCAACTGCCCAGTTCGCCACATTCGCTCTCGGACTCGAAAACGCATCAAAAGCATGATGCGCTCTTGGCAACTCGACGTAATACACCAACGCACCTTCCCTTTTTCGCAATACATTCACAAAATGCCGTACAGAGCCTGTGGGTACCAATTCATCATTGCCGCCCTGAAGGACCAGGAAAGGAGGGATGGACTCTGCAGTGGCAGCCGCAGAAATTGGACAGGCGTTGTCCTTGAGCCATGATTTACTGGTTGCGAAGCTGGGAAGACCGCATATGGCACGGGCGAACCATTCGTTAGCGTTGCGGTGAGCGTAGCCGCTTTGTCCAGTCATGTCCACCACGGGGTAGTAGCCAACGCAGGCCGATAGGGACGTATCGGTGCTTTCAAAACCTTTGGTTCCTGGTCAACGAAAGGAGAGGGACCGGATAACCCACGTATGCACGTACCCGGCTGGAATGCTGGATTGTTCTGAGTAAGTGCCATCATGCTTGCAATGTGTCCACCAGCAGAACCTCCACTGACTGCCACAAAATCTGTTTTATCAAAGTGTCAGCACATTCGACCCATCAACAACGTTGAAAAACAGGCAGAGACCCGCTTACCTGGATCACCACCATATTTATGAATATTCTCCCGTACCCATCGCAAGGCCCTCTTGGCATCAATCAAGTGATCCGGGTATAGAACGCCAGGGCTGAGTCTATAGTTGATATTTACCACCACCTGCAGAAAACATGAATGTCACAAATGGGCGCAAAATCACGTAACCGGGATGAGCACACACCCAATTATGCGATGCCATATACCAGCACACAGGCATCGTAAGCATCCTTTTATCACCAAATTGCCATGCTCCGCCATGGATGTAAATTAATACGGGACGCTTCGCGGGTCCGGACGTCCGGTGAAGAACGTCGAGTTGGAGCTGGCGTTCCGAGCTGCGTCCAAATTGTCGCAACTCTTCGTCCGTGACGTACGTTACTATGGGAAAGTTATGTTAGAGGCAGGCACTTATGGTGCATGACGGTCATATTGTATATTGAGAAAATAAATAACGTACTATCACGGTGTTCCATCACGTCCCAAGGTCGCCAATACGGTATCACGCTCTGAAGGAAAAATGGAAGACTACCACAAAAACTCGGTCAATAATGTCACTGTTACATTATGAGATGCGGAATCCGTACCTGATGGGCACGCTATCAAACACACCCAACCGCGACGCAGAAGACTGTAGTTCGATTTCCATTCTTTGGACCTCTTTGACGACTGCGATACGAGATGTAATATACCCATGACAAAAGATAGCCGACAATACCAACATTGACATAGTGACAAGGGATATAGAGAGTTTCCCCAAGGTCGTATCTACGGCGACAGGTGAACACATACTCAAGGCCCAGGGTACTCGCTCCGACTTACCAAATACCCCCAACCACCACGCCGCGACCACCAGCCACCAATTCCCCAAAATCACCGCCCCCGTCACCTCTTGAAACATCAGTCCAGAGCTCATCAACCCCCATTTTGCAATTGGGTGCTGGATACTCGGAGGAAAGAAACTATAGTAGATGCATATGAGACCAAAGAGTTGGGCGCCAATGAGCCACATGGACGCCAAGACTGTGAGGTAGGCTGTCGGGTGCATGGTCGACGGGATAGCAGAGGAGGAGCCTAAAGAGATAAAACGGTGTTCGGTGCACTCCGACAAACGTTGAACACCCCAGGGGGTAAAAGATGTTCCGCCTGCACACAAGCCCGTTTAGCCTCGCGTCGTGACCTTTTTGTTAAGCGAAACGTCGACGACGAACGGCCAACAAACTGGTTTTTTGCAAAGCTTTTTCTTTGTCGACCCATACAACCCATAAAGCACCCACTTCCTTTCATCCGTTTGTCCACATTCACAAAGTAACAACTTTGAAATAATGACTGCAACACTTAAACGAGAGTGTGCATTACGTAAGCGAGGCTTACCACGCGACCGAATGTCCGCCCGCAGCAAAGCACGTCCGATAACCACAGACGAGCCCGCCCATAATGTCATTTTTGCATAAACTGTGTCCATGTCTGGGCTCAAGAGGTGAGTGTTTTGTGTCGCGATACCATTTGATTGTAAATAATGATTTGTTTCCGTAGGATCCAAGGAGAGTGTTCACCCAGTGCAGGAAAAACAAGGCAATGAAAAAGAGACAAAAAGTGAAATGAAAATAGTTGATGTGCCGGTTGATGATAATCAGGTGGTCAAGGCAGAGCTCACGATGACAGATGAACATTTGGTGGTTGACGAAGACTTCGATGAGCATATTGATGCACCAATCTTGGAGTCATCAAAGGTGGAGCCACCATTACAACCCACCACCCGCTCAACACATGGATCAACAAACGCACTTGACCAATCCCCCGACGGACCACCCCGCTCCAAAGCAGCCTTTACAGACGACCCATCTGAACCAAGTATAGGTGTCCGAGGGCTCCTAAATCGCTCTCGAATCAAGAAGGAGACAGTGGAGGTAATGGACGTTGGGATTTCTGATAAGGAGGATACTCTAGAGAGGAGGGAAGGACAAGCAGAGACTGTAAAGATGGTGCACCCGTTTGAGGTGGAGGAGCTGTGAGATTTTATAAAGAGGTAATAAATAGAGATTTCTTTTATTTCTTTCGTTTCAGCTTTTTAGTCGGTGCTTTTTCCTCTTTTTCCCCAACACGATCCATTTCTGCCCACACATCCTCCTCCCCCTTCTCCTCCTCTTCGGCCTCTTCCACCTCCTCCTCCACCTCATCCACCAGCAGTCCCGTTAACCGCTGCTTCAAATACACTTTTCGCGCCAACTTTCGTTCTTGATCATACACCCTGACGAACCGATCCAATCCTACCACTACTACCGAATCTTTTGATGCGCTGATGCTTGTGATGGCTCCTGGCGACACTGGGAACTTTCCAACCAGCTTGGCTGTTTTTGTGTGCGGGTCCAGGGTGTAGTCGAGAAGATGCCCGGTTGTATCGGATACAATGGTTTGGATGCTGTTTCCGTTTTCGTAAAAACCAAGGCTTTTGAGAGGAGACTCGCCCACCGTGATATTGATAATGGGCCGACGTGCAACAGTGGTATCGTACAGTCTCAAATGAGAATGGGCAGAAATCGTTATAATGCGCGTAGCAGACACGAATGCAAGATTCGTTATCCAGATCGGTACACGCATGTCCAGGTAATCGTTTGCAACATTTTTGGCCGTCCATTTTGGTGTTGGGGGGTTTGCGAGTGTTGAGAGATCCCACAGTGTTAAATCTTGTTCGTCTCCCCCTGTTGCCAGGAGGTGAGGGTTAGATGAATGCACTTGTGCCCGAAAAAGTAGTGTCCGCTTCAGATTGTAGGTTCCCGGTGGAAAGGCGGGTGAGCCCGTCGGGGGAGGCATGACGTGAAGATTTCCCCGATCTGTGCAGGCAACCAATGTCCTAACGTCGAGAAAGATCAAAACAAATCCAAACAGAGCTCAAGATACTCTCTAGCTTACCCATCGACATCGGCAACACCCACAAAATGCTCCCCCTTGCGATGCTTGTTTAACACAACTTTTCCCTGCTCATCCACCTCTTGTTCAAACACCTTGTGATGTCTAACAATGGAACCTGCTTCAATGTCCCAGTATTCTGCTACGCCATTTTTGCGGGCTACGAGTACCGTTTGTTGGGATGATGCAAAACATATGAACTGGATCTCAGCTTCTCTGTCAATTGTCCCTAGGGTGCGGGGTGGAGGGATGGATGGTGTGGATGCGTTTGTCCGTGGTTTTTTAGGGGTGGGTGTGGATCGGGGTATGGAGGTGATTTTAATAAGACCTACTTCATCGCTGGTAATGTAGCGCATGGTTGTGCCGTCAACAAAATGGCAAGCCCAATTCCACCGCGAGCGGAGAAGGACGAACAAAAACAATTCAAACGCTTTGTCATGAAATGCCATGGCAACAAATATCACACGTGATATAATGATGGTTAAACTTGGGTGGATTGTGAGTGGAATGCATGGATGCGGTTGGGGCAATCTTGAGTAAGACATGATGATCGAGGCAATCGCGTCCGGTTTTCCAAAGTGTTTTTGCCACGCTCGTTTACGTTTACCGATAGAATTGCCATCGTTTTTTTGGATAAAGGCCGTACGCTGAACGATCCGTATTCTTGCGATAACCACCGTGCATAAAATGGAGGTCGACGCGCAAGATGAGGGCAACGGCGGAGGGCTTATCAGACCTGACGACGAAGAGGTATTTTAACATCTGTGCCGTCTGTAGCTTTTCATCATGTCGACCTTGCCAATAGGTGGGAACGGTACCACCACCGGACCAGCTCTCAGAGCTTTACGACTCCCGACATACAGCGAACAGCTCGCAGTGGGAGCAAACATTAAAGAATGTCATTCCCGCCATTGTCAGCATTCGGTTTATAAGCGTGCGGAACTTTGGTAAGTTATCGTCTGCCTCCTTTATTGTTCGCATTATTGAAGGTCTCTTATCTATCGATAGATACGGAATATCAGCGTGCATCTCAAGCAAGTGGATTCATTGTTGATAAGACGAGAGGGGTGCGGCCACTGCGTGGATATAGTACGAAGGGGACACTGGCTTATGCCTTTCTTACACTCCTATGTGGCAGATTGTCTTGACCAACCGACATGTGGTACAACCGGGGCCTATCTTGGCCGAAGCGATTTTAAATGAATCAAAGGAAGAAATACAATTGACTCCGATATATCGTGATCCGGGTAGGTGTGCTGCATGGATTACGGTGACTATTTGTCTGGTTAAATTTGACAATTCTTTCTTCCCGTCTACAGTCCATGACTTTGGGTAATGCTGTCATCTATGGAAGACGAGAGACACAGAATGACTAGTCGCTTATGCACTTCTTGTAGCTTCTTCCAATTTGATGCTTCCACTGTGAAGTACATGAAGGTGCGTCTACGGTAAAAGGTCGCTTCTCTTCCCAAAACTTAATGATTTGTTACAGATCGTCGAGATTCCGCTGGCACCCGAGCAAGCTCGCGTTGGCATTGATATACGTGTGGTAATGCCGAGGCATGCCGTTGACTTGCTGTGTTTCATTAAGGTCACTGATCTATGTACTTGCTTTGACCGTTTAGGTCGGCAACGACTCTGGAGAGAGACTAAGCATATTAAGCGGGACATTAGCGAGGTACGTTGTTTGCAACTTTACTCCTATAGATCACTAGCATCTAAGCTATCCATCGTGAACAGACTAGATCGAAAAGCACCGTACTACGGGGCAGGGAGATTTAACGGTTGGTTGGGCTCTTTGATCGCGTACCCAATCTCGTCGGTTATTGATTGAGATCCAACTGATTTGGATGCGTGCAGATTGGAACACCTGTGGGTTGGATCACCTTTTGCTATCGCTTTTTACGCATTGGCTCACGCGAGCCCCTTCTTAGTCTATTACCAAGCGGCGTCTATGACGTCGGGAGGTGAGTGCGCGATCGTGATGATGACGAGGAGATTGAAAGTCAGTATTTTGCTGATCAGATAAACGATTGCATTTTAGGCAGCTCCGGATCACCAGTTATCAATGTTGAAGGAAATGCCATTGCACTGAATGCAGGTAATGACCCGTGAATTCCACACTCCTGCGCTACCATGTCGACCAACAGTCTTTGTTGTAGGGGGAGCTACTTTGAGCGCTTCAAGCTTCTTCTTACCACTGGATAGAGTCGTTCGCGTATTGAAATTGATTCAGCAAGGTCAACCAATTCCTAGAGGTAAGAGCAAAATGATCTTTTGGAATTTGGCTGGGTGTGCTCATTGTGGCATCAGGAACGGTTCAGACAGTTTTCAAGTAAGCCCTTCTGATTGAATGGATGGGAACGTAGGTGATCAGATGTAAAAGGATTTACTTCTCTCTTTTTTTTTTCTTAACTGAAAAGATTCACTCCGTACGATGAAGTCAAGCGACTGGGCCTTGATGCTCCCAAAGAAGCCACTGTGCGTGATATGTTCCCTGAGAGCACTGGTATGCTGACAGTCAGGTATGTCTGCAACTGGTGGTCATTATTATCACGGAATCTGTTATGCTTAACATACCATCTTCTAGTCAGGTCGTGCCAAAAGGGCCCGCGGATGGTCGACTGGAGGTCTGTGTGATATGCGCTGTCATGACCTTGAAAATATGTCACTAAGCAGGGCACAATGCAGGCGGGCGATATTTTACTGAAGGTCAATGGCCAGTCTCTGATTTCGTTTGTTCCTCTCGAGGAGATTTTGGACTCGAGTGTTAATGAAGAGATTCATCTGCTTGTGCAAAGGTGGGCAGTGTCGTAACTTTGATGGGATGTTCCCGATTTGACGATTGTGGTGGTATCATAGAGGGCTTGAGGTGAAGGACATTGTGCTACGCGTTCAAGACCTCCATAGTATTACCCCGGATCGGTTTGTCGAAGTCGGTGGAGGGATCTTGAATAACCTATCATACCAAATAGCACGAAGTTTTATGGTGCCCGTTGGAGGTGTATTCGTTGCTGGTGAGTCTAGCACTCTCTTCTGCCCAGGGGAGTAGTCATTTATTTACTATTGTTAGGTGCTGGCTATATGTTGCATCTGGCTGGAATACAAAGGAGATGCGTCATCACAGCGCTGAACAATGTCCCTACGCCTACAATCGACCGGTTTGTTGAGGTCATGAGCAGCTTGAAGAATAATGAGCGAGTCCCGATCAGACACTATCACCTGAGCGATATCAATAAGGAGAAGTTGGCCTTGGTACAGGTTGACCGACGCTGGCATCCCTTTAATATGGCGACCCGGAACGACAAAACCGGTGTATGGGATTATGCCCCCCTGCCACCCTGTATTGGCGAGGCGGTTTTTAAACCCCATACTGCGTCGCATATTAGATTGGATGAAAGCTTGGGACCAGCTCGCGCCGTAGTACCTGCACTGGTGCATGTAGAATTTCATCTGCCTTTCCGAATTGATGGCGTAATCCATCAAGTTCATAATGGAATCGGTTTGGTCATCGATTCGACCAAAGGACTTGTCATTGTGGACAAGCACGCCATACCGACCTCTGTGGGCGATATCTTATTAACATTTGCGAACTCGATCATCGTCCCAGGACGACTGGTCTACCTTCACCAAGTGTACAACTATGCTATCGTTCAATACGGGGTGGAACTGCTGGGTCAAACGTTTGTCCAGGAAGCCACTATCTCAAATAAGCCGCTGAATCAAGGCGACCCGGTTTTCCTGATCGCTCTCACAAAATCCTACCAGCCTATTGTTCGCAAAACGGTTGTTACAAACGTACGCCAATTCTACGTTAATGAACCCATTCCACCTGCTTATCGCGCCATGAACGTTGAGGGGATCGAACTGGAGAATCCTGTCTCACAGGGCGGCGTGCTGACTGATTCGCAAGGGCATGTCCAGGCGCTATATGCAGCATATACGAAGCATGCCGCTAAAAGTCGAAATGAGTTTTATTTGGGACTGCCCATTGAGGTGGCATTACCTGTCATTGAGCAGTTGAGGCGTGGCGACAGACCAGTATTGAAAGGGCTGGAGGTAGAATTGACGTATGCGCAAATTGCTCATGCGAGAATACTCGGCTTGAGTGATGAATGGGTCAGTATCGTTCAATTGATCATGATGGAAGCCGAATAGGTTGGGTTTTGACACATGTATCTTGTAGGTAAAACGCATCGAAGGATCACACCTCAGTCGGCGAAATGTGTTGGTCGTGCGCCGGTTGACATCGGGCACGGATGCGTCCAAATTGTTGAAAGAAGGCGATTTGATCCTTGCTGTGGACGGCCAACCTGCGACCAAGTTTATGGACATTATGGACCACGTCGGACGAGACACACTGGAACTGGTAGGTGTTTGGATGACGCGTCTTATCATGTTGTGTGGCATTAATAAGCCTCGTAAAAGACCGTACTGCGCGAAGGAAACGAAGCGAATATTTCGGTTCCCTTGTCGCTTTTGGACGCTACTGGAACTGAGAGGATCGTCGGATGGTCGGGAGCAATTTTTCAGAGTAGGTGGTTGTATAAACGTAAGACTGAGATCCTCACTGACTCTCGATCTCTAGTGCCACATAAGGCTGTTTATCAGCAATTAAAGGATGTGCCGAATGGTAAGTTTGATGAGATCTGTGCTGTGGACATGTTTGGTATTCATTTCGGGGATTTCAGGGGTTTTATGCTCGGTTGTATATGATGGGTCACCCTCTCAGCTTTACAATTTGCATCCACTCACATGGGTAACGGAGGTAAAGATCTGCCTGGAAGCTGCTCTATTCTTGCTCAAGCTATGGATGTAATCTGTATGACATTTGTAGATTAACGGCCAAAGTATCGATTCATTGGATGCCTTCCTGGCAGCAGTCTCGACAATACCGTCCGGGTCCTTTGCGCGCTTACGAACTGTCACGTTCAACCGCTTTGTCAAGGTCATCACCATTCGGACCAACCGACATTACTTTGGAACATGGGAAATCAGGAGAAATGAGGACGTTACCATGAGGGTTAATGGAACTAGTAGAGAGGGAAATCAGTCTGAATGGTCTTTTACAAGTTTTAGTTAGATATCTTTAATCATCAGCATCAGCAATATATCATGATCGCTAATAGATAATGTTGACAAACAGACAAAATGATATGTATTATCATGATAAGTAATTCCCACCCATACCTCCCAACCCATTGACTCCCCCTACGCCACCCATACCCGGCATACCCATGTTATTCGCAGTCAATACCGCGCCATTCGGTCCAACTGCCTGTACTCCAGCTAAATTTACAGGTACTCCCACGGGTGGCATGCCCTGTACGGGCATGGCAGGCATGCCTTGCATCATGGCGGGTGTCATCATCGGCGTAGGCATACCAGCCGCCAAGAACTGAGGGGAAGCAACAGGCTGACCGTACTGAGCCTGCAAAAAGTCGTGGAAGTAAACGTGGTTCAAAGCGTCCTTGGCGCTTATTCTTCGAGTTGGCTCATAAACCAGCATTTTGCTCAATAGATCGTATCCCATCCAGTCCATGTTAGGTATTTTCGATGAGAGGACTTGTCCCTGATATATCGGCCAGTTTGGTTTGTACTCGGGTAGCTCTGATACTCGTGGCCAAATCTCATCCGTCGGTGTTCCGAGGAGTTTAAAGATTTTGTAGAGTTGGTCTTCGTTTGTTTTACCTGGAAAGAGCGGTTTTCCCGAGTACATTTCGGCCATGATACAGCCTGCCGACCAAATGTCAATGGAAGTGGAGTAGTTGCGGGATCCGAGGAGGACGTCGGGGGCGCGGTACCAGAGGGTTACGACTTCGTTGGAGAAGGTGTTGACGGGGATACCAAATGCACGAGCAAGACCAAAATCGCCAAGTTTTAGCTCGCCTTTGGAATTGATGAGCTATGTGCATATTGTTAATGATCCTGGTTGATTGTTTGCGTGGGCGATGAAAATTCTACATACCAGGTTCTGTGGTTTCAAATCTCTATGCAGCACGCGGTTATCATGACAAAAGGCTATCCCCTTCAACAACTGATACATGAACCATTTGGCCATATGCGGCTGAATCATTCCACCCGTTCCCAATGAATCCATATACTTTTTCAAATCCTGGTCCATGTACTCAAACACCAGCGTCAATGTCTTTTCAGTGTGAATGACATCGTGGAGACGGACGATATTTGGATGTCGCAGTTCTTTCATTAACGATATTTCCCGTATAGCTGTGGATGGTGCACCTTCTTCATTATCGAGATGAATTTCCTTCAGAGCAACGATGGAACCGTCGTTGCGGTTTTTGCCCTTGTACACAGTGGCATAAGTTCCTTCTCCAAGCTTTTCCAAACGAATGTAGCGCTCCATTGAGGACATGGTTGATGTGATAGGGCGTACGCTGTTGAAGTGTGGGGAGCAAGAGGTAATTGTATCACTGACAAGCTACTGTTGTTGTGGCTGTTGGTGACCGTTTTCGCTGCAAGTCGCCAAACGTGCCGACAATGGATTGCTGAAACCGCTGGCAGACCCCAAAGTATCTGCTCGGACGACAGTGTAGATGCCTGACCAATGCCGGGTTGCAACAAAATGTCCAAACAACAATGGAGGGGGAAATTGTCAACTTTTGAGGTTATTATCGCAGTCCAGAAGACGCTTGTCGGACGCGGAGGCTGGGGGCGTGATGCGGCGGCACAGTCACGTTGATAGAATCCTTCTGGCCATGGCGAGATCAGCACACCCACAACGTTCATGCAACGTGTTAAAACGTATCGATCAACACTTATAGTTGGAACGTCAATCAAAGCACTTAAAGAACAGCCATCCCACCCAACGGAAGCAGAAAGACCACCACCAAAGCATCGCAAGAAAAGTTGAGCATGTCAAATGGTTCGGCGGTGGATCGATCGTTGGATTTTGGCGCGGAATATGCTTACCTACACAAAAGTCACGAGATTACACAACCTCCGACGGCCAACGCGTTTCAGAAAGAAGATGGTTTTTGCAACTGGGACGGAAAATAAAAAGGGAGGACCTTGCGTTGCAATCGCCCGGGATCTGTTTGCGATTGTAGTTGGCGGACGAGTTTAACGAGAGACAGCAAAATGTCAGGAAGACAGCGAGACATGGATATCGAGGCCTACCCAATGGGCTCTCCCAAAGTTGAAAAGAAGGGCGTGAACAAGTTTGCAGACCAAGTGGGAAGCGGTGCCATGAAGGGCGTCAAAGCTGTCGGCGGTGTCCTGGACAACTTTAAAGAGTTCTTGAACCGGGGTAACGTGGTTGACCTCGCGGTCGGTATCGTTATGGGAGCGGCTTTCACAGCGATCGTTACCTCGCTTGTGCAAGACATTTTCACGCCCTTCATTTCGTTGGCAACGTCGGCCAACTTGGCCAACAACTTTTTGATCCTGCGTTGTCCCAAAGCTGTTAACGCAAGCCAGCCTTTCTTTCCGGACTATCCTCCCCGCTCCTTTTGTCAGGACTTTTGGAAGACGACCGCTGAAGCTCAAAAAGCGGGCGCAGTAACATGGTAAGCACATAGTATTACATGCGCTACTCCTGAATCCTTTATTAACGCTGCTGCTCTCTTTAGGAACTGGTAAGCAATACTGATCCTTGTTGATCCTGATCGCGATCGTACCCTTACCGATCCTAAATTTTAGGGGTAACTTTGTTCAGAGCGTAATCAACTTTTTGATCATCTCGGTCATCATTTTCTTCATTGTTAAAAGTAAGCAGCGCCGTGCACAATCTTTACAGACATTTTTGACTAACTCTCATGTCTCAATCAGTCTATGCTGCTGCGTTCCGTCGCAAGAAGCCCGATGTCAAGACCAAGGAGTGCCCATTCTGCTGCAAAGACGTTCCCATCAAAGCTACACGTTGCCCCATGTGTACATCGGACCTTGATCCTCCTTCGGAAACTTCTCAACCTGAACCCGCTCTTCTCATCGTCGACAAAAACGGCGCAAAGAAATGGCGGTGATTTACGCCGATCTGTATAAATCTAGATTGCTTTTTGGCTGTGTATTTTCTTTTTGGGACGTTTGTTTTTTTGTATTTAGCTAAAGTTTCTTTGGTTAGATAATTTCTAGTTACATGTTTTAGAAAGTGGAATGTAAAAATGAATGATATTTTACATGTAGATTTACAATAACAAACGCAAGTATCTATCCTTATATGTGCAATTTACTTTTTGGTGATGCAGTGCAATGGAAACCAGTTGGCCAGATCCGCCAACCAGCCATCCCAGATATGCCTCATGCACCTGCATAGCGAAGCTAAGATGCCCACCGCTACTCAGGCTGCATCTTCACCTCATATACATCCGACATCGCCTCCAATGCTAAACTCCGTAATGATAGATTCGCTCCAAAGAACGCCATAATTGCCCTCATCTCCACCTGCGGAGCAAAAGTATCAGGCTTTGCATCCTTTGACAAAAATTCACAACCGATCTTTTCCATACCGCAGAATTCGGCATTGTATGTCCCTTGCCTGGGATCTCATGGACCTCGAGCTTGCCGTCTTGTGGTATCACTCTCTTGAGAAACGTCATCTTCATGCCCACTATTACTACCTTGTTACAAACGACAGTAAATCAATTGGCAGCACTGACCCTCTTTTTCCACTCATTATGGCCAATAACGTCATCGTTCAGTCCTTGCGTTATCAGCAATTTCACACCCTTGTTCACCTCTGGTAGCTTCCCGCTGTACAAGGCTTCACTTGGCCATCCACTGACACTAACTGCACCGCCTAGCCTGATGGTCCCGAAAAGGGCTAGATCAATCGCACAAACTCCTCCTTGAGAAAACCCAAACAAAAAGATGTTTTCTGCTGGCCAGCGGTCAGGAGCTTCTGGACTGGCCAAGATGGCTTTGTTGAGAAGGTTAACGAGGAGGTTGCGAGTTGTCTTGACGGCCTCTTGCACGACAGCAGAAGAATGGGGTCGCTCTGTCCATGATAATCTGTTGTCAGTTATCCACCCATATATTCGTACTCAAAGACTGAACCGCACCATTTCCCTCGGCATCAAATGCGGGAGCCCATCCAGTCCCTTCATGATACGGTATCGGACAAGGCCCTTTTATGGCCAACAGGGACGTTTGGGGCAGTCGCATCTTTTTTCCAAAGTTTATAAAGTTCTCTGCATTCCCAGCATAGTGGTCACTTGTTGAATTCTGCATATATAGTCATCTCGTTAGGAGTTGGTACCTGGTGTATCTCCTAAGCACAACTGTGTGAGCAATGGTAGGAAAGGGTCATTGTGAATGGGAATGACATACCAAGTCCGTGGAAGAGAATGAGAAGGTTGTGGTCAACCCCGTCATGGCTTGGGCTGTAAACGAACTATTCCGACAAGATCAGGAAGGGCCGAGGGATAGGACTGTGTTGTTTTCTTACGTGCAAGTCTGGAAAGTGTGCGGGATTCGGAGGAGTTTTTTGTATGGAAGACTTGCTGATTTCACAAGATTGCAAATGCCTCATCGTTTGTAGAATATGCTGAGGACTCTGGATTTGATCGACTTGTGATAAGCAACTTCCAGTGGTTTAAATGGTCACACTGTTTGCCTGCGCAATTGGAGGAATGAAATGGGTTTGCGTCTCGGTGACAGCGGGCGCACAATTCGATGTTTCGAGTAATTACGGGCTTCACTTTCTGCTGATTCTCTCAACGGGGCATTTCCCAATTATGCAAATACCAACCACGTTCCAGCAGCATATATCGATAATTACTTCACGTTCACACCAAACTGTATGCAAAAAAAAAAAAACAAATCTTTCACCAGGATCAAGAATCTAGGGACTTTCTACAACAAGCCGCCTGTAAACAATAGCGCACTGCCTGTCCACAAAACATAAATACACTCTTCAAAGCTTTGCCTTAGGTGCTTCTACCGGGGCTTCTTTGGCCGCTGCTACTTCCTCGTACAATGCGTCAATGATTGGCCTGTACTTATCCTATAACCAAGAAATAAACGTCAGCAACATTCACCAATCTTTGACAATGCTGGATATACATACCGCAGCTTCATTTCGCTTCAACTTGAAAGTCGGTGTCATCATGTTGTTGTCCACACTCCACACTTCGGGTTCCAGATGAATTGCCTTGACAAATTCGAAACCGCGAAGTTTATCGGCTTTTCCAAAACTGTCAAGATCTGCTTGAACGGCTTTACGGAATTTGGGGTTTTTGCAGAGTTCCACCATGTGGGGTTGGGGAGGTTGCGCAGGGTTAAGTGGTACGCCGGCCGGGGTGTTGGCGGGGAGGAGACCATGGTCTTTGGCCCATTGAGTGCTGTACTCGGGGTCGGGGACCACCACACCGACGAGTTCGCTCTGCAAACTGTCACCGTGGACATACATCTGAGCAACAAAGTTACTCTTAATGTACGTGTTTTCAATCTAATTGAACCTGTGTAAGCAGGGTCGTCATGGTCAAACCTTAGCGTCAAGTACTTCTCACCTTCTCCGGGGCAATGTACTCTCCTTGTGCCAACTTGAAAATGTTCTTCTTACGATCGATAATGTAGATTCTTCCCTTTTCGTCAATGGAACCGATATCACCAGTCTTAAGCCAGCCGTCTTCAGTGATAGTCTCCGCAGTCTTCTCAGGGTCCTTGTGGTAACCTTTGAAGACGTTGTGTCCACGGATCCAGATTTCTCCTTTGTTGTCGTTTGCATTGTAGTTCATCTCCGGGACCGAAACAAGCTTAACTTCTTGGCTGCATTAAATCGAAAGCATCATGAGGATCATCTCATACACCCTGCGTAGATGACGATGCGACACTCACCAAGCAATTGGCGGGCCCACGTGGCCCACAGTGTAATCCCCAGGCCAGGTGACACCACAACCAGCAGTGGACTCGGTCTGACCGTAGCCTTCGGAGATTTGGAATCCAAAAGCGGCCCTCAAGAAAGCCATAACATCCTTGCTAAGGGGAGCAGATCCAGACAAGATGAAGCGCATTTTTCCACCCATTACCGCCTTCACCTTATTGAAAACCAGGCGGTCCCAAACAGGGTGCGTTAGTGAGCCCTGTTTCAAACCCTCAAGCTTGGAGTTGAGTGCCATGCGGAAAAGGCCTGCCTTCACCGCGGAGCCAGACTCTAGGGCTCCCTGGTTGATTTTATCGTAAATACGGTTGAGAAGACGAGGAACCGAGGGGAAGGTAGTGGGCTTCAAGGTGGTGAAATCGTCCATCAACAGTGTAACTAATCAAATGTTCCAGTAAGGACCAGTACCTGACAAAGATGCAAAAAAAAAGACTACGTACCATCACCCCGGAAAAAGCCAATGGCGGCTCCCTTGACAACAACCGAGTTGATGACCACCTTTTCAAACACGTGCGCCAGCGGGAGGTAACTACAATGGATATCATCCTTCCACATAGGAATTGTCATTTCGGTAGCGCGCTGGACGGCAACTGCATTGGCGTGTGTCAACAGTGCACCCTTGGGGTTTCCGGTTGTTCCCGACGTGTAGCAAATGCACCAAATGTCATCTGGAACGGGCAATCGCAAAGGAACGGGGTTCTGTTTACCCAACTCTTCCACCTCATTAAACTCATACAAGGCAATCTCCTTTTCTGTGGCCCATTGCTTGAGGACGCTGTACGCAGATGGCCCGTTCGTGGCACCAGGTGTCAAAGACTCCATGACAACGATCGCCTTGAGGGTCGGGATCTGCTCCGACAGCTTTAGCAAGATAGGCACCTTGTCGATGGAGGTCACGACAATCGGGACATCAGCGTGATTCAGGATGAACTCTGTGGTCTCGGGACCGAGCGTATCGTAGAGAGCAACGGTGGCAAGCGCGTACGCATCCGCTGCCCAACTTGTGATGAGCCATTCTGGGCGGTTGATCTGATTCCCAAATCTCAGTTGCTGGTTGCAAAGCATCAACTGACTTTGCAGGTACTTACCGAGTAGATACCAATGTTGTACTTGTCCTCAGCGTCGCCACCAACGACATCGGTGTAGATCTGCTGCAAACCGGCACCAAGGTTGAGGCGCCGCTCACCAACCTTTTTGTACGTTTCCCACGTATAGCCGCTCCATTGCAATGCTCCAGTCTTGTCCCGGCCGATCACCCGACGATGTCCAAGTAGAGGACCGTTCGGGTTGGTCTTGATACCCTGCTCAAGAAGATCGTAGACAGTTTTGATACCGGGGTAATCCTTGACGAGTTCTCCAGGGGACAAGGCGGACCGGAAGATTCCTATGAGACCATACTTGTGTATTAGAACACACTGATGCACACAATGTGCTGTCAACGTGTAGAAACACACCAGTCTCTGTATCATCCTTTCGAGTTCCAGGTAGCTCCACCGCCTGCTGCTTGAACTTCATCAGCGACTCTGGGTCATAGTATGGAACATTAAGGTTCCCAGGTTTATTTGCAAATGCGTGCATGGTGGTGGGCGAACAAGAGGAATATATGGAATGGTGCTAGATGAAAAACGGTAGTCCAATGTTCAGTCCGTGATCTCTTTTTGTTACAAGCACAATTGTCAAAGTAGACGTTCTACACCCGCCAACCTACCTGTCACTGGAGATTGCGTAGGAGGTACTTGTGCGTGCCTTGTTTGCACAGGAAACCGTTGGCGGATGGGGGGTTGAAATGGCGTAAATTCAACAAAACGGAAAGACGCAACGAGTTGAATCCGGCAGCGATTTCATCCGCCCCAAATGTCACATGGGGCAGATTGACATGTGACTGGAAGATCTTATTGGGGGCTTAGCCAACGGAACGAGATGACAAAGTGCTTCAAGGCGAACTTTAAATTGCTGTTGCATTGCAGTTTGAGTAGATTTCATTTCAACTTTTGTTGCCGATGGCTCCTTCCAAAGCGCCAGAAATCCCGCGGGTTCTTCCCATCATCCCGACACGCAATAACCGGGTCCTCCTGCCCGGAATCGTGCTTCGCCTGCAAATTGGGAGGAGAGACACGACGCATCTGATGGACCAGCTATGGCTCCAATATGCGAAAAACCAGAGCATCATTGTCGGCTGCGTTCCCATCAAACCTATTGCCAAGGATGATCAATCAAGTAACGGTACATCTACACCGACCTCTTCTGTATCCCGCTTGGGAAAGCCACGTACCGTCGAGCAGGACGATGGCCGGAAACCTATAGACCAAAGCGAGCTCTTTTCATGGGGTGTTGCTGCCCGCATTGTGGCATTTAAAAAGAATAGTCCTAATGAGGCTAGACTCTCTCGCGCTACATATGCTGTGACATTGGAAGGTTGGTTTCCTGCTAGTGGTACCTCTTAATAGCCTTAGTTTTGACTCTGATTTGCAGGGATTGCGCGATTCAAAATTGAAAAGTTTGTAAAAACTGTTCCATATTTCGAAGCTGCTATAAGCATCCATATGGAGATGGAGATTGATAAAGAGGACACAGAGCTGCAAGCAATCATTCTGAACCTGCGCACAAGTGGACATGGTTAGTTTGTCCCTCCCGAATAGAATTTGCGCAGTTGTGCTAACTTTTTGAATCAAGAACTAGCCAATGTTCTTTCCCAACTACAGCTTCCACCAACAGTACTCAACCAACTCAGGCAAATGCTCGACTCAACGCCACCAGGTCAGCTGGCTGACTTGTTCGCCAGTATGATCGATGTGAGCATGGAGGAAAAACTGCAAATTTTGGAGACCATTGATGTGAAGACGCGGATTACCCGTACCTTGGAGCTGCTCACGCGACAGATACAAGTCCTAAAGATATCTCAAAAGCTACAATCCACCGTGGAGAGTAAATTAGGGAAAAAGCAACGGGAGTTTTACCTCCGTCAACAGGTAAATTTCCGCATCAAAATCTTTACGCAAATGTGGTAAATAGCTCAATTTGTGCACTAGCTTGATGCGATCAAAAAGGAATTGGGAGAGTCAGATGACCAGGAGGAGGACGACGTGGCAGACCTCACAAAACGGATCTCCGAAGCAAAACTGCCAGAAGAAGCAACCAAAGCCGCTGAACGTGAACTTCGCCGTCTGAAGCGGATGCATCCGAGTATGGCAGAGTATCAGGTCGTTCGTACCTATCTAGAATGGCTGTCCGAACTCCCGTGGGAGAAGCAAACTGAGGACGTGATGGACATTGCGCGGGCCCGAAGTCAATTGGATGAAGATCATTTTGGGTTGGAGAAGGTCAAAACCCGTATTCTCGAGTACCTTGCTGTCCGGAAACTTAAGCAAGATCTCAAGGGACCAATTTTGTGCTTCCTTGGGCCTCCAGGAGTTGGGAAAACGAGTCTGGGCAAATCTTTGGCGAATGCCTTGGGACGTAAATTCCATCGTATTTCTCTGGGGGGCGTGAGGGATGAAGCCGAGATCCGTGGACATAGGCGAACTTATATTGGTGCGCTTCCTGGGCGGATCATTCAGGGACTTCGAAGATGTGGTGTGAATAATCCAGTAATCCTACTCGGTATGTGCTTTTTGCATCGTTTATATAAGTCCAAACTTTGGTATTCTTCTGGACTCACCTTGCTGTTTGCCTTTCGCAGACGAGATAGATAAGCTGGGCCATGACGCCCGTGGGGACCCTTCCTCAGCATTGCTCGAAGTTTTGGATCCAGAGCAGAATTCAACTTTCACCGATCATTACCTCAACGTTCCCTTTGATCTTTCCAATGTCCTTTTCATTGCCACCGCAAACGATGCAGATACGATTCCGGGTCCGCTGTTCGATCGTATGGTGAGGATACAGCAAATTGAAATTAGATGTGATGATTTGGTACCAGAAACTGACATAATTGCAACGTTTAATAGGAAGTGATACGCATTCCTGGATACACATTTGATGAGAAACTTCACATTGCAAAACGGCACCTTTTGCCAAAGCAAATCAAAGCTCACGGAATTGAACCTGACGAAATTCGGATTGAGGAGAATGTCCTCATGAAGATTGCCACGGGGTACACCCGTGAAGCCGGTGTCCGTAACTTGGAGCGGGAAATTGGAGCGGTTTGTCGAGCGATGGCCGTGGAGTATGCGGATGCAAAGGAAAAGACTACCCCTGATGCGTTCAATGGGAACGTGACACCAGAAAAGCTGGAGAAGATTCTTGGACCAGAGAGATTTGATGATGAAGTTGCGGAACGGGCCTCGATACCGGGTGTTGTGACTGGATTGGCTTGGACAGCCAGTGGGTCCGGTGGATTGTTATTTATTGAGGCGACGCAGATGGCTGGGAAGGGGGTGCTTCATCTAACCGGTAGGTTCCTTTCCATTTGTGACTTGGTCATAATGTAAGACAGATTTATTGACTTTGCTTTGTCTCCGAAACGACAGGCAAACTGGGTGACGTGATCAAGGAATCCGCTCAATTGGGTCTAACTTGGGTCCGCGCAAACGCCACCCGCCTAGGTCTCGCCAAAGTCTCAACCTCGAATGTCCTTGAAGGTCTCGATGTCCACATCCATCTCCCCGCCGGTGCGATTCCCAAAGATGGTCCTAGCGCCGGTGTCACTATCGTCACTGCCCTCGTCTCCCTCTTTTCCCAAAAACCTGTTCGCGACCATACTGCGATGACAGGCGAAATAACATTGAGGGGCCAAGTACTCCCCGTCGGCGGTATCAAGGAAAAAGTCCTTGCAGCTCATCGTGGTGGCATTCGACGGGTCATCATACCGTTTCGAAATGCCAATGATTTGCGAGAGGTCCCCGCAAACGTGAGAAAGGATATTGAGTTTGTGTTTGCCAAAACGGTTGATGAGGTACTTGCTGCTGCTTTTGAGGATGGGTGGAAAGGTACGAACAAGAATCTGGGTACCCCTGCGTCTGAGGATGGGACGTTTGGGCAGCAGGTCTATGTTAAGGCCAAATTGTAGAGCAGATGTAGAATAGCTGGCGTATATTTTTTTATGTTTGTGTGAACTTTTGCTTGTATTTTCTTTCTCATTTGTGTTCTATGGTTCGAAAATAGTCGTTATTTTGAAATACCCTTACCTTTCTGTGGAGGACAATGTGTGATCGTCCTTGTCAGCTCTTCCACCTCTGTAAGAAGTTTGGCCACCGTCACCATCTTTTGGTCAAAAAGTGGTGTGAACAGACAACGTCCGACGCCTTTTCATCTGCAAGTCTTTCTATTTGACAGCATGCTATTCCACATCATCCGCGTACGACCAAGCCTACGTTTGACGCAGCACTGGCGGTGCATATTCCATCGACATATTCATTGGTAGAGGATGAGCTATATATATGGAAGTGGATAATAGTGTAGATCTAGAAATAATCCCAGGCTACGAGCAGTATTGTCATTGGGTTGAGCGTATTGGGTAGCTTGCGTGCGTACAATAACCGATAACCGGTAGCAGTGGCTCCAAGCTCCTTTGAAACGTACGAGATATCAAAACAGTTTGGCAGCGTGCTGGACAATTCTTTGCTGACGGGATTCTAACACTTTTGTGTTGAAATTTGTCCGTGCACAGATTGGCGGGCCTCCCGAATCAGCGAAAACACTGGCTGGTATCACATCTCCAATGTGCGTTGACACGGCTCTTGTTCCATTAACCGACCTATCAGGCTTGATGCCTAGTGCTTTCTGAGCTCGACATCACAATGTTTGCAAATTCAAGATAGTGCTCATATGCGCCAAGTTTTTGATTTGGATTGTCAAGTTTGACAATTTGGAAGATTATTTTATTTATTGGTCATGAAAAAGTCGTTTGGAATAGGCATTTTAATATTTTATTATATCAAGATTACAAGAACTGCTACTGTACAATAGGCACTTTATTACAAGATCACAAAGACTTATCGCACCCAAACAACCAAAACACCATAGGCAAGTACAATAGCAAAAGGTTCCACTCTGCATTTACCCGGGCTTGTGACCGGCAACCACAAGTGCAAGACTTGTGGCAGGCTGCATTTGAACCACAAACGAACGTACGCACCTTTATCGTTCCCTGCAAAGAAATGGTGCGCCGAAACGGAAAAGAAAACAAGGTACAAACCCGCCGCGCCGACCGAAGGAGGAGGAGAACCGACCGACCGACCGCCCGACCGACCGAAGGAGGAGAACCGACCGACCGACCGCCCGACCGAAGGAGGAAGACCGACCGACCGACCGAGATATGAGGCGCGACCGAGATATGAGGACCGTCCGAGATAAGAGGCACAACCGAAGACCGACCGACCGACCGAGATGAGGCACGACCGAAATATGAGGCACAACCGAAGGAAGACCGACCGACGGACCGAAATATGAGGCGAACCGAAGGAAATATGAGGCCCGAGTGAACGGAGAGACGCGAACGAACGAAGGAGGGAAGACCGAACGAATGAAAGCCGGCCGACCGAACGAACGAAAGACGACCGAACGAACGAACTAAAATAAATAAGAAAAGTGAAAGACAAGCACGCAACAGGAAGGCAAGAACAGAGGAAAACAAGAAACATGAGAAGAAGAAGAAAAAAAACGAGTGAAGACAAGTTGGGGAGATGGGCGAGAGGGTGCCTTTTTATAGACTTTCCGAGGCCCCCCCATCTCGCGCAGTACTCCCCCATCAATCTCCAAAAAGAAAAGAAACGGGGCCTAATTGCGATGGCGTGCTGGGGCTGGTATTCGGGATATCGCGGAAGAAAAAAACAAAAAACGCGCGCGCGTGTCAATGTGGTCAGGTATTTCAAATACACTCGTCATCATGCAAGGGGTAAACCTGGTCGTTCCATCCACGCATGGAGTAATTGAAATTGCAGGGTTCTTTTGTACACCAGCTGCATGACCCATTACGTTCTGGATCTACTGCACCTCGTTCAACAGCGCAAAGAACAAACAATGTCCGTCCAATTCATGCGCTAAACGAATTATGCGAGTATCCATCTCCAATAATGCATAATAAGCACTGCAGCTGTTCACCCCGTAAGAGTAGATGGACATGCAACCTACGGTGGGCCTGGGCAGAAGGGCTCATAGGAAAAAGAAGGAAGGAGACCAAGGCGATATGTCAACTTTTCGCGAGGCTTAGTTACGCGTGCGTCTGCGGCACAGTTTTCTTAGAGGTGTTCCATGTCCCATGGACCCACCCTCTCCTTTTGTATATTTCAACGGGCATTTTAATGTATATTTGAAGATGGAATTTCAAATATTCGTAGAAAGACACTTTGAGAGTGTAATTATTTTATGCAGTGCTGGGCTTTAGCAAGGAATAGGACGACGGTGGTGAGTTGAGAGCTAGCATCCTCCATCCGTCCTGCAGCAGCGTTCTTGGCATACTCCAATGGGCGTTCAGAGTTAGAGCGATAATTGGACAAGAAGCATGGAAGGAAGGGACTTGTGTTCTGATGTATCTGTCCTGTGTGACGATAGAGTACGCGATATCCGCGTGCGTCATCGCCTTTGTATCCCCCTTTGGTCATTCTTCTTGATATGGAAGATTCAAGGACCTGTATGTGTGATGATGGAATATCATTGGAAGATAGACGCTGATGAGTTAGTAAAACCCATGTTCCAGTCATTATCAAGTCGAAACGTTGGGAGATATGCTGAAGGCATAAGTTGAAAAACATTGATACATTTACATTGAGTGCCAGACTCTGCCAGACGCTGCCATACGGCTGCATGCTTGAGCTGCTTGGATTACTGCGCGATGTGCATCCATCTTCCTTCAAACTTCCTTGTCTTGTATGCATTCATGATGACGACAGCAGGAGATGACCTTTGGATGGAACGCGCACGCGGTCAAGGTGCCGCCCATCGTGTCCCGTGTTATCCCGACGGCAAGGGACAAATTGCATGCCCTTCAAAGGATCCTTATCCGTGCAACGTAATAGAGGCAGTTAATTAGGTCTGACAATGACGACCTTCCTGGATGGGCCTGTAGAGATTATGTTCGAATGCATTGCACTTGCATTTTTGGTGCAATGCATTGAAAGTAATGACTCGAGTCTTGATGGAAGGAATTATGTATGATTGGATGCGATAGCATGAAATGCTCTTTGGGCAAAAGACCATCCGTAGCACTGCGCATTACTGCTATGAAATCCTGCACATCCTGGTCTGTGGTCTGAGGAGACTGGCAGGCAAAGAATGAGAACCGACGCCCAAATGCAATACATGACGTTTTACACGGCGCTAATCGGTAAAAGATACACACTGCTTGCCTTCAAGAGGCGACGGTATTCTGCATCCAATCCATTCAGTTGTACACTAGAAAGCAGCTGCTGGCGAATGCATTGGATTATCCATAGAGCCCTTGGATTATCCATAAGGCAATATGATGATTCGACCATGGGCGCGTTTACATAATATTGGCTCGCGCGTGTGCAAGGGGAACGAATGCACGCCAGGAGGGGAACACGACGAAGACAATGATTGGGCGGCGACAATGATTGGGCGTTCATGGCGTGCTCAGAAGAATGACGTACGCAGGATACGTTATCTTCCGCCGAGAATTCCGCATTGCAAAAAACAGCGCAGTCCCCCAGGGTTATAAAAGACGACCTTTCTCGCCTCCCCCCGGCTTCTTCTTTACGCGGTGGGGTTTTCTTGTGCTTGGGTTTTTGAGGTGGTATTTGTTTTGTGTTTTGTGCTTTTATCTCAGGTTTGCAAGGTCGGGTTTTTCTTGTCTTCTTCTTCTTCTTTATTTCCTGCCGCGTATTCTAGTCTTCTTTGGTTGAACAGGACTGAGTGACCCGCGTTGGGGGAGCGGCACCCACGATCCACCTCGGTGGGAGTGTTCTCTGGTTCCGGCCAGGGGGAGGGCCTGTAATAAAGAAAAAGAGCTTGTCTCTTACAATAAAGGATGAAATAAAAGGAAGAAACTTTACAATCATTGATGAACGCGGTCATGCTCTGCGCAATACAAAATCCAACAAAAAAACAAAGTATTTTCCAATGCATCTCTTGATACGAATGCGATTTGAAAAGCAGTAAAAATGCCATGGGTTATTGCCATGAGCGAGATTCAAACTCGTAGTTGCTGACAAGGAAAATGATGGAGGAAATACGAGAAGACGAGCGTGGGAATTTTTGGGTCATGATCGAGTTTGGATTAGCTAACAGCTAAGCCACACACGTGCCAGACACAGACTGTGGGTCTCCTTGTCCGGACACTCTGTGAGTTTTCACCACCATTTCATACTGGCATCACGCAATGACCTCTGAAGAACCTTTGCCAACCACTCAAGAATCGGCTACCAACAGTTCCACCAAGAATACTCCCGCTGAGCCCGAAAATATGGATGCACAAGAGCCTGAGGTAGCGGGTAGCTCCGTCGAAGATTTCGAGGACGAGCAGGAGGACTTGCCTTCTATCGAGGAAGCTATTCAAATGTTGGAGACGGGGGAGAAATTCATCATAGAGAAGCAGTATGAGTATGCTGCTGAGGAGTTGAGTAGAGCCGTGTCTGCTCTGTAAGTACCTTTTTGGAATGTTTCGCTGGTTAATATCTCACAAGGTTGGCACACTTAGGTCTGCACACTATGGAGACGGTGCCCCGGAATGCGCCGACGCCCTTTATCTCTACGGTCGGGCTCTGTACTTCTTGGCTGTTGAAAAGAGCTCCGTATTTGGAAAGTCTGGAGTCGACGACAAAGTTCAGGATCCGGATGAAATGGCAGCTGCTGGTATTTCCCATCATTATCGGTCGTGGAAATAATGTCGTTATTAACCCTTGCAAATCCTTAGCATTGAAAGAGCTCGCAGAAAAAGCCTCCCGGTTTATCTTTGAAGGTGACGGAGCAGAGAACGTCGAAGAGATCCCAGCACAAGAAGCTGATGAAGACGCGGAGGACATGGAGATTGCATACGAAGCTCTCACGGTGGCAGCAACCGCATACCAGCAAATGGACTCGGAAGCGAGCAATCGCCGATTAGCTGATGTTTATTTGTTGATTGGCCACTATCACCTTGAAGGAGGTACATAAGAATCCACTTGTCGAACATTTCATTGCTTTATCTGACTACGACACAAAACCACAGATCGCCCCAGGGAAGCTCTGGAAGAGTATAAGAAAACCCTCGAAATCCGAGAAAGATATCCGGAAATCGGTCATCGCGAGTTGGCTGAAGCGCGATACTACGTTGCTCTCACGTTGGAGGGCACTGGACAGTACCCCCAAGCCCTGGATGAAGTCAAGCGCGCCATGGCGGATATGAGCAAACGCCTTGAGGAACTCAAAGCCATTAAAGCTGAGGATCAGAGTAGTAAGGGCAAGGCACCTGCGACAACCCCTCACGTGGATCAAAGTGAAGAGATCAAAGAGCTGACAGAGATGATAACGGATCTGGAAGCAAAGGTGCGTCTTTTATGTATAAGATGACCAAGATGTGTTGAGTTGCTGATGGCGTCTTGCTTGGATTAGGTCGAAGAACTCCACGCGAAGATGAGCGCGGTGAACAAGGTGGTCGAAGAAGCCACAGAATTGATTCCTTCCCCAGAGTTAAAGAAGGAGGACGGTCCCGTCACAGATATATCTAGCCTTGTCAAAAAGCGAAAAGCACCAGAGGCGGCGACGCAAAATGGAGATGCTAAAAAGACTAAGCTAGACGCTGGTGAGGCAAAACAGGAAGCAGTACCCCTGGACACTAAAGCTGCGGGTGAAGCAAAGGTAGAAGAGACAGCTAAAGATGAAGGGGCGTAGGAATCTGTATATTTTTATACATGACTGTGGGTTGTTTGCATGGATAACAGTTGGGCGGTGTGAATGTCAATAGGTCGCCAATATCAACGACAGATATATTGTTTACCAAACCGCCAATACCAAAAAATACATTAACAAATACACTAACACCATGATCAATAAATCGCCATCCGCCTATCCGTAAAAGAGGAATTCCTACTCAATCTCGGCGTTGACATGCCTGATGCGGGTTCAGCTGCTTCCGCCACCCTTCCAAACCTCCCTACAGCCATCTTCCCCTTCTCAATTGCACATGTCGATAACCTCTCACTGGCGGCCACATAAGCCGACACACTTGCCGAAACCTTTATATCCTCATCTTCCGATTCACTCACATTGACCACTCTAAAAGTCGACACCCCCACCGACGAAGATGCACACGAAGATGCAGACGAAATATCCTGATCAGCCGCCACAACATATCGGAAAATATTGACAACCGCCCCATGCACGACTTTTGTGACATCCCACGCGAAAAATGCCATAGCCCATATACCAACAAGCGAAAACATGACACACCACCACATCAACGCAATGTACACGCCCAAAGGTCCCAAAATCGGGATGCGAGTTGCAAGAGAATGCAACATTCGGAACGCAAGTGGAGCCATGATGGCGCAAATGTACGCTAATGTGATTGCTGCCAGTAATGCCCCAAATTCGCGGGAGGCGGGGTGTGCACGGCACTTGACCAAAAAGTTTGCTATAGCTGTGCGTTTTGACCGGAATATTGTGCCACCTGCTACCGAGGTTGCTAGGGTTATGATGAGCGCAGGGTAAAAGCCTAGTCGTAAGCGGAGAGTGCGAGTCCACGAAGAAAAGAATGGTAAATGGTGCAAGAGAATAAATGTGAGGGTGGAGAAGAGAAAGAGGTGAATGTGAGACGCGGGTGCTTGGGGTGGCGGGCGGTAAAAGTGTTTGGGAGTGGGAGTGGGACTACGGGATGGGGTATAGCTGTCGTCCCGCGTGAAATGGTGAAACACGGTGCTTTGCTTTGCGTCTCGACCGGGGTTGGGATAGTCGGATACTCCGGGTTGGTTGTGATGATTCGGATTCGATTCAAAATCCGCCTCGCTCTCTGTTTGGTTCAAGTCAGTGTACAAGCCGTTTTTCTCCAGTAGATCCTTTGTTTTGTGAACATGCTCATCGGACGCCAAGGGTAAAGTCGAAGACATTTCATCTAGAGGTGGTACCACACCCAGCCCAACATCCTTTGCATCCCTATCCTCATACCGCCCATCCAACATCTCCTCTCTATGTGATCGGTGATCCACCCACTCATCCTGATCCCGCGAACCCAATCTAGATCGAACACCTCGCGGTAAACTAACTGACCGGCCGTGATGCTGTCCATGATGTAGATTACTACCGTACATATTTGGAGGTGGCGATACAGACGCAGACCGTGCACCAACGGGTAACGGCGGTGTTGCACACGAATGCAGATATGGTGACGTTGGCGTCCCCGACGGTTGTGTGGGTATCATTTCGACACCGGATCCGGACGATGCCGATGAACCTGGGCGCGCAGGCGGTGGATAGGGTTGGTAGGCGTTGTAGGGTGAGTAACGCCCAGAGGTTGGTGCATAAGGCGAGTAGTATGGAGAGTACGAGTAGGATGACATCTTCTTCCCACGTTGCGTCAGTATATTCTTGCGTTGATACGCCCAAGAAAAGTTTACTCACCTCTCCACAGTTCAGTGCACGATGTTCCTGCAAAAAAAAGGCCCTAAATGCAAACTCTACACTGGAAATGGGAAGTGGAAATCACGGCGAGACAAACAAAAGGGCAAGCGATGTCTGCTCAAGGGGTTGGAAGTTCACGTGTATTCGTCCCCCGTGTAATGCTTACATAATGCAGTGCCAGGCGATGAGGTTTTCTGCTAAAGGTCCAATTGCACTACCAGAAAGCAAACAGCATCTACAGGAAGGAACTAGTATGCATGAATGGATCGAGTTGCAGGATCTGTAAAGGTTTGGATTCCAGGCAGTCTGAATGACGTCTTCCCCAGTCGAGGTTTTCCATCAGATATCTCGCGCCATCTGATAGACCAGGACCGAATTGCCAATTTAGACCGTGATCTCGAATGGTTTTATCGACGACTTCCATATTGCCAGAAACAGGAGGCTATCAAAGATTGCACTGTATTTTCTAACCGTCAAGAGAGTCACGTCGCATTTGGCAATAGCAGCAGATGGAATAATGCAAAACTCTTGAGGAGAGCATTAGTGGAAGAGCAACTGATGAAACGCTTGCCATCTGCAGTTTTGATAGCTTGTGAGTTGCCAGTCAAATTGGACTGCCTGCATCAATGACACCAATGCAGGTGCCGGTGGGACATGCTTGACATGAATATGACATCCACTGCATAGTCCCGGCAAAGACCAAGATCGGGATATCAATACTTGCACTTGGGTGCCATAGCTCTTTTGTTTATTCTAATTCTTTTCATAGAATAATGCAATCAGACCCTTTTCGAAGATCTTTAATTTTTAACATGATAACATCCTCCGAAAAGGTCAATGGATTTACATCCATTCTGGATGATGCATCCTTGGTGCTTTCCTAAATGCAAAGTGCATAGAAACCGTCATACCTAGTGTCCATAATTTAAGCAACAATGGCGTCCTTAAAAAAAGCCCTGGATCTGCACGTCTTGCAGCAGATCACCTCCCTAACCCCAAATCAAAAACGGATACCCCGATCCGCTTATCTTTATTGCTGACACGGCGAGTTCTGCCGTTTGCAAGCCGGGCGAAGGAATTCATCGCTTTTGCGTCCATTTTGTCAACATCCCCAAAGCGCTTGTGTGCTGTATTTGAAATTTCCGTTTTTTTTCCTGCTTGAACGATCCATTTTGAAAACGAGTAGCGCCAACTTGCTGCCATCAAACAGACGCGTGACTCACACCTGCCTATGGGAAATTGCTTCCACCGAAAGTTGGACGATAAACAAAAAGAGAATAGGCTATTTAAGGACGACGACGACGAACGACTTAAAGTCATTTTAGAACATTTTGAGCGTCGACTTATTTGTTACTTGAACTGAGTGAGTGCTTACTTTGTGTTTTTTGTGAAATGTATTGGAGAAAAAAGGAACTCACCGTGAGCGTTTCGCGTGTAGTGGTTTGTAGGATTCTCGTCTCACTATGAGTTCAGATGAGAACAAGGTGTGTGTGAACAGAGAGAGTGGTTTGGGTGCGAGGGGAATGGGGTTGTCTCTTTGATCTCATTTACTCACAAAAGACTGGCTTTCATAGGCCAACGGAGCGTCCACGGCGGTCCCGCCGGTTACGCTTACTCGCAAAAGATCACTCAAAGAAAAGGACAGAGCTGCGAAAGCACTCGCAAATGGTCCCTTCTTGGAAACTGCTACAACGGTAGAAGGAAAACTCGTCACGCGTGTTTCACCGCCTGGGACGCCGAATGACCGCAAGGACGACCTTCAACCGTCGGAAGCCGGTATTAGAAGATGGGGACGTGATACTCGTCCTCGAAAGAATTCGTTTACCCCACGACCATCGCCATTGGATTGGGAGATGTTGGAAAAGACAAAGAATCCCCTGAGAGGCTTCTTCACGTTGTTCTGGATGACGATGGCGTACTCAATGTCATCGAGTTTGTATCTGAATTGGAGAAAGAATGGACAGCCTGTTGGGAGAGCGTTATTTGCGACCATGTTCTCAGAGGTACGTGTCTCTCTAGTGGTGCCACTTTCAAACCCTTCAAGATCGATTTCTCACAGGCGTCCTCGCACTAGGGATTCTGGGTTCTTCTTTACTCTGAGATGGCACTCATTGCCAGCCTTTTCAGTGTCGTCATTATCGAGAAGCTTTTTATTGCTGGCTGGCTTCCCCGATCTCTCACACGGGTCGTCCAACATCTCTACCAAACTGCCTGGTTCTTCTTTTGTCTTTACTGGGTTTTCCACAACGATTGGACTTGGACCCAGAGTGGTTTCTTCACTCTCCACTCTATTTCCATGCTGATGAAGCAACATTCCTATATGGCGTACAACAACGAGATGTTGCATCGCAATGCGAAATTTATCGAATGCGAGAACAAGATGGACAAGATTGCAGGGAAAATGAAGAAACTGGGGGACGATGCCCCAGAGTTGGAAGGATTGAATGCAGAGTGGGAGGAATTGAGACAAAAAGCACAGGATTTGCAGGTCGAGCTGTGTAAGGGAAATACAAAGTTTCCCGAGAATGTAACTTTTCTGAATTTCATGGATTATCTTTTGGTGCCTTCTCTGGTGTACGAGCTGGAGTATCCACGGACGGATCGGTACGTACCTTAACCAATCAAGGTGTTCTATGCATTTCCAACTCCTAAGATTTGGCATCTTCATTAGAATTCGTCCTTGGTACGTTTTCGAGAAAGGCATTGGCGTCATCGGAATCATAATGATTCTCTACGTTACCGTCGAAAACTACATTTACCCTGTCCTTAACCGCATGGACACACTCACCTTTTTCGAATCCGTCACTCACCTCATCCTCCCTTTCATGGTCTGCTACATGCTCCTCTTTTACCTCATCTTTGAATGCATCTGTAACTGGTTCGCCGAAATCACCCGCTTCGCTGACCGCGAATTTTACGATGACTGGTGGAACAGTGTGACTTTTGACGAGTACGCACGGAAATGGAATAAACCTGTTCACGAATTCCTTTTACGCCACGTTTACTTGGAGAGTATCTCCACATACAAGTTCTCGAAACAAAATGCAACGTTTTTGACGTTCTTCTTGTCGAGTTGCTTGCATGAGTTGGTCATGTATGTCTTGGCGAAGAGAGTGAGGATGTACCTGTTTACGATGCAGATGATCCAGATTCCGTTGATTATACTATCGAGATGGAGTAAATTGAAGAAATATCCAAGGATTGGGAATGCGTTCTTTTGGTGGGGCATTTATTTGGTAAGTCGCACGCTGTAAATATTATCAAAAGTGACATTATTAACCTTGGTTTCCACCTGTTGTATCCAGGGCCCACCACTCCTTGCTGTCATGTACTGCCGTGAATTCTGGACTACCACACAGGCATAATTTCAAAGACCTCATGATGACCGGTTCCGGTTATCGTACTCATGGTGCACTCATAAGGCGCCACACGAAACCTCTCAAAGCCTGCCTGTTGTCCTCATCTGATTTTAGAATCTCATGTATTTGCTGGTCCAACCTCGACTTGTTGGATTCGAGTGAACCCGTTTTTTTTTTCTTTTTTTTTTTTTTTTTTTGCTATTTATTAAAGACCTCAAACTCTTGTAAGAATACGAACAGTACATAGTCTTTCCTTGTTGCTTGCCGACCGGGAAGGATGGAAATTGTTCTGAAATGTTTTTTAGACAATGAATTATCTGGTCACAATGTTTTAACAGATTTCGTTCCTTGACTAAGATCAGAAACTCAAATCATCCGATATTTGATAATATAAATTAACTATATATACGAAAACAGGTGGAATAGGTAGGGAGATATATGCTCACATCAGTTACAGAACAGCGAGACACCATTCTCGCACTTTCCGTAGGTGGCGGACAACTACCCACGTCACTACTGCCCGCAGCGTCATAGCGGTTGCGACGGAAATGCGGATGGCTTGGTAGTACTCCAATTTCGGTCTGGCGTGGGGGAAACCTTGAGGATGAGTAATGCAGAAAGAATTGTGCACAAATGGTAGTTAACCATACCTCTCGGTAACACTAACAGCTGGTTTCCGCTTCACGCGTCCCACGGTCCCTCCAGACCCCGCCCCACTTTGCACACCGCCGTTCCCGCCTGCGCCTAGCTGACGTGCCAAAAGCCCAAAAAACCAATCAATGTCCTTTTGACTGTACCGAGGCGCACCCAATTCTGATAAAGCCACGACGGGAACTTCGCTAGGATCATGACACAAATCAATCAGATCGCTCGTCATCCATAGTGTCAGGCCCCACAACAGGAGCCGGGAGGATGTGGATTGGCCAGCATGGGCTTTAGCTTCCTCTTCTTTACCAAGAACATGAGCGTGCGGAACATGGGGTGTCACTGGTGTTTGAAGGGGGGTAACGATCTCGCCGGCGGTGGTTGGAAGGAGAACCCCGCGGTAACTGTACGAGCCCAAGAGATATGTCAGAGACTTTTCTAATCCTACGTGGATCCAGGTGCGCCATCGGGGTGCTGAGGAACCAGAAATGCCGCCTGCCAGGACGCGAGCGGGGAGGAGGTGACGTGCTATGGGGAAGCTGATCAGTCGCCACCGTCGATTATCGCGGGCAGCTGCAAAGAAGAAGGAGAGGGGAATCCAGTGAATTGAGGCGATTTCTTCCGGCGTGAGCGTTAGAGGGGGAGTGGAGGGAGTCAACTGTAGGTACACTGTACAATGCGATTAGATTCCACAACACGAATAATCCAGATGATCGCAAATAAGGTATATCTACCAAAAGGACATAGAATCATGATCGGCTTTCCGCTAGCTGGTGGCTTGATTTCGCGATCGTCTAATGCACCCAGACAGGCAAATCCTGGCCCTCGCAAATCCAACCCAATTTCCTCCAGGGTTTCTCTTTCAGCGGCTTCCTGATCCGTTTCCTCCGCTTCTGCTTTCCCGCCTGGAAATGCCATCTAAAATATGCGCGGTTTTAAGAGAAGGTTAAATTACAGCAGATTATTCGCGTAAACCTACGTGTCCACTCCATTTGTCGCGCGGATTGACGGCACGTCGGACATAGAGGATTTCAGGTTCTCCGGATTTTACCCAGTCGACTGATTGTATGCAATCAGCTGGTTAGAAGCAGTAGATGGCACGACCATTAAGCCCGTTCATAAAGATTAACACTTACGTTTTAGGAAATCCAACGGGTCTTGTATAGCTGCAAGGAAAGAGTTAATATGATATCTTCTGGCAGCCCCATTTTTGTGTATAAAGGTAGGCCATGCCCCCCACTCATTTCCCTCGGAACGCTCAAGCCCAACAGCTCTTTCCTAGCCCACATCACGTGACTGACAGCATCAGTCCTGCTCGTACTTACAAGCCGTCTCATTGATAGGTCCGACCACTGAATTCGGTCGTACCCGGATAATAATCGCTACCGAGGCTCGTCGTTTGCATCTTTCGGATGACGGTATTTTCTCAGTGGGCAGGATCTGGCAAGGGTCAAAAATCCAATTTCATTAGCTTGCAAGACTTTGAGCTTAATAATAACAGTTCCATGACCTACCTGAGTGTGTCGTATGAGGTTGAATAAATGGCGCTGGGTGCTTTTATCTGTAATGGCACGAGCGTCAGTCAAATTGGCACTGTATTTGCGGTTCATGAAATTAGAAAAAAGCGCCTTCCAAACCTTGCTGTTGTCTGTTCATGTCCTCCAAGTCAAATCGTACACTCTCGCAAAGGCAGGTTACAAAATCCTAGTTTTGCACAAGCATAGATCTGCGAATGGAAAGTGGTGATGAACGCTGGCAAGTCCGCTTGTCCCCAACAAATTGGTGGATCATCGGATGATTACTCGGGATGGTCACAGCTACTCACACGTGATGATACAGTGGTGGCTGTGCATTGCATTTAATCTGAAGCCTTCCCTCTCACAATGTTCATGTAGTCAAATTGCATCCAAATAATCACGTTCGTTCCGCATTTGCTTTTCGCCTTTTCTGTGGGCTCTCCCGCGGGCCTGAAAACGGCTGCGAGTACGACTAGTCAGGCGACACCATGGAAGAGGGCCCAAAATGATGCTTCTTGAATTCACAGAACACGGGCATCTTTTGTGAAAATGGTGGGCACCATGCGATATTGAAACGCTGCGTGAGCTGCGGCGCATCAAAGAACGATTGCAGAAAGACGATGGCGAGCGAAGGCCTTCGCGGACGCCTGGCGCGTGTCTGCATCACTAATACAGCATACTTCAGAATCAATCTATTCAGAAGCCTGTCGCGGCCTCTCGATGGTTGCTGTAGGAAAACCAGTTATTGCTGAAGCTGCGTAATCTTTACTGCCCATTAGTGGAAAGGAATAATGGAACGCTTTCAACCAGTACACTGCGAGTATTCATTGCTCGCTGTTGAATACTAGCGTCGAGCATCTCCAGGCTAATTCTGCTAAGCGTTTTGCCGTATGGTCAGGCCGGGTAGGCTTCCTGACATTGATGGGCATTCTTTGAGTGTGAACGGATGAGATATGCCGAAATCACGCAAGGCATGCGTGGTAGAACCTTTCGCTTCTTGTAAAAACCACGGCATCACGGTGGGACATCACCAGATATTTTGAAGCAAGTGTAAACTGGAAGGCGTTGAGACAGCAATAATCATTCGTGAATAGCGCTGGATGACCGTTAGAGATTTTATAAGGGCCATTAGTGATTATTCATCTGCTGAATATCTGAGGAATCAATTGTCTACTGATGCTTGTTATCCCCAATGTACCGCGTTCACCAGGCTGGAAGCGATGCCCGCGGTTCAAATTGTTAGTGCCTAATTTGTCGAATCTCGGCCAGCGCTTGGCATCTCCATAAAGTTTTGCCATCGCGTTTATCCAAAAATACAAACTCTGCTTACCCTAACAGTACATGAGGAGAATTGTAATCAGTTTGGATACTATGCCATGCTGGCGTAATAAGATATTTTATCTCCATTACGCAACGCTGTGCCGAGGATGTACCGAAAGACATGCATCAAGCACTTATACACAAAACCGTGATCTTTGGAAATGATATCTATTGACTAATCAGTAGAACAATTGCTCGGTCTTTGCCGCAAGGTTTGCTTATCCTGCCTGTTGAGACACTAAACACTTGCCGCATTGTTTATGCTGTGAAAGTTCATGCTGCTGGGAGAAGCCAGACCTTGCTCCCTAAAAGCTCCCCATCTTATCTCAAAAACAAACCCCCAACATGTCCATATGGCGAATCAAAAGCCCTTGGCAAAAAGCAGCGGAGCTTGGATTTAGAGTTAGTCATGCGTATTACATCATGCGGCTTATTTATGGCACTATTACTTCTTTAGGCAAGTATGACTGTTTAAATTATGGCGCAAGTGAATCACATGATGGAATCCGACGGGGGCGATTTGATAAGAACAACTGCGCGCGTTTGGAGCCCCTTGGTTTATCCACGTCTATAAATAGGGCCACCCCATCAGCTTTCCCCCCGTTTCTTTCATCTCTCCATCGCTCATCGCTCTACCCACAACAACCTTTTTTTTTCTACTTTGACCCACTATGCAAATCTTTGTGAAGACTCTTACGGGAAAGACTATCACCCTTGAGGTTGAATCGTCTGACACCATCGAGAATGTCAAGGCCAAGATTCAAGACAAGGAAGGAATTCCCCCGGACCAGCAACGTTTGATTTTCGCCGGCAAGCAACTCGAGGACGGCCGCACCCTCTCTGACTACAACATTCAAAAGGAGTCCACCCTCCATCTCGTCCTCCGTCTTCGTGGTGGTATGCAAATCTTTGTCAAGACTCTCACTGGCAAGACTATCACTTTGGAAGTCGAATCCTCTGACACCATTGAGAACGTCAAGGCCAAGATTCAAGACAAGGAGGGCATTCCCCCAGACCAGCAACGTCTCATTTTCGCCGGAAAGCAGCTTGAGGACGGACGCACCCTTTCGGACTACAACATCCAAAAAGAGTCGACCCTTCACCTTGTCCTCCGTCTTCGTGGTGGTATGCAAATCTTTGTCAAGACTCTCACCGGCAAAACAATCACTTTGGAAGTCGAATCGTCTGACACGATCGAGAACGTCAAGGCCAAGATTCAAGACAAGGAGGGTATCCCCCCAGACCAGCAACGTTTGATTTTCGCCGGCAAGCAACTCGAGGACGGCCGCACCTTGTCCGACTACAACATCCAAAAAGAATCGACCCTTCACCTTGTCCTTCGTCTTCGTGGTGGTATGCAAATTTTCGTCAAGACTCTTACTGGCAAAACAATCACACTCGAAGTCGAGTCCTCTGACACCATTGAGAACGTGAAGGCGAAGATCCAGGACAAGGAGGGCATTCCCCCAGACCAGCAACGGCTCATTTTCGCTGGAAAGCAATTGGAAGATGGCCGTACCTTGTCTGACTACAACATTCAGAAGGAGTCGACGCTTCATCTCGTGCTCCGCCTCCGTGGTGGTATGCAAATCTTTGTCAAGACCCTTACCGGCAAGACCATTACGCTCGAAGTCGAGTCATCGGATACCATTGAGAATGTAAAGGCCAAAATTCAGGACAAGGAGGGTATCCCCCCGGACCAGCAGCGTTTGATCTTTGCTGGTAAGCAGTTGGAAGACGGCAGGACTTTGTCCGACTACAACATTCAGAAGGAGAGCACCCTCCATCTTGTGCTTCGTCTTCGTGGTGGAAACTAAATGTAGCTGCTGAAGTTTGAATCTTGTAAAGAAAACAATATTGCTGAAAGATTATTGATGTGAATATATTTTGCATTGCCTTTTGCTTGTTATTCTTTTTGCGTTGCCCATCCAAACAATTTGTTTGAATTCCCTCGTGTCGCTTTCACATGTTGATTCACAGCGTTTATGGCACAGTCATACTAATCAAGTTATTACATAAGCACCAACCGCGACGGATGTCCTCGCGCTGCCGTTTCTTTTTGACAGTCTTGCATCTCTTGCTTTTGACTTGACTTCCATCTCATTCTTGTCATGTCAACTCCCCTTACAGCCCACCGCTGCCATGTTCCACCTTTATCCTCTCATCCACTGTTTCCAGAAGGTCTTCGCGAGCACGTTACTTTTCTTTTAAGGAAACTATGGACGCTGGAGCTGCCTATTTCGGTGCCAAGTGTCTACACACCGCCTACGGAACACCTTGTCCCGACGTTAAAGTCCACTCTCAGAAAGATTGGAGGGTCTCGTATCGTACAACTTTGCGCAGGGGGCACAGGCATGGCTCGAATAGCCGAAACGCTACTCCGGGAAGCAGAGTCACCGTCACTAGGGAAGCTAGAGATTCTATTGACAGACCCTAACCCGACGAGCCCACCCATCCAGCTACCACCGAGTCTGACATACATTTCCACGCCCATCTTGCCGACATGTGTTCCTCCGAGTCTCACTCCGCCTCCCGCGCAGCCAGATGAATCCCTTCTTCCGAGCACACCGACCACGCCCAAACGAGGGCCCAAGAAAGTGATAAATACTACTATGGGACGGCGGGCGGGGAAACAGGTTGCTCAACATGTTGCAGAGGTGCAACGTGCTACATCCGCTTTGAGGTTGATGGTTGGGGAATTTCATCAGTTTTCGAATGAGGAGTGTAAGAGTATTTTGGAGGATGCTGTCAAGAATGGACATGCCATTTGGTATGTCGATTTTGAGTAATCTTTTTTTTATTCTTGCCTTTCAGTTCTGAGCTACTCTTTCTCTTCAATAGTATTTTTGACAGTCCGCCTCCCACACTCTTCAATCTCTCTTTCCAGTTGACCCTTCTCCCTCTCATCATGTGCTATCTTTCACTCCGATACCCAACACCAGGTCGTCTATTCTTTACATTTTGCACGCCAGTGATTCCCTGTGTGGCTGTCTTGGATTCAGTTGCTGCATCTCTCTCCTCCCGTTCGGAAAAGGAACTCAAGGCCGTCGTTGAGGGGGTGAGCGGAAAGGACAAGTACATGTGGAAGGTTGAGACGGGCAGTATCTTGGGCGGATTCTGGGAGGTTATGTGGATTGTTGGGACTCCCAGAGCGTGAGGAAGGAACGTACGAGAATAATGACACCTAATGGATTGGATGTGTAGTTGTTACAGCGTGGTAGCCTTATAAAAGGTACTGATATGATTACATGGATATACATATTCCTCAATATACAGACTATAATCTTTTGACCACCGTTGGCAAAAAACTGGACGTCACGAGATGGACAAGTCTGAAACAGTTCACACACAATTGATGCCATAACGAATATCATTTACAACCTTGTTCTGGAAAAATATAGACATTCGAGCGAAACCTTTTTTGCCACAATGCAATCTCCCAACGGTCACTCGCATAATATTTACACATGGCGCCGTTCAACTCAGGAACGCTCCTTCCATCCCCTCAGCGAGGATTTCTTTTCCATTACCCCTATCAATTCCAAAGCTGGTCAAAGAGGACCTCCTAAACATGCTCGTCCAGGATGATCCAGTTGCATTGGAACTCGATGTCGCATTGGTGGTGGTGGTCGTCGACGTCGGAATCGAAATAGGAGGTTCAAAGGTTGGAGTAGTGTTTCCTGAGACAGGATAATAGTTGGTGGGGGTCGTAGCGGACTGCTCTTGTCGGTTAGAAGATGTGCGGTCCATCGATTGGATTGTTTGGTAAATGTGCTCCGTTATTGCTTGTAACAAAAGTTATCAAATGGTTTGCTTGTTATGGCGAGACGAAGAGAGTAAAAACGATGCTGCCTTTCCCTTTATATACTCTCCTCGTCAAAGGTGCGCGTGACTCTTGAAGACCTAAAGTGTCCCTTTTTCTCGAGCCCGTTATGCCTTTGCAAAACACAATCCTTTAGAGTGGCGCGTTTGTTGGTTGTGTCATCAGACGTGCTTTCAAAAAGACCGCTACGAAAAGGGATGGAACTCACGAGAACGGGTCTTTTAGGCTTTGGGTTACCAGTTGCTGAGCTTTTGAGTATGAGTATGATAGTCTTTGGGGTTCCGGCGTTACTTGCATAAAACCTGGGTTTCAGCAGCACACATCAGGCCTTACATTGGGGGGAGTTTACCCTTCTTTCCTGCAACAACTCGAATACAAACGCAGCAAAACATGCCACTACATTCATGATAAACCTTACAACGACATAGATGGGATGCGAAAGCTGCAATTACGAACGAATTCTTGGACATTCTGGTTTTACTCTCTAATCTTGCTCTTCAACACACAGCTGTATAGCTTGAAATTCTCCATCTATCCATACAAAACATAAATGAGCTTCATTACATTTACTAGTGCGCTCATGACCATCGGAAACACAACAAGAACCAGCACAATCTTGTTTCGATAAAATCACACTGGTCACCTGTATATCCACCCGTGATGATGCTGAGTTACGACCCAAGGCACATGTCGGTTCATGATTAGATAAGCATGCTCAGTCCGAAAGTCCTCCACTTTCGATTCTTTATTATTCTGTAAAGGACGAATAAAGGAGCCTTTTTGCTGTCTACGAGAGATAACGGAATTGCGATATTTTAAAAAGGCAAGCGATACGCTGGGGGAAAGACGTGATGGGGGGAGGTTTAAAGTGGCTGGACACCACTCCCCTACCTCCCAGATACGTTCCCATCTATATTCTGGATGAAATACTTTTGGAGGTATGACGAGAGTTTGACAAGCAAATTGAGAAGTGTGAGCCAATGTAGACGACAGCAAAAGCAGACAGCAAATTCGATACCGTGCGCGACACGCCAGACATCGGCAGCCGCAGCAGGGTAATGTCGAATAGTGACTGCGTTCAATCTACAGCCATTAGCCTGAACAAGGCTATAAATCCCCAACTGCTCAAAAAGAATTCAAGTCGGAGAAAGCCTTGGGCTCAGCTACGAAAAAAATTCTGCTGTAAATGCCTCGAACAGAGGCGTTTGAGTTCAGATATCACTCCCCGCACAGATGCGGTAGGTGGTTCGTCGACAAAGAGAAGCCTCTCTCGACACCAGGGCTGGTTTTACACAACGCAGCTAGTGTGTCGTGTAATTTGCATCACAGGCCCACTTTGCGGAGGGGCAATTACAGATTTCTATTATGATCGCTATTAGATGGGTTATGACAAAGGAAAGCGACAGCAAAAAATGACAAAAAAAATGGTAAAAGAATAATGACTGACTACATACAAAGTGAGGGTCTTTTAAGTTCTTGTAAATATAATATGCGTTAATATATTAAAACTACGTTATTAAAGCAAGTTGCCCAAGATCCAGGGCCAATATCACCACCACCACGGACATCGTCCGATGCTGGAAACAATAATAAATATTATGCTTTTTTTTAGAGCATTTATTTCCTAGACCGCTAGTCCCAGGGGCAATTGGGGGAACGGACCGCTAAGTCATTCCAAAAAAAGTATCAAGGGCTGTGCTTCGCAACTTTGTCGCCCCGCGTCTTTCAACCCGTCGAGTCCAACTCAATCACCTTACCAGAAATGCCACCGCGACACTCCTCAAACTCGCACTTGCCACGCCGTTGCCCAGGAGCCTTGAACGGGTCCCAAGGGATGTGGATAGAAAGTAGAGTTGAATGGACATTCAGACCGGATCCTCTCCCCAACTCTCAATCTCGCTCATCACTCATCACACTTGCAGTTGCCGATGGGATGAGCCGGGCCCGCACTCTGCAAAACGATTCGGCAACAGCAGAGTCTTCATCAGCATTTTCTGTTCCAAAGGCTTCACGATGGGCGGCGGCTGTAGGTCCCCCGGGGGAGAACAGGAGAGGACATTGTAGTAGGTCGTTGAAAGCACGGTTATGATATGTTTAGCGTCACGTACAATTGCAAAGAGTGTAGATAATAGATGGTGAAAGATATCAGCTTGTAGAGAAAGCAGTGAGTGATGTAGACAATGTTATTTATACGGGGGTTTGCAACTCGTAGTCGTAGAGTCCAGGTTATGCAGCTTGACTGCACCGTAGAAAATTACACTTTGCATTGAGAAGTACCTTAACAACGACATTGAAAGTAAAGGGAAAATGCTCATACAACATTCCCCAGTAATCAGCTACAATGGCATCTCGTAGGCTGAGATTGACGGAGAATTACACATTCCTCATGTTTACGGTTCGCGATCAAGGTTAATTGCGCCGATCCTGTATCTGAACTTGCATTACATAAGCGTGTCGATGCCCCAACGATCTGCCATGTTGAAGGGTTTTCGCACATCCAGATTTCAAGCAGACGATAGATAAAAACTCTTTTACACATCATTCTCTATTTAAGGTCATTCGGGTTGCTCTAAGAAATGCTATCGCGCACCGACCGCGAACGTGGGTCATCCACTCCCCTGTCCATCTCGTCTGGATCTGGCTCGGCCGGATCTTCCCAGTCCAAACGTGAAAAAGATGGGGATAGCAGGTATGTCCCATATAATAAACACCATTCCTTTACAACAAGCACGATCATAACCTCTCATTTGCCAAAGGCAAATTCCTGACAAGCTGCTCAACCGCCCCTCACCGTCCCCATCTACACCCATCAGTACCACAGTTCGTACGTCAACACCCACCATAAGCCTCCTCCCCCCGCCAGCAGTATCCACCCCACCAGCAGCGCAACCTATCCGATTTCGCACTGGATCTAGAAATACCGTTTATGATGTTATGAGGGATCGTGGGTGGAAGGAAACGGATGGGTAAGGGATTATGAAGTGGGTTTCGCTACCGAGGCTTTTGAAGCTGTTGGTGAACAGCGCATTAATGGGGTCTTTACATCCTAGGGATATGGATTGGGACTTTTTTTGGGCGGATGTACATTGGGTTCATGAGACGTTTGATCATGTATATTTGCAAGAGCACCAGCGGATCAACCATTTTAGAAATCACTATGAGGTATGTCAAACTTCTCAGATATGTAGGCACTCGCTGTAGGCATGATGGGCTTATCTACAATTTTATTGGGTCAAACCAAGTTAACACGAAAAGATCTGCTGGTAAAGAACGTCAAAAGAATGATAAAAACCATAGAAAAAGAATACGGCAAAGCCGAAGCTCTCAAATTCGACTTTCTCTCCCCTTCCTACGTCCTTCCCGGTGAACACGCTCTATTCACAGAAGAGTTCAAACGTAACCCCGGCAGCGTCTGGATCATGAAGCCTGTTGGAAAGGCGCAAGGGAAGGGGATTTTTTTGATCAATCGAATATCGCAGATTGCGGGGTGGAGGAAAGACGTGAGAGGGAATGTTCGTGGAGAGAAGGATGGAGAGGACGGGCCCGAGGCGTATATTGTGCAGAGATACATTGAAAATCCCTGCTTGATTGGAGGTAAGGTAACACGCCCTTTGTTTACCACAATGGACAAGGGGGTTCTGACGCTACCTTGAGTTTTTAGGCAAAAAGTTTGATATTCGGATTTATGTCCTCGTTACCTCTTATTATCCCCTGACAGTCTACATCCATCGTAATGGATTCTGCCGGTTCTCAAATACGCAGTTTTCCATGCAAGCCAAGGACATTAGCAACATGTGTACGTAGACAAACGCATGTCAATTTCAACAAAAAACCACACCGCCAACCCTTCATACAACAGATATCCACGCCACAAATGTCGCCATCCAAAAGCATTCACCAAATTACCTCTCTGGCCGTGGATGTAAATGGCTGTTACGGAATTTAAAATTGTATCTGACAACCCAGTACGGGGCGAAAGCGGTAGATGAACTCTTTACGGAAATGGAGGCTTCAGTTGTGAGGAGTTTGATGAGCGTGCAAAAGGTTATGATTAACGATAAGCATTGCTTTGAATTGTGAGTTTTTGGATTATTTTCAAGCTTGAAGTCAACACGAATTGATTACATGTGGTTTACCGATTGCTTTGTTTGTCTCGGCAGGTATGGTTATGACATCCTCATCGACCAAAACCTGAAACCGTAAGACAATTGCGTCAAAAGTCCATTACTCATACGAAGCTGACCTTGCTTGTTTGCACACGACAGATGGGTTCTAGAAGTCAACGCTTCCCCCTCCTTAACAGCCGAAACCCAATTCGACTATGACCTCAAACACGCCATGCTGCAGGATTGTTTTGATGTCGTTGATTTAGAGCGAAGGTGAGCTAACCCTCAATCAGCATATGGTGCTCTTGTGCTGTGTTTGTAACTGGGCGCTATGGTTGCAGACATACAGGCAAACCAACTAGGACTCGTGTCGGTGGATTTGATCTTGTTTACAATGATGGGCCAGTCCGGCATGAGAGGACAAGCAATTATGCGTCGTATTTGGGTATGCTATCATCCATTCTACTTGTTTGCCATTTATCCATCACTGAATTAGTATCTTAGGGTGCTACCAACCCATCCCACGAGCTCCACGAACCAAAAAACGGTTCGGAAATGCACCGGGACCCCTCCCACTGACACCTACTTGCGGGAAGAATGCTTCTGGGTCTGGGAATGGATTGGCGTCAGGAGGACCGCGATAGATTGTTGCAATAAATGAGTGGATGGAGTATTTCCAGACTATCACACAGAGATCTCTTATCTTCTCCACATATGTCCTCAGGGAGACCAATATTCACATCAATGTCTCTCACCCTGTATCCACAAGGAGCTGTAACATCGGCAAAGCAGCAGCGGCAATGCAATTCAAACCTCTTGTCATTAGATTTCATCAGTTTCTTTTAAATAACAGCATTTTAACTAACATCACACCACTCTGCCCACGTCATCATTTCCACTTGGGCTTGACCCCATTCTCCTCTCCACTACTCGGGCTCCGGCTCCCATCCCCAGAAGCTTTCCTCCTGGTCGAGGACCTCGTTTGTATATTGCTAGGCGGAACAATCATAGTGCGTCGCCGTCTAGTATTCGAAGAAGCCGTTAGTATGTCAGTTGGTCGGGGAGTGGTTGGTGACGGTGCAAACGATATGCGAGAAGGCTTATTGCGAGTGCTGCGCCTTGTTGACTGGCTGCTGTTTTCTTTGCCTTCGTCCTCAATAGAGGTCCGTGGTGGTGTTTTTCGAGCTTTTATGATGTTGCGCGACCTAGTGCTGGGACTGGCATTCGAGCTGGTGTCGGATGCGCGGTTGGCTTTGTTGCCAGGACTGCATCCTATTGAAGAGGTAGTGGCTGTCGGAGACGGTGCCATCGGGCCTGGAGGGAACTTATCTGACGGGCAGGAGCTCGTCACACGTCGTGCATCATTATCAACACCTTCCCGGCCCAAAATTCCAGCAGGTAGAGGAAGCATGCTTTCTCTTCTCCCTGCTGTCTTCATCACCGGAATAAGTGACTGTCGTGCTCGTCGCCGCGATCTACGATGCGGACTGGTACGTATAGGTCCGCCTGTATGTTGATGAGATTCGTTCGTAATATGGTGATCCGGCTCATCTGCACCGAGACTATCCATTTTGTCGGTGCGAAAAGCCGGAGGCGGGGGTGGTTTTCCAAATTCAGCCGGGGTCAGTATTGATCTCTTGGGTCGGGCAAGGGGAGTTACATCATCATCAAACGCTTCTGGCAGCTTACTATGTAATCTGGTGGGGGTGGTAGATGTAGAACGAATATCTCGCTCCGGCTTGGTATCACCGCGCCCGCGCACTTTCTTGGCAGTGGAATCTAATGAGGGGCTTCCACCCCGCTTGTGAGCCTGTGGAGTTGCATCGACATCGTCAACATATTGCTTCGATGGCAAAAGTTTTATTGCAGTTGCTGGAGTGACTGCATGTCCCGCATCTCTATCTGGCGTGTGCTGTGACGGTTCTTCTGCGGGTGTTTGAGGAGCAGGGGTAAAAGATCGCGCAACTTCTTCCATCTCCTTGTGCAGGTACGAATTTCGTCGTTTTGCACGCCTCAGTCTCCCAGATTCCTCACCATCACTATTCTCCACTTCAGAATCACTACTTTCAACGTCCGACAGTTCCGATGTTTCCGAGCTGGTATCCCAATCGAGGTCCACTGTCGGGGCTTCCGTATTTTGACCAGCTAATCCTGTCAAATCGCCACTTGCATTCTGTGCAACCTCTTCAACTAATGCCACCACTTCCTCACCAATCATGTCTGAGTCTCGGGCAGTGTGGGTGATTCTCATCAGGTCCGATATGATTTGAGCATTCTTTGCCACTATCTCCACTACGGTTCGAGACTGATCCTCAAGTGCTCCTTGGTAGGCCTCCACTTGTTTCATCAATAGAGCGTTCTGAGCGCTGAGTTTGAGAAGTTGAATCTCGACTCGTAGTGTTTCCCGCTGCTCCGTCGATAACTTCTGGCCGCCGCCACCTCTTTCAATCTTATCAACTTCTGCGTTATGTCGTAGGATGCCTAATCGTGCCTGATTTGCATTATGTCTGAGTCCAACGTTTGTAGCATGGGTGGCTTCGATGACGGATGTGATCTGTTGCCGGCAGAGTGAAAGGCTGTCTTCATTCGCTGCATTCTGATCCAGTATCGTGGTAATAGCTTTCAAAATGCTTAATTTTCGCTCATTCTTTTCCACTTCAGCCAGAGCTTCACACCTCTCACTCTCCTTTATTGCCATCTTATCGAATATTCTTTGCACCTTCCGCATGATCATCTCGAAGATGTCGGTTCGTATTCCCGGTTCTTTGCCGTTTTCTTCACCTGAACTATCTCTAGAGGCTTTTCCCAACTGCTGCCTCAAAACCTCAACTTCCGCCTTCAGCTCTGAGATGATTTTCGGATATTGAGCCAAATGCGCCGTAACATCGATTGAATTCTGTTCAACTTTTGTTTTGATGTTTTTGGCGCGGTTTGCGTATTTTAATGTGTTGTGCGTTTCGTCGTAGTGGAAACTAGAGGGGCTGATATTGGTGATCATGACTACTCGGCAATTCCCACCAAGTGAATACTTGAGGAGGCGGGTAAGCTTCGAGTCTCTATTAATGCAAGCGGCCGCGTTAGCTGATCGAATATTGCTGTTTACCTGGAAATGATGTGCACCAACCTGTAAGGAATGTGGTTGGGCCTCTCACTGCATAAAGCATTAATGCAATTACCGAGTGCCAGCAGGGATCTATGACGGACTCATTCATGAGATATGTGCGTCCTGATAGAAACTGAAACAAGCGCAGCAAACCTGTTTATATTTGCACCCTCAAGTAACCGCTCTCCTTTGTTCTTTGTTACAGATGCACGCTAGAAGTCTTGTCAATAAAACAGCTCCGCTCATGGGAGATCATTCCTTCGGAATTGTGCGCATACCTCACTTCCAGCAAGATCGATAATGCTCAGCGTTGCCATCTTGACGCTCGCGTTAACACCAGCGGCTCTATCTCTCTGTCGAATATGGATTTGCAGCACGGCGTGACTTCGCGAACTGACGGCATTTGCTTCAGTCGGTGCCCGCGTTCTATTCTCATTGCCCTTGATCAACATCTGCATAACATCATCCACATTTTTTGGTCGGTGTTCGCTTAACCCTGCAACCACCACCCGATTGCTGCCGTCATCTTCCCGAACATCGAGTGATTGGTTCGAAGGAGATGGACAAAGCAAATCGCGAATGGTCTCATTGTACACCTCTAGATAAGACAAGGAAGAGTCGACGAGCTGTTCCGAGGATGCATTGTCGATGCGGTGGAAGAGCTCCCGCATGGTAAGGAAAATGATTCCCGGGTCCTGGGGTGTTCCTGTGATGGTATGCGTCTTGCCACACCCCGTCGCACCGTACGCAAATACTGTCGCGTTGTATCCATTCAATACGCCATCAATCAAAGGTTGCGCTGTACCCTCGTAGACCTCTTGCTGCGTGGCTGTTTCGTTGAACACCCTGTCAAAACCATAGCGGATCTCTTTGTGTCGACGCGAGCCGTGGTTGTATGTCCGCGTCTGGTTTCGTGAGTTTGGGTCGACGGGATCTATGCAAGGTAGGAGAGCGTGAGCATACACAATCCTGAATCGAATAGAGAGCGTGTCCAACTGAAATGCCCTCCTGTGCTAACGGAAATTGTATATACCAAAAACGAGGATGCGATCGTCCACGACCTGCACTATTCTTCGAAGCCCCACATCGCCTGTGGAATCCACAGCAGCCTCAAAAAACGGACGGACTCGAACTGCGACTGTGATGGCCGCCGTGCCCGATGCGTCGTTGGCCATAAACGCCTGCCAAAGGAATGTAAGATTTCGGGTGAAAATGCTGAAGAGAGCAGACGCGCTTCAAATCAGATGAGGCTTGCACTTGTCCAACTCTCCGGACAAATATTGTACGGAACGATACCTTGTCGTCCTGCGTCTAGCAATTATTTCGTATCATTCTTTTTTAATGTCAATACTGTTGTTCATCAGGAATGCGTGCAAAGACATGGACTACAGGTCGCTCGAGGGCTTTGCGAGAGTGTCGACCAAAGGATTGAAACGGCCTTGTTTGTGAGCAAATGAGCGTACACTATTGAGCATTGGCATTTCCAAGCAACACAAGAATACTACATTCAATTCTGGAACATCTCTCTGCCCGTAGTAAATGGCCTGCATCTGCCATCTGGAAATGCAGTTTGAAAATGCTTCTGCAGTAAGCTATCTAACACGTGACTATAATGAGAGTTCGAATCCCGCCTATTGCAAAAACAAAACATTTTTTATTAAAAAGGGCAATTTTTGAACACATGAGAGCCGCTTTCCCCAACGGCTGGAATGTGTCATCTTGTCGGAGATTCGCAGTTTTGCTTGTCGTTTCTTCCATTCTCCCGATATTTTCTTTTATGTATTTTTAAAATGCCCATTTAAGCACAACGATGAACGAATATTCCATTAAATTCTAGCGGATCTAATGGTCATGATAAATGTACAAGATAGTAGGATTGACCAAGGGGAAAAGGTCACATCCCAGTCAAACCACTTCCCGCTGACCGTCGTTGGGCAGGAGGAAAGTCGCACCTCAACAAGCACCACAGATATCGAAACTGTGAGAATTCAGCAGGATAGTGAAAAGAAAAAGCAAAGTCGATTGCGTAAACTATTACGGATACGACCAAACTCTGATATTTTTCCCAAGACGTATCCCGGGCCTACTTCCGCTCCGGCCGTATTGGATGTATTGGATTTGGCTGTAGTGAATGTACCTTCTGTCGAAGACGGCACCCTGAGTTCGTCTCCCCCCAGGACAAAATACACTGACGAAAAGTCCAAAACGGGCCTGTGGAAGAAGCTCCAAAGACGAAATACGACTCCGATAAAACGGATTGATAGGTCATCTGAACAAACAGAGCAATGGACATCCATCCTGATCAAGGACGATCAACATCAGCAAGCAAAATGTCTCCCGGATGCTCCTGATCAATGCCCCCAATTTAGTACCCCATCGTTGCCCTCAAAAGACAATCGCGTGGTTCGATTCGTAGATTCATTCTCCGACACTGACGAATGGGTCGCCGATGCAGAGCTGGACTCTGAGTCCGACCCAAACAGTCTTGGCAGCGGGGACGACAGCGGCAACTCCGACGGCAAGCAGAGAACAAAAAAGAAGACAAAGCGAAAAACAAAGCCGAGAGGCAAATCGAGACGACTTGCAAAAAAGTTATCACATCAGTTTGCAGACATGTTCTCTTGGTTTGGTGGACGTGGTCCCGCCGGTGCAGGAAGCTCCTCCGAAGCAGAGGCAGTTAACAATCCTGTATTGCATTTGGTGACCGCGGCGTTGGTGAGTGAACCAAGATGTTTCAACTTGAGAGCGTCAGAATTGTTGATCTAGATCTACGATATCATCATTAAAGAAAGTTGAGAATGATCCGGATTTGACGCCGGCATCCGGAGACCACATGGGGTCTGATCACTGTAAGTTGGCAATATCAGCATCGAGACTACCTCCCATGAGGGCATAACATTCCGGTGTCATGTGCATGTAGTGGCCGACGACAGATCTTCCATCCATTCTCTCTTCCTCGAAGCCACGGATGCGCTGGCGGAACCGGAAAACACACCCGATACAGATGGCGACATCTTTTCACAAAGTTCTGGCGAGAGCGATGGGGAGGATAGCTCGCCTGTACTGACACCTGCAGGGCAATCTACGGCCAACTTGACAATCGCTGAAAAACTCCAGATCGCATTTGAATTACCGGAAACCGAACCATATCGTGGTGAATTCGCCTGCTGGCTCGTTCGCTCTGTTCTCCTGAAAGGAAATATATACATGACGGACAGTCATATATGCTTTTATGCAAGTCTGCCTCGAGAATACGGATCAATTCAGCATTCGGGCTTCCTCAGAAAACGAGCAAAAGCACCACGAAAAGGCTCCGCAACTTTTTGGTTTGTTCTCAAGGACGATACACTGAGTTTCTACCGTAATTCGACGAACCTCTATTATCCGCTCGGAAGAGTGAATCTAAAGAACGTAGTCGATGTCCAAAAGTCCAAGCAGCATCAGAGGGGCTTTAGTATTGTGACCAGGGACAAAAAGTACCGCTTCAAGGCGGACACAGAAACTGCCAGAGAGGAGTGGATGAAGGCACTGAAGGCGTCTATGGTCAGGGCCAGGAATGAGGGAGATGACGTTCGGGTAAGCCGTGAGGTTGAATTCGTAAAGGCGGGTGTGTCGGGATTCATTGTTCCATTCTCCCCTTGAACTTGCAGATTGTCCTTCCTTTTGCTAACATTACGGAACTTGAACTGAGCGGATCATCATCTGTCACTGACTCATTGAGGATTAAGGTTGTGGATGACGAATCAGCGTTGGCAGAAGAGGTACAATGCCCTAATGTGTTTCTAATGGATGAATACAACAAACCTAATTGTCTTCCTTGATTGCAACAGTATTTCTTTGCCTACTTCAACAATCTCCCTTACGCTTACTCGACGCTGATAGATCTTTGGCAGCCGCAACGTTCCTCACCCACACGTCCTTCGAACCCCCGTCGTAAAAGCATGTACGATACAACAGCCACCTCGGCCCTTCCCTTAAAGCCAGCCGACGTGTCAAGCCGATCCGGTCTACCAACTCCAACAGGCAGTATGGCCCTCCTTCCCCCTGCCGCGGAAACTCCATCCAATAGTCATCACCGCCGGACTCAAAGTGAGCATCCCCAGTCCGGAAGCCCCACGTCCGAAAGTGACAGCCCGCGACAAAGAATATCAGAAGATGGAGATGCAACGGATTCTTCGTCACACCCTTCGCGTTCGTCCATGTCCTCTACCTCTGCGTCGGAGTTTGGTCAGTCTGGAGGGGAAGGGCCATCTCGACCGGCAAGCGGCTGGAGAAGAAAGTTGGGCCATCGGAAAACTAGGTCGGATGCTGGTGTTTTGAGGGACATGAGCGTCGTTTCGGGTATAGGGGGATCGCAGCCGTCGCAGCCGACACAAAAGCAGCAGCAGCACAAGGAGATAAAGGCTGATGAGTTTAGGAAAACTTTTGCGTTACCCGATTCAGAACAACTCATTGCATGTAGGTGGTTGTATATTTGGGTGATAATTTCTCTACGATGACTCAAACTTTACGATCATGTTTCCAGCCTACCACTGCTCTCTACATCGGACCGTCCCACGCCTCGGCAAACTTTACATCTCCTCCAATCACCTCTGCTTCAAATCAAAACGAGTCGGCATCCGAACCCGATTACTTGTTCCCCTAATTGATATTGTAGACGTCTTGGAAGCACCAGGTTTTGGATGGCGACTCAGGATTACTACACGAGCCGGGGATGTATTTCTGTGCGAGTTTCATTCGCCGGATGTGAGAAGTAGGTGTCTCGAGGTGTTGGGACGCTGTCTTCGAGAAATGGACTGTGCGGACACGAAAGGGGTAGAACGAGCTTTGAGTCCGTTAAGGTGATTTACTTTTCCTGTTCCTGCTAGATCTGGAGGAATCATTTATTTTAACACTGATATGGCAGACATCAAGCCTCGATTTTGGACGATATCGAGAGAAGCGACTCCCATGTTCGGCCTTCGGAACTTTACAGTGCGTGCATCGTGTATCTGTGTGCAATTACTTATATATGCTTACTAACATATTTATTAAATATAGATCCACCCGTCCCTGCCGCTCTTCACATCACACTACTCACGATTGGGACTCGTGGAGACGTTCAACCTTACATTGCTCTGGGCCTCCGTTTGCAGACGGACGGTCACACTGTTCGTATTGCGACGCACTCTGAATATAAGGACTGGATTGAAGGATTTGGCATCGAGTTTCGGGAAGTCAAAGGCAATCCTGCAGAGTTAATGCGGCTGTGTGTGGAAAATGGGATGTTTACGGTTGGGTTTCTGAGGGAGGCTGTGTCAAAGGTAGGTTCTGGTAATCTGTAGTTGCTGATGCTGGTAACAGATGGAACTTACTGTTTATGTCCTGAACACTAGTTTCGTGGCTGGGTAGACGAGCTCCTCCTATCAGCCTACGAAGCCTGCAAGGACACCAACCTCCTAATCGAATCACCAACCGCCATGGCCGGTCTCCATATTGCCGAGCATCTTCAGATTCCCTACTTTGCCGCCTTCCCAATGCCATGGACACGTACGCGGTACTATCCACATCCTTTTGCCGTTCCAGATCGCAAGCGGAAAGGGTTGGGAGGATTGGGAGGAAGCTATAATTGGATGACACATGTTATGATCGAGGGGTTGTTGTGGAGGGGAGTGAGTGGGCAAGTGAATCGGTTTCGGAGGAAAACGTTGGGGAGGGTAAGTTCACTTTTTGGTGTACTTTGTACTTACTGAAAGTATCGCCGAAGAGCTCATGAACGACTTTCCTAAAATAGCCGCCTATCCAACTAGGCACTCTCAACGACCATAAAATCCCCTTTCTCTACAGCTTCAGCCCCACCGTTGTCCCACCCCCACCCGACTGGCAAGATTGGATTCACACCACGGGGTACTGGTTTCTCGATGATTCCGACCCGGACTGGACTCCACCAGAGGATCTACGACAGTTTTTAGAGGAAAGCAAGGGAATGCCGGTTGTGTATATCGGATTTGGTAGTATCGTTGTCAGCGACCCAGACGAAATGACTCGGACGATTATATCTGCGGTTTTAAAGTCCAATGTACGGGCTATCCTTTCTAAAGGATGGTCAGGTCGTCTTGCCACTTCAACACCGTCCGAACCTATCACATACCCACCCCAAATCTATCCACTTACCAAACCCGCACCCCATTCATTCCTCTTTCCCCTCTGCACGGCTGCTATCCACCATGGAGGGGCTGGAACAACAGCCGCAACACTCCGCGCTGGAATACCAATGTCTATTCACCCCTTTTTCGGTGATCAATTCTTTTGGGCGGACCGGATATCTGATCTGGGAGTGGGTGTCACGCTACGGAAATTGAGCGTAAATAAACTATCGTCAGCACTCGAGACACTCGTCACTGATACCAAGATGCAACAACGTGCCCGGGTCGTTGGGGAACGATTGCAAAAAGAGGATGGCGTTGGGGAAGCGATCCGATGTATTTACAGGGATTTGGACTTTGCTCAGGAGAGAATTAAACATGTAAAAACTTGGGTTGATGAGCGGTGGGGTGGGTCGACATTGTGGAGCGGGGATAAAAAAGATAAGGAAAGGGATATAGCGGAGAGAAGGGCTGCCGAGAGCGGATGATGGGCATTTATTAGGTTATATCTTGTTGGATTATTGATTAAATTAATAGATAATAATAGTGGCATCCCTACAAATGCTTTGGGAAAGTGCCCTGACGGACCTTTGAACGATCGTCATACCGAAGCTTGGCAAAATGTCGAAAAGGAAATGTGCACTGCGACTGTACTTGCAAATGGAAATCACTGTTCACACCAAGAAATAATATACAGTCTTAAAGACAGTCCAAAGACAAGAACTATATTCCCCCCAACGCAGCTCCCATCTACCTCCCACAACTTTATAAATCATTCCCACCAATCCCAGCCCCACTCATTCTTCGCACTGGCTTTGCAACATTCTCATCCAAAAACACCTTGAGTCTCTCATAAGTGGATGGAGCTCCCTCTCCAGCACCAACCGCTTCCTTGGCAGCCTCACCAAGATGTTCAGCACTCTCCTGAGCCTTTTCACCAGCGAGTTTGGCTTCCTCGACGGCGCGACGTCGTTGACCGCTCTCTGCCCATCCACGGGCTTGCTCAGCGGCTCCCTTGGCTTTAGCAATGGCTCCGTCACGTTCATCCTTTACATACTGAGAAGCGTCCTTGGCTTTATCTTGGACGTAGTTGGTTGCTTCCTCTGCACGGCGTTGAGCGGCGTTCTTGGCTTCGTAAGCGCGAGCTTTGACGTTTTGAGCGGTTTCACCAGCCGTGTTTGCAACTCCTTCCGCGGCGCTGTTAACACGAGCTTTGGCATCTTGTACTCGGGCATTCACATCATCGGCTGCTTGTCTGGCTTGGCGGGCGGGACGAGAGCGAGTTATTTTCACGGGTATCTCCTCTGCAGCCTCGTAAGCACGACGACCGGCTTGACTGGCAGCATTGACGGCTTCTTGACCCTTTTCCTGGGCGACGTTCGCAGCATGTTGGGCGTTACGTACCACCGAATCGCGAGCCTCTCTGGCTGTGTCAACTACGTAGGCAGCACCTCCGGCGACTGCATCTTTTGCTTCGCTACCAAGTTCTGCGGCAGTCCCAACTGCTGCTGCACCCGTTCCGACAATAGCGTCCACGACAGGTTGAGCACTATCACGGGCGTATTCGTACACGTTGGCGGCTTTTTCCTTTGTTGCATCGTACACATCTTCAGCGGATTGTTTCACTGAACCGTATGCTCCCGATGCCTTGTTTTCTGCCTCTACAGCGGTATCTTTTGCGGCCCCATACCCGCGAGCAGTCTTGTCCTTGGTCGCCTCATAGGCTTGGTCTACCTTTTCTTTCGCAGCGTCCTGAACTTGTGCAGCCTTTTCCTTGGTTGCGTCGTATGCTTCCGATGCGGCACGCTTGGTCTTATCGTAGCCTTTTTCTGTTTTGGCTTTTGCTTCGTCAACGGTCTCCTCTACATTTACTTTGGCTGTGCCAATGACTGCCTCGGCAGCCTCCGCGGCTTGGGCAGCCTTCTCCTTTGTGGTATCAATAGCATCGGCTGCAGCTCGCTTGGTTTTTTCGACTACATTTCCGGCGGCATCTCGTGCGTACTCATAGGCACCTTCGACCGTACCAGCAGCATACCCAGCCGCACCTGCTGCCGTGTCTTTGACAACCTTGGCGGCATCTCCGACAGCGTGGACAGCCGAGGCACCAGTATCATAGATGGCGTCTTGAATATCACCAGCGGCGGCTCGTGCAGCTCTTCCTGAATGCTTGGCGGTATCACCGGCGGCCTTTGCGGCAAGATATGCCTCTTCTTTTGCGTTCTCGGCTGCAGCTCCGGGAATCACTGCAAAGTTTTGGATGGCATTCGAGACGGCGATTCTAATATTTGCCGCGTTAGATTGACATGCATGACAATCTGACATCAAAGACTGCATATTTACCCAGCATCTCTCAAACGGAAGGCATCAGACGAAGCGATGGCCGCTCCAGACAACAATAGCGCTACTGCAAGTTTTTGGTTCACCATGTCGCGGATTGCTTTTCACCTTTTTGACAGGTTGCAATGGTGCAAGATTTGATGTATAAACGGGACTCGTGTGATTAGGCGAGAGATGTGCCCGTCAAAAAGAAAACGCTGTTTTATAGTAATTCAAGAGTAGGATAGCTCAAAAGTACAATGGATGGGGGGGAAGGAGTTCAAGCTCCTTTTTAAATACCCTCCTCCACCATCCCATCCCATCCCACCAACATAAACAATTTCCAAAGGAATGGTGTGATGATGGCAACCTTCCATCATCAAGCGCGCCCCCTTTTCAAAAAACCCATTCGGACGTGATGTCATTTGGGGGATAGCGCGTTAAGTAAGCGGATTATGTCAGATGACCGAGTTCAGGCTGTGTCCTTTTTTTCAACACTTGTTTTTCTTATTCTTATTTTCATGGTATTTAAAAATATTGAAATGGGTTTGCCGTCATGAACGATTCATATATGGAGAGTTGGTCAGTTGTCCACTTTGAAGTCTAGCGTCAACGCATCAGCTGTTAGAGTTTTAAGGTTGTACCCGCCCAAGGAGACCATGTTTGTCTTTGTATCCAGGGAGGTATCATCAATAATTGGATCTCGCCATAAAAGGTATCACAATGGACTGGAAAATGTCAAATCGAGTGTGATTTCGAGGACATGTTCGGGCATCAAGTTGTGATTTTTTCAATAGATTCGGCTATTGCCTTCCTGCCTCTACAGATATGAGGGAAAGATGCAACTTCACAAGGACCGCTTCCAAAGTGTACAAAAGCCATGAGATGGGCCCATGCTTTGAATGCCGATGTAGGCATGCACGTGTGCGAACGATCTTGATGCGTTTCTACCTTTGGTGGAACAGTACGGTAGGCGATACGCCCATTGCCAGCCCATTTAAAAACCAATCAATATTTATGTAGCTCTCATACCAATAATATAAATTAATAAAGTTGCAAGGTATTGTACAAGAAAAAAAAAGGTGGCCACCTTGAACAATCAGCCAAATGCCCATCCAAACCATTTCCACTTTTTGTGCCTCCCCTCCTCGGATTCATCAGACTCTTCAAACGAGGATTCAAGATCAGGAGGACCATCGAGTTCATTCTTGCCCATATCGTCTCTGAGATCTTGTCTAGAACGCCTCTCAGGAGGATCTGCAAAATTCACAGTTCCTCTTGGATCGCATTGAAATGGAGAGTCGCTACGTCGTGCATAATAGTCAATAGTCGTCGTCCATGACGCCATGGGAAAAGTCCGACGTGGGACGAGACGGTGCGGGCGGGCGGGTGCAGATGCTGGCTTTCGCGGTTGACTGTGTTGAGTTGAAGAGGGCGTGCGGCGATGAACCGGTTGTTGTTTTCTAGGCATTTCTAGCCCGCTATCGTAGGGATCTGGAGGAGGTTCAGTGTCTGTATATCCAGGAAGTCTGGTGGTTTGCGATGGTGCACTTGATGATGTGGTCGGGTGGGTGTAAGTTGGGTTGAAGCCGATCGTGACCAGCGGTTTGCGAGGTGTAGGCGGTGTTGATTGTGGACGATTTGTGGGCATGGACTGGTGAGCATTGTGATGATTGAGATTGGATTGTGTATGCTGGTGTGAATGCGGTTGATGCTGATGTGAATGATGCATTGTCTGTTGCGGGTGATTGGCGGGGAGAAACGGGTACAGATGATTTCTCTGCGGATGCTGGAGTCGTTGGGGTTGAGGATGGAAAAGCGCTGTGTTGGGTGATAGCCGTTGCTGCGATTGCGGTGCGTGGCGTTGGGGACGAGGACACTGAAGAGTTTGCTGGGATCGAGGAGATACCGGTTGTTGCCGATGAGCTACCGTAGGCGCTACCGTCTGCTGTCTATCTGCTTTTTGGTGCTTTGCATTATCGCCACTGCGATGTGACGTTTGACAGTGGTTCTCATTCGGTCGTTGGCCAACGTTTTGAGACACCCTTTGCGCTTCCGTGCTCTGAGTTTGCTGCTGTTGTTTCGATTCAATGGTCTCGGTTTCGGGGACCGCTGCAAAAACTGTTTCCTTGGGTGCATCGCACTGCCCAGCCTGTGCCCCCTCTGCCTTCCAAGACGCTTCACCGCCGACAGCTGGAAGAGCGTGCTCAGCCTTTCTCCGCCGATCGGCTGTATACCAATCCTCTTGGTCCTGTATCCCTTGCAACGCCTTACACAAGACTTTTGCTTGCCGTTCCTTTAGCTGCAAGCTCCTGTCCTTTTCCTTGGACATGGAGGGTGTTTCCTTCTTCAAGTCCTGCTGCTGCTGCTGCTGCAAGGGTGTCTTGTAGGTAGGATGCGGGTTGTCTGGATGTCCCACAGTCTGACAGGCGGCAAAGGTAGATATGGCAGCGACAGCTGCCATTTGACGGACGACTTACGTCTGAAAATCACACCACAAAGGAAAGCTTTTTGAACAAGACCAGAGACGGGGGGTTGATCGATTAAAAAAAGCAAGTCTTGTTTAAAAGCTCCATTCAATCGATTTTTTCTGTTGAACCCGCTGACCACGGCAAGCCCACACCCTTTACGCCAACAATCGCGGAGAGTAAAGAGTTTGCTTTTGTTGGGCCTTTGGGGGCGAGATTTCATGCCGAAAACCGTTCAACTTGTTCTCATGATCGGTTGCCCAAATTTCCAAAACTTTTTTTTTTAATAAGGTCAGCTGCAAGTGTTCAACCGTGCGCATGCGGAGAACAAACGCGACGCGAACGCGACACTCTCCCTCCGACCAAAAAGGTGTGAAACGGGCGAGTTCTTTTTTTTTTTATGTAAATGGTTTCTTTGTTTTGGGGGAGATCAGCATAAGAGTGTTATATTCGTTTTTACTCGGCAATAACATAACTAAGTACTTGTGAGGTTTGGTAAATCATTTGGAAATGGGGCAAAACAAGCAGTTTCATCCCCCCACCACGTTTATCGATGAGGGGGTCACATCCTCAGGTGATGGTCGGCAGGCACACGAAACCCTTGGGGACAAAAGGGCATGTGGGTCGTTTATTAGCAGACAAGAAGGACTTGGAGAGCGTGCGCCCAACACACACGAGCTCAAAGTGTCAGAAACAACTTGCGGGGGAAGGGAATCCAAAAGCCTTTGCCCCTCCCGCAATTGTTTTAACCAACTTCTTTCTTGACACATCAAAGACATGTGCTTTGTTTCTGGTCGAGGTTGCTGCTTGCGGCGATCAACGAGAAAAGGGCAGTCGGCAAATGTCAGCACAAAAGAGTTCGGACATTACGTGATATGACACATACGCACACTTTTTGGCAACTTGCCTTTTCTCCACCATTTCATTTCACTATTGACATTTTATCGGTGCGTACTGCGCATAATACTGGATATATGCAGAGGCACTATAGATACTGATGCACTGGCATCTGCCTTACCTTGTTCCAGAGGACTTTAGACAGTGACCCACGCTCAACAAGCTAGACAACAATGGCTCGCCTGCCGCTCGTCAAACTCCTACTTGGAGTTGCATCCATACTGTCATACGCAAACAGTAAGCCAAACGATTTTATATCTACATGAGCAAAGTGAATCGAACCTTGTCTTGCAGGCGCCAACTCCAAGCCAACGCCAGGTGTGATGAGCGGTTTGCCCCTTAAGGACCGTCTCTGGATACGCTGTCACTGACCACTCTGTTCCATGGCACAGTGGTTCTGTGGCATGGTATGGGAGATAGCTGCTGTAATCCTGACAGCATGGGCCAAGTGAAACAAACGTTGGAGGAAGAGTTGCCCGGAGTATACGTACATTCTATCATGATTGGAAATTCGGATGACGACGATCGGAAAGCATCCTATTTCGATCAAGTTAATCGGCAGGTAATGGATATCGTCTTGACATCTTATCTCAATCCCGTATTGATTTGCAAGTTTGACTAGGTGCAAGAAGTTTGCGAACAATTAAAATCACACTCTAATCTCAAAGACGGTTTCAACGCCATTGGATTCTCGCAAGGTGGCCAATTCCTGCGTGCATACGTCGAACGCTGCAATGATCCACCCATGCACAATCTTGTAACGTTTGGATCCCAACATGGGGGTGTGTCGGAATGGCCGGGTTGCAGAGATAGGAACGATCTCAGCTGTTCCTTGGCACGAAGCTTATTGTTACGGGGCGCGTAAGTGCGAGTGCTGTCCTTGTAACGGATTAGCAGCGGACGCTTTACTCGGTGAATGCTAGGTACCTCTCGTGGGTCCAATCCCGTGTCGTCCAGGCGCAATACTACAAGGACGCCAAAAACTATGAGACATACCTCGAGAAAAACATTTTTCTCCCTGATATCAACAACGAGAGAGAATACAAAAATGCCACCTATGCCACAAACCTAAAGTCTCTCAAGAAATTTGTAATGATAATGTTTGAAGATGATGACATGGTTGTGCCAAAGCAGAGTGCGGTACAGTACAGTTCATTTTTGATGACGTTTTCGGCAGTGTTGTTCAAACTTGCTTGCCTAGTGGTTCGGATACTGGAATGAGGAAGGCGTTGTTATCCCGTTGAGAGATCAACCGTTGTATAAAGAGGTATGTGACTGTCTTTTCACCTACTAATCGTATCGTCACTGAGTGCCAAGCTTTACTTTCTGATTTAGGACTGGCTTGGTCTGAAAGAAATGGACAAGGCCGAAAAGTTGGTCTTTGAAACTATACCCGGACGCCATGTACGTATCCACAAATGATCATCTTCTTTTTGCAGTCAAATGAAAACTGACTATTTGCATTGCTAAGATGCAAATTGAATTGGCGTACCTACGAGATGAGATTATACCAAAGTACTTGGGAGGCAAACGTCAATTGGTTTTCCAAGTAGATCCTGCATGGAATTGATAAGCAGCATTGCTAATGTTGCTACGACGATCCCCTCGTCATCGAAGGTAGCATACTGGACGTAGATGACTGATATCTTACTCTCTGTGCTGGCTTTGATAAGTAATATTGACACATGATGAAAGTGATCTTTGACATTTGCCCCCGCCAGCATTCGCGTCCGATTATGGTTGACATTAGCATATTACTGTGCTCTCAAACTCACCTACTCTTCAAAGTTTGTGGTGAACGAGTCTCCTGATGCCCGATCTTCTTTTCTGTAAGACAATGCGGCTGAAGGTTTAACTTTACCTGGAACGAGAACTATTCTGGTATACCACTGATTCCTCAAAGGACACCACGCATGCCTGACTGTATCGACTCTCCTGTAACACTAACTACCCGCATGAGAGGAGAACATGCAGCTCTCATCGATCGAGTGCTCAGCCCAGTATGTTTCATGGATTCACTCCTGCGCGGCGGGAAGACGTACTCTGCAATACCACACTACTAATCGAATGACACCGTGCCAACCCCGCGCTGACGTTTGCATAGTCCTACATGTTCTGGGATTTCCCATAATGGAACAAAATTATGTGTAATGTTTATAGACTACCCGTTTACGAGGGAAACGCATCTAGCGAAACCATGAATCGGAGTCCCACATCTTCCGCTTTGCTGACCGATCAGTGGCAGTGCAATCATGTGACCAGTGGGTTAGGCGGGCGACGCGACAGCAAGATCGGAGCGCTCCGTCGTGAATTTCCATATGACGTGCTTACGTCGGGCATTCAACAAAAGAAGAAAAGTTCAGGCGCTTAACTGAAAAGTGTTTGTCGCAAACCTTACATATTTGTCAGGTTGGATGCACATTCAGGGATGCATCGACTGTACGCTGTGCAGGGAACATGGCCTCCCCTGCGGTTGTACACAGCCTCGATTTTTTGGCGGAGCTTTAGGTTTTCCGGCGCGAACGCTAAACTTCCGCCGTTTACAGCGATTCACGGATATCTTTCCGTCATGCTGTGCGGTTGAGTTAACCTGCAGAATTGATGTGTATAAAAAGATGTAAGAAGAGTGTATAGGTCATCCCGTCCTGGAGCTCACTCCATCATGTCCGTCTTCCCTGGTGTCCTGCGTGCCGCTTGGCCATTCCTTATCGTCCTCGCATCTACCTGCATCCACACCTCTTTAGCAATCAACCCAAAAGCACGTAGAGCTGATGCTTGCAGCTTCTCTCCCAGCACCATCTACTCCTACTCCCGCGTCCTATCATGCTACAAAAGCTTTCCTTTTCGCGCCGATATAAAGCAGGACGCTTTGGCCAAGCTCGAGAAATGGTTGGATATATACGCTTTTACTGACTTGGCCAAGGAAGGAAGCGCTCTTTATGGTCAGCCTGGTGTGGATTTGAGAAAAGGGTTGCGTGATATTGCAGCTAGGAAATACGACACGGATTTTGCCTTCCAGATGGATCTTCAGAATTTGTTTTGGAGGTTGAATGATGCTCATACCCTCTATAAACCTCAATGCTACACTGTAAGTACTCATTGAAGCATTTGCTTCCGTTCCTGCACATCGACTCCCATTTCTCATATGAATCGTGTATATCTCGTACCTAGCAAGCATTTTATTTTATCCAACCTTTTGCCTTCATCCCTTCATCTGACGAAAAGCTTACTGTCACCGAGCCATGGTGGCTTGCCCCCTTCACTATTTACAACTCCTCCACCTACCAAGAGCATCTTGATCGGTTTGGAAGGCGTTATCAGGATTGGCGAGTGTTGAGAATTGACGGAACAGACGCTTTTTATGCTTTGAGAAAGTATGCCGAAAATGAAGGCGGCGTATTGAGGGTCAGTAAAGTTTACTTACCGGAAGGATTAGAGGGGGATTGGTATGTCGGGGACAAAGTTCACTTATTTTTTCCATATGTTAGGATGCTGAGGCAAGATTTATTCAAGCAGTCAACACCGGTCCACCTAATATGCCTACCTTCATCTTTCGAATGGATGCCCCACCAATGTCTCCCTCCACCCTATACACCCTGCAAGACCCCAGAACTGGTAAAGTGGAAGAAATAGAGGTTCCAGTTAAGTACCGGACACATTGACGAAAATCAAGTATAATGTATTGACATTCCTCTTTATCATCCTTTCTTATCTCTCCTTTTAGTGGCTTGCTGTATGTGGCTCTGAAACTGCAATTACCAGCGGTGCAGATTACTGGCTCCAATTCTGCGATCCAAAAACTCCCGTTCCTCATGTTGAGGTCCCATCTTACGAACCACCTTCTACGCACCAGCATAAAAATGGCCATGGCATTACACATCCTCGTCTATCTGCTCGTGACGAAAGTAACGAAGAATTCAACTTCTCGCTGCCCACCGTACAAGAATTCCTTGCCGATAACACAAGGGGCGTCGTGAATCCTGTTACCCTTGCGGTTCAATTGGATAAACAAACCTGGGGGCTCCATATCTCTACGTTTGATGGCAGCGTAGATGACATATTGAAATGGGGGGACGATTGGCTAAACCTCTTGAACCTCGCCAAGAACAACAGTTTGAAAAACTTAATTCTGGTAAAGCATTTTATGTTATGTGCCTTGCATTCTCCTGGCATCCAGACTAATGCATAGAACGAATATTTCCCACCTGTATACAGGACTTTTGTGGCAACGGAGGCGGAAAGATTCTTTCCGGTTCTGCCCTTACTTTCTTTCTCAACCCGTCGGAATATGCTCCCCCGTCAGGCGGTCTTCCATTAACGCCGACAACGCTGAAATTGATCGGCGAAGCGACCAACTCATCGTCGTATTTTTACAAAAACTTTTTTAGCGACTTGAATGGAAAGAACATGACTTTGGCGGATATGTGGATGCCTACGTGGTGAGCAACGAAACAAAGATACTTCCATCCATAATACGACTTTTATATTTACAGAGTATTCGTTGCGTCTAGGGACCGCCCACCCGGCACATTTGTTCCGCGGAGCAGGAAGATGTATATGAGAGAGGTTCTATTACCAAGGAATAATGAAGAAATACGTTCCGTTGCACCAAAGGAAAAATACTTTAATTTGGCGATTGTCACCGACGGGTATTGTATTTCCACTTGCGCTATTGTCACAAAGTGAGTTCCACGGCTGCTGCCCAGTTTTCTTGGCTTTGTTTGCTTTGTGTTCAGACGAGATTTATATCTAACCGTGAACCATCTTCCCCGCTCAGCCAACTTCGCGCACAGAACACTCCCATATACACCTTCACCCCTTTCCCTAACCGCGTAGATCAAAAGTTCTCGTACTCGACTCACCCCGCTTCAGTTCTCGATTCCACGTCCTTCCTATCTCCCTCAGCTCCTGGCAACTTCTCCACTACTGCGCAGGTCCGAGCAGCCTGGTTTGAGCTGTACGATGGCCGCGGCGAAATAGCAGAGTTTAGCAGGTACGCCAGTGATGGCAGTATTTATGTTCCGGCTGCAAAGAGTCGTGAAGAGAGAATTGTGACACAGATGGAAGCGTGGAGGGAGGTGAGCAGGAAGGTTTGGGGGAAGTGACTGGGCGATGTTGTGCCGTCCATGCTCGCATTATCAGAGACCCGAAAAAGTTGGATACCAAGTAAAGGTCTGAACCTGTTTACAAATATACCCATAATTCACAAGCTGGTGGAATCACACTGGCAAAAGATCTACAGACGTTTAGCAACCCTGAGTATGCTTCTCTTATCACCAAAGTATCCCCATCTTGCCCATTCCATCTGCATACACAAGCGCACAAGGTCTCAGCAAGATGTAATTTTGCAACTCAAGCGTTCTCATGCCCTCACCACAGGCAGTCTCGACACCTGGACTTTTGTGTCTGGTCTCGATCTCCGTGGGATGATCATAGATAAGTTGTTGGTTAGTTGATATATCGTATAGTCATCATTACCTGCCGCCGCATATTGTTCATCGTTCCCTCCTCCGGCGTGAGCGCCATCTCGACGATAATGACGATAGCAGCTAGTATCTAGTCCAGAAAAGAATCTAAAGGTTTGCCCAGAGATAAATGTTTTTTTCTGCCCTAATATCAGATTTTCAGCACCTGGCCTGTATGAACCAAGTTGGAAGCGGACCTGCTCCATATTTGGCGTGATGTATCCTCGCCCATAGACACACCATTTTGCTTTTCGAGAACCCAATCCGTACAGTGATGGAAATGGTGGGTATGCAGTAGTCGCAGTCTGCTAGGCCATGGCGTTCCAACCTTGCAACTAGGTCTATTATACAAGATCCCTGTACGCACGGAGGAGATGCCTCACCAGCAATGGAGGCGTTTTTGGTTTATCTTTTCGATATGGTTCCCTAAGTGAGCAATATTGGGAAAACCCTGTTCACCTGAATTTAATGAAAAACTCGTTACTGAAAAGCGGCATAATAGGATATAGTGGAAAGCCTTTGAGACGATGATAGCCCGATTTTGTTCTGATGCACTTTACTTTTTGATCAGATATCGGCATCTGATTCCTTGTTTTGGCGTGCAATGGTATATGTTCCTTCTCTATGATCAGACAAGTCTATATTTGACAGCGTTTTTTCGAGGTCCTTGCGGATATACCCCAAACCACCAGACTCATGGTGGCCGAAAATAAAAATGTGCTTATTGTTCACACACATATTCGTTACAAGTTGGTATCCCCCAAATAGATTCATGCATGCCCTTGACCGAACTTTCGCAGATGTCTATATTTCAACCTTATTTTACAAAAAGTTATTCGACGGTCTCCATTATCTTTTTTTTATTTTATTTTTTTGTTAACAAAACGGGTGACACATCCGAAATTGATCGGAGTATGAAAGCTGCATTAAATGATTTTCAACTTTCGATTCGCAGTTCGATTCCCGTCCAATTCATCACCTTTTTCATAAGAATGTTAACCACCTTTTGTCAACTCCAATCCCGGCGCACCCTGATCCACCTTCGCCACCACATCCGCCGGCATGCCCCCTTTCTCATCCGCCGGCATCCGTCCACGACAAGTATATCCAAACCACTCTTGACTGAATCCATTAATGGTCGAGAGAGGGTCTATACCAAGCCATCGCATCCTTCTAAACCGCTTTTGTATGCATGGACTGCGGATGCGGGCACAAGGATGGGAGTGTGGCGAGGAGGAGTGTTGGGGTGGATAAAGGCCATGTTTTTACCTGTTGGGTACCCGGGGAGTGTGCATCCAGTTTACGCCAAAGTACACGTCTATCAGTTTGTGGAGACGTTGATTTGGAGCACGGTGTGTGTTGTGTGCATGCATTCACTTGGGTTCTTTAATTCATAGTTTTGCCTTTGCAGGTCTCTGTCCTCTGCAACCAAGCGATGCTCTCCTCAATCGGCGTCGGCTCTCCAGCCGCCACAACAGGCGCGGTGGCGATACAGTGGGTTCTCAAAGATGGTATAGGCGAGATAGGAAAACTGTTTTTTATCCAACGATTTTCGAGGAGTTTTGATTCGCATCCCAAGACGTGGAAACTGGTTGGAGAGGTGTCATCACTTGGAGGGGCGTTTTTGCAGCTTTGTACGGCCATTGCGCCTGGTGGGTGGTTTTTGGGGTTGGCGGGGGTGGGCTATGCATTGAGGTCGATTCATTACTCGATTTGGGTTTGTTTCTCTTCGTGTTTTTGCCTTGACCTTGCTGGTGGAACTCACACACTTTTATAGGGTGCAACGCATATGACATTCACACGCAACTTTGCGCTGCAAGGTAACGTCGGAGACCTCGTCGCCAAAGATGATTCCCAAATGTCCGTCGCCCATCTCTTGGGCATGTTGATAGGCGTTTGCGCCATCACCTTCTCCCACACACCCACATTTCTCTTCACCACGTTTTTCCTTCTGGGTCCACTTCATTTCACGACAACCCTCGCCCTTCTCCGGGCTGCGCGGTTTGAAGTGCTGAATCAGACTACGCTAGCATTGGTGTGTTGGAAGTTTGTACGAGAGGGGCGTGTATCCGGTGTTGAGGAGTTACGGCCTTATGAGAAATGGTTTGGGGAATGGATTAAGAATGATGTGCCCGTTGCGAGGATTCGTATTGGTGTTGAGGTTAACACCGCGTTTAAAGAGGCTGGAGAGGTAGAGGGTGTTTTGAGTGTGTTGAAGGTTTGTACCCACTCACACCTTGCTTGCATGTGTTTGTTTTCCTCAATATCATCTTACCCAGGCTGAAAACTACCTTCTAACACCGACGCCCAACCCTTGCCTCCTCCTTCATCCCTCGGCTACACCGCATGATATCATCAAAGGCATGCTCCATGCAACCGCCATCCACACCCTTCTCACAGAGAACCCCACTGCAGAGCCTCTAAAAGCTCTAGCATCATCTCATGCGTGGGCGATAGAAAAGTTTCCTGGGTTTGTGGTGGAGATAGATGAGAAGGGATGGCAGTCTGATGCCGTGTTTTGGGAGGATGTAGGGAGGCGTGTTGTGTGGGATAGGGAGATACCAGTGATTGAGGAGGAAAATGGCAGTGTGTGAGGTCAGCGTGTGAGGTCAGCGAGTTTTTGTATTTCATATATTAGTAGAAGGAGAATAAGTGACATGGTTGGTTTGAGCGATAGATTTGGTGTAGGGTAATAGAACTATTGATCTTAATGTCGTCTATAACAATTATCCGTTCGATATTTTCTGCTCAGATGTGATCCACATTGTAGGATACGTTTTCGAAAAAAGCCCAACTGTATTGAGCAAACTACCTGATGTTGTTGCAAGGGCACAAAACGTATCTGACAACTTTAGATGCCCGCTTATCAAGCTGCAATGAGGATCTGGGCAACCGGACCAAAGCACCTCCTCAAATGTACCCAGAAGGACAAACATAAACCAAACAGCCGAGCGACCCAAAGACATGCCCAAAAAAAACCAAGAACATTTTTTAAAACAAAAATGTAAAAGAGAATAAAAATTACAGATGAACATGATGACGTTGTGTTCTATGTTCTTACTCCCATCCGTGCGGCCCACAACCCAACCCCTCACTCTCGGGAACATTATACGAACAGCGTTCTTCATGCACCCGTGCCCGGTTCGATGTAGAACCTTGACCGCTTGTATCGTGGCAGAATATCTGTTGCAAGCATTTGTCTGTAATAAGAGGTATGTAAGCCTTCAAAATCACTTGATAAGCACCACATCAATGCAAATACATACTTGACATGCTCAACAGCATCATCAAACAGTTTTTCGCCACTCCACTCATCGCCCTTAATCGGGGCCTCCTTCAACTTCTTTTCAATCTCTCTCCGAATTCCACTGGGAAGATTCACTTCATTCGTACTCCCCGCCCTCACAAAGTCATAGAGGATGTTCTGTGCGTACTTTTGGCGATCGGGACCGTTAAACCGTGAGTATCTGTGCCGGTAATCCATGGCATTGGCAAGAAAGAGGAGGTTCTCAGTGCAAAACTCGTGAGCTGCAAAGGTTGTAAGAGCGGACAAACTGGCGGGGTGTGCGAGGGTGAGGTCCAGTTCGCGGGTGGGTGGGGTACAAGTAGATCGGTTCCGCTTTTGAGCTGCTCCTTGGGCTGCCTGGTGGCTCGTGACGGTTGACGCGGCATTGGCAGGCATGGGATGACTGAAACTGGTCCGCTGGTTCACAGCCGTGGAAGAAATTGATGTCGTGATTTTGCGGATAGTGTCGGACATGACAGGTAGTTGTGTTGGAGTGTCCTCTTGTCCCACTCTACTGACTGCAGCGCTCTTGGATCCATGGCGAACACTCATGGTTGTGGTTGTACCGTGAAGATCCTGCATGGAGCCCTTATTCTCGGAAATGGAGGAGGCGCCGTGAGAGGAGCGGGTGAGCCAGAGGAGACCCGTTCGGGTTTTTCGAACTGTGTCTTGGTATTCGGGGAGGAGGGCGACGACTGTGGGCGCGGCGAGGAGGAGAACATGATAAAATATTGGGGCAAAGACGGCCAGCCTGTTATTATACAACGATGCAGCGACACATGAGTAAGTGGGTTTAATTTGGTCGTGCTGCGAGTTTTACATACCAGACCAAACCATCCGCTGTTGCTTGCGAGTGATTGTAGTAATCGTAGGCCGTCCATCCTTTATTGAAGGTCATTACAATAGCGGTGACCAAAATCTGCCACTTGATTGCCATGCTAGAAATAAAACAACCAGAGATTAGAATGGTTTCCGTATCGCTAGAAAATGCAAAACATTCACATACTTGTCACCCATCATCACCCAAGGCACTCTCAAGCCCAAAATCAACAGATCCGCTCCCAAAATCTGCCACAAAAACACCCAGACGGTGTATTCTTCAAAATCCGGTTGGCCCCATTTGACGCTCATCAACCAAGCCAAAAAGCACAACATGGGGATTGCAGTCACAAAGTAGTACACAAATGCCATGCGCTCTTGGGCCCAGAAATTCACACGGCGAAGCCTGGTAGCCGTGATATGGAGCTGGTCGTGTTGAGGTTGGTAGATTTGACTATGTTGTTTCTTGCCAAGAGGCGGCGCAGCTGCTGAGATTTTGGGTTCTTCTGGGATAGAGTTTTTGGGGGTGGACGTTTGGCTGACGCGGTCGTAATGGTAGACCTGGGGTAGTTCAGCGCGAAGGATGGCTCGAAGACGCTGTGCTTTGTCCCTGTCACCCAACAAAGTAAGCCCCAATTGCCCGGTACAGGCAACAATGTCCAACCAAAAAAAAACTCACAGAAAGTAATGGGTCAAAATCAACGCATAAAACCCTGGCATTGCCAACGAGAACGACACGAGAATGGCCCCAATCCACATCCGAATCTTTCTCTCCGATACAGATCTTAGATCGCTTAAGGCGGTGTAGAAGAATGCAACGAGCCCAATGTAGATCAATAACCACACTGCGGTCGTGACGCACATGGACCAGTGGCGGAATCGGATGATACGTTGGTCGCGGTTCCATACCTGCAACAAAATGACTGTTGAGGCTTGTGATAACTGAGAATAACGGCAAGTATACATACAAAGAGGGGTAGAAAGATGACCACAATGACCATTTGGACGAACCAGCCTACTACCATTCGGTTATCTCTGGTCAATGGTACAGCTGTCGAGTTGAGTTTCAGGAGGCGACCGAGAAGTTTACCATCTGAGGTGATGACGGATTCGCAGAAATCGAATATCAGGGTGGGGAGCTGTGATTGTTGACGGTTGTCGTTCAGCACCTTGCGGGAATGTGTTCATGCAAGTGCAGGACCCAATATCCTTACCTGAGCGGGATTAGCAAGTTCGGGACATTGCGAGACAAACATGCACATTTGAAATGCCAGCTTGGTCTTATTCGCTTGCGCCATTGAAGAGAGACAAAACTCCTAGAGATTTAAAAAAGTTCAGCAATCAGAAATCATTACGAGACCAAAGTGACCAAAAAGGTCCATCGAGAAAACTTACCCCCACAGTCTGAGTAGCCGTGACATTAACATTCTTCATACACCCAACCGCACAAGTTGATACCTCCGCATCCGCAGCCCGACCGCTCCCACATATGGCCGCCAGAATGAGGAACAGGAATATCAGTGAACGCATGGTGGTTCCCGGGGACGCCGTCTGAGGGTGGGGTGGTTAACGAGGGTGCGAGTGTAGTAATGAAAGACCTCAATCAAGGAAACCAGAACCGGAAATTGGGAGACAGTATCGACGACAGACCAACTTCGAACACCTAATCCACAACTGCACCACACCAAAAGGCCTTAGGAATGGGACAAATGGGGAGCCCGCCTACGACAGCTACAGATATTCTAGGCGAGACAACACCCAACAAGACACTCGATCCACAAAAAAAAGGTAAATAGGCCGATACAAATAGACCCTCCAGCCTCGGATATTTTTTGAGCTTTAGACTGGGATCCCTCACTCGGTTGAGCAGATTTCAAAGCAAATAGTAGGAAAATAATGGGAGTTGAAAGCTAAAATTCAAAATCATCAGTTCGGAATTAGGTCTGATTAAACTATTCCCCGCCCACGCCCTTTTTTCGCTTCAACATCCTTTCATGTCATTCTAATTTTAGAGCACACTTTGTTCACCTAAAAAAAAAAAAGAAATGGAAATGCCTACCTTTGGTTCTATTCGTGCTAGGTCATCCGATGTGTTGTGTTTTTCCCGCCTCAGATACCCTGCTTTTGCCATCATGGCAATTCAGCGATTGTTCAAATTACTATAAATACACAAGGTTTTCCGCTAGTTTCCTACTTACGTAACTCGCGATGTGTGATGGTTTTGGTGTGTGCTGCGGCATGTTTGTGTTTAAGTGGAATGTGTGTGTATGTTGGATGCCTTTGAATTATTCAACACACAAAAAAAAAAAAAGAAAACAGCCGCGGAATCAAGAGTTGCGAGTAATCGTAGGCAAGAAGAAACAGTTACCCTCCGGTCCTGTTTGACTGGAATAAGCGTACAGACACTTTTGTTTGATTCGTGCTCGTAGCAAGCGTCCCGGAGGGGCGTGGAAATCATCAAGAGCATCAATCCAACCATTGGCCAACAACAAGAAAAAGAGTGTTATGTTCTTTAGAAACGTTTGACGAAAAAAGAAAGACACATGAACGCTTCCAATCTTTTTGGCCTGCGGCGGTGCGGGAAACCGTCCACCAAGTGTTCCAAATGACGCCGTTCTACGATAATCTGCACTGCACACCCAAGATTGTTTATTACCAAAAACCCTTTTTTAGCTCTCTTGTCTCGCCGTCGCACTAATCCACGGCCTTTTGAACGAGATGGATGATCGTTCGATTTCGTTGAACACTTCTGGAGCAAATCTAAAACGCGTTTTATTTTAAATACTTGTCCTCTGTCCCAAGTAGAAAGAACACTTTTGCACACACAAAAGATTTGGGGAGAAGGTGGAAAGCTACTATTATCCGTTTACTCGGATTTATCCTTGTTGCATGGCCGCAAGATCTGAGTGACATGAAATTTCATTAGCAGCCCGGTCACAAAACTCTTTGTAGATACGTTTTTCTTGGCGACTCGGAGGGCTTTTTTATTTATCGTGGCTTGCCTCCTGACAAGTCGTTCAGTTCATTGCTGACGGCCGCCTGCCGTTGTTGGTAAAACTACTCACGTGTAGGAGGAAACCTGATAAGGGCGGCGGTGAACGGAGCACGGCTGTGGTGACTTTACGCACTACAAGTAGGTTTCGGTCCACTTGTATGCTGAAACATTTTGGCAGTAGCAGCCCATTTTATTCGACATACAAGGAAATGATGCAAGAGATCAACAACATTTTATACAACGATAACATTTTTAATTTACTAAAATACAAAAAACCAATCTACTGATTAACAGCCTTTTTCAACTCGCCCTCCGCTTCTATCTTGGCGCCGCTAGCTCTCATTGTCTCATTCCCAATCAAACCCCCAACATTCTTCTTGATATTTCCTCCCAAGGAGTCCATCTGTCCATCGGCATAATTGGCGGCCTTGACAGCTTCAATTTCCGCATTTCCAGATGCACGCTGAGAGGCGCCTTCTACGCGCAAGGATGTGTTGCCGAGGATCTTGCCGGTGCTTTCCTTTATGGTGCCTTTAGCAGATTCGAGGGTTCCATGTGTCTGTTTTCAAGTATGTATTAGTGGAGATTTGAGCAAGAGTTTGGTTTACAAAGACTACTTACGCGAGAGGGTGCGGTGGACATGGTTTATGATTTGTGAGGTTTAAGGGATGATCTGACGGTGTTCTTTTGTTTAATGGATGTTTTGATAATGTTCTGTTTTTAGCTTCTTTTGTGTGTGCGGTATGTGTTCAGAGGCCTCTTGTCCATCCTCCCTTTTATAACCCATGAGCGGCCTTTGTTTCTTTTCCTGCTGTTTCCTACGTCATCGTTTTATCGTCTTGATTCTCATCGTCGTCGTCTCTTCTCTGTGGTTTCGGCTGATCATTTGTTTATCACACCGCCCTGCATGACGTCAGGTCGTCACAGTTGGTGATTATGTAAGCGAGGCTGGGTTTCTCCGTGAATTCGACTGCATTTGCGTGTGGATTTCAAGCGCTGGTTATGAGCTTGTAGTCATGCCCAGCCTTGAAGTGCACTGGGATGCACTATGCTGCGTTTGGAATGTCTAGAAAGCAATCAAAGAAAGCATAGTCCTTTTTTCACTTTTCAGCATACTAGTACGCAGGCAATTCAGCAGCCCATGGAATTTCGACAAAAGCCCCATACACAAAGCAACAACAAACAAATCGCAGAAATCCACATCGGCTGATATTCATTGAACGATAGACACCGCCAACCGCAAACAAGATCTCCGATCATCGTATTGTTCATAACCCGAATAAAGTTACAGTTGTTTGATTAAATCTCATGTCGAGATTCAGTTCGAATCGAAGCTCGATGTATTCAAGCAGAGTTAAACTTAAAAATTTAAATGCAGAGCCTCGAGCATGTTCGCTCCACATATGGGCAGCACAATTGTGCTGATTGATAGACAATCAATGAATACTGAAAAGAAAATACTTTCATATCGAAGCTTGATGACGACAATGCACAAGTTGTGAATATCCAGATGTCATAGTGCATTCTTAAGTATAGGTACAGTAGGTCCTGGAATATCCACACGGAAGTCAAGTGTTAAATCATGATTCGGCTGGGTTCGAACCGAAGAATATCTCTGATTTGCTAATGGAAATAGTGTTCCTTCCTGCGTTTGTTGCTTGCAAGCATGAATTGAAGAAACAGGTTGGACAGGTTCTTTGTTCCGGCATTATTAAATTACAGCAATGGATAACCCAAAGTAGGTACGATCCCCTCACTAAAAAGGCCAGTACCGATGGTTCCATCAAGACAGCCAAATTGACGACAAGATCTTTCACGTAATGTAAAAAAACAGCGCAAGAAAACTATCGCACACTCAGATAAACATCATTTCCACCTTCCTATCGGGTCTGGCGACATTCATCGCGTTTTATCCACTTGAAGTCGTCGAATTGCGACTGCAAGTCCAGAAGCGAGTTTATAAGGGGTTGATCGATGCCCTCAGAAGGATTCGAAAGGAGGAAGGCCTGCGGTGAGAGTCAAGGAGTGGAGGTTCAAGCATAATGGACGCAATGGTTGATTCTTTTCTTGTTACGATTAGTGCGCTGTACAGGGGGTTTCCACCTGCATTGATACAGGCGACGCTTGGATGGGCATGTTATTATTGTGCATTTGATTTCGCACGACATGTCATTTACACCGAGTTCCTATCATCGGCCGCTGATCGTTCTGGCCAACATCACATCTCGCACCACTTGAAAGAGATTACCGACGGCGTCCCTGTCCAACAAGTTGTTCAAGAAGTGGCACACGACTCTCTTCCCCCTGAATGTCGGCCAGAGGAGATCCCACCCGCGGCCAACCTTGCTGGGGCAGCCATATCTGGAGCGCTCTGTACATTGGTATTTAATCCGCTTCAAGTGCTTAAACTTCGAATGGTCACTGCACCACCGGGCAAGAACCCATCCATGCTCGACACATTCAGATCCATTGTACATCATCCATCATCAAGAATGACCCGCCTCCCATCTAGAGTCAAGACGCTCTGGAAAGGGACACTTCCCGCTCTGTTTGGCGTCTCAGAAGGCTGCATCCAATTTACAGTCTACGAACGGCTCAAAGCTTCCTTGCCACCACATCCAACCTCCCTGGTCCTGGCCTCGACGACTGCTCGTTTTGTATCAGGGGTGACAACGTACCCCTACCAGGTTCTTCGATCGCGTTTACAGAATTCGGATGAGTACCGAGGAGTCCTAGATGCATGCAAGAGAATCGGGAGGGAAGAGGGGTTGGCCGCATTTTGGAGGGGCGTTGGACCGAATTTGGTGCGGACGGTTCCACCTGCTGGGTTCTTGTTGACGATGAATGATGTTTTGAGGGAGGCTCTTCATAGGCGATTTGGGACGGGAAGGGGAGATAGAATCGGGTGATATGACTTGTATAATATGATGGACGGGTTGACAGAGTCGGGCTCCGATAATGTTCTCGAACAAACGTTATTGTAGTGGATCTTCCTGTACAGTCACGCATCATCCGCATCCAGATTAACCTCCCCACATACAGCAATTTCATCCAAAGCCAACGAATAGTAACATCATTCAAATTCGTTATAATTAGCCAACGCTTCCTCATCTTCCTCCGACGGAGGACTCGGAATGTCTTCAGCCTCTTCGTCCGGTAACTCCTCCTGGCAGCAGGTATAGTCTGTACGCATTAATCTCAGCCTGTCGTGTACTTTCCAAGCCTCCGGACGATCGTGCGGATTGGTCGACAGCATTTCCCGTATTATAACTAAGAGATCTTTCAAATTCTCGTTATCTCTACACCGCATTTCCAGAAACCTCAATGCCTTTTCTCTGATTCGTTCGGAGGAGTAATTGCCATTCTTTAGCAAAGGATCTAGGACCGCACCGGGACGAACGCCAGACATCAAGCACAAAATTTCGCAGAACACGGCGCCGAGGGAGAAAACTTCAGCTGGGCGCGAGTAACGCTGGGCATTCGCAACTTCCGGCGCCATGTATTTCACCGTACCCGCGTATGTCCTTCGAACCGATGTGTCTTTGCAAAGTCGGCTTACCCCAAAATCCACGCAAACCAACCTTCCCTCGTCAGTCAAGCAGAAGTTTTCTGGTTTGATGTCCCGGTGGAGAACAGGAGGTTTCAGCGTATGGAGCTCATGAATAGCAACTGTTAGACAGAGCATTAGCTGTTGACCGTATTTTTGCAATGACGCCTTTGTCGGGAGTTCAGAGCTGTTGGGGATGAACGGTCGCTCCAACCAATCACGTATTGTGGTAGGACACCATGGTCGGTAATACATGTAAATTTTCTCATGGTCATCCACAGCCCCGAGAAAAGTAGGCATGTGTTGTCGTTCGGATACGGCTTGCAAGACCTCCAGTTCCGCCAATTCGTATGTTACAGGTTCCCGCGCTCCTCTTGGATCGGTCGTAGAAGCATTAGAGATGTCTGGCTTGATATATTTTCGGGCTGCCGTCTGGATCTCTTCGCCTGCGGCAGCAGGGCCTGTAGTTACGAACTCCACAACGCCCTCGCTGCCCATTGCAGGTGGCTTTCGATCTTTCCGGAAATAAGGAAGCCTGTAGTTGACCTCCCTTTCCACATTCTCGACAGTCAGGACCGTTGTCGGGTCCAGTTCTTTTCGCTCCTCGGCTCTACGTGGTCGCTTAGACATAATGCTTAACAATAGGCCGAAGGCAAGCGCATTGCTAACGGGGCGTTTATTTTGAATAGTTGCAAGCACGTGACACCACTGGTCACTATATTTCTGATTGGTGCCAGTCGCAAGCAAAAAGTAAAATCCAGGCAATTACTTTTTGGCATATGAACGTCTTTTAGTTTTACTGCATGTTGCGAACATGTCAAACGTTCCATTGCATTGCATTACCCGAGGATACAAGTAGAAGGTGTAATAAATAAGTTTGTTACATCTCGTTATAACGATGCTCTTCTTCAGCAGGACGTTATTGACCTACTCGCTACCATGGATCACTCGATTTATTTGACATGAAAATCACGTGCATATGCCATGGGTCCATTGTTTATCATCACAATGACACTCCAATACAGTTTACGTTCAACTATAGACTATAGCATTTTCAGGCGCCTGAATATATAGTAATACCCCAAACCCAATATCCAAAACATCTTTAGAATCATCTTCGCAACCAATGCTTTTTCCAAAAGTTTTTCTATTCACGCGTATCCAGGATATGGCTAATAAAAATACACAAGACTACTGTCCCCTATTGTGACGACTCTCCTTGTCGAGCGGGAACCTGTTGTTGGGACCGATGAGGCGGTTGTTCGGTGGTACGTCGTTGTCCAAGAACCCAATCAACGTATTCGTTGAAAGAAACTTTGCCATCTCGGTTATTATCTAGTTCCTGTTGATTGTGTTAGAAATATGACATGTATTTGCAGATCAAGGGCGTTGTAATCGTGTTTTTTTACCTCCAGTGTTCCCGCAAGTGTTTTTTTGGTCATTCCCCGTCTAACGAGGTCAGCATAGAGTAGACGGAATTCGCGAACGTCAATGCATCCACTTTGGTCCTTGTCGAATCTATAACCCAAACGTCCGCGCATTGAGCTCTCTTCTTGAGCGGTACGTGAATTGGTTTGTTTCTACCTACCGTTGAAAGTCTGTTGAGATTTGTGTCAAGTCAGCCAACTCTTGTGGGGAGAGCTGTAAGGTTTTGAATCGATGTTCCTGTTGCCACCACTTGATAACTAAAACCACCAAAAAAAACAAAAACGATATGAATATCTCAAGTTCCAAAAAAGAGTACTGATACTCCAAAAACACACACACACCTCACGTCCACTTACATTCCCCATAACTAATCTCCCCGTTCCCATCGCTATCCAATAGCCGGATGGCCATACCTAGTTCCAGGTCTGACAAAAAGTATCCCATGTCGTAGCATAGTTTCCTAAACTCGCTGACACTGATGGTTCCCGACCCATCAACATCGTACTTGTCAAACCTATATCAAAAAGGAGGTGAGATATGGTGTTGTCACTTGCCATGGCTCCGTTTTATGCAGTTTTTTTTGTCGATCAGAGGCTCCTTCCAACTGGCGACTACTACATACACTATCCGCGAGACAGGCTTATGAGCTTCGGCGAATGACATTCCTTTTCGATTACCGGGAGTACCGTGAGACCGTGCATGCATGGTAAAATGGTCTATGCTATTTTTTCTCCAGGGACATGCAAAAACAAATGCGAGTTTTTCCTTGTCAGGTTGTCCAAACAAACGCCCAAGTATTATGTCAGCGCCCGCTGACGCGTTTGTGTTGCTGCATGTGTAAGTCACTGTAGGAGATCGAGAGTTTTGTCTCTGTCTGTAGGATGGAGCTGCACTTGGAAAACACCAAGTTTGAATGCTAGTGTAGCGTAGTATTACAGATTCATTTCATATATACAAAATAATAAATACAGCGTATCATTCCTAACGAGTTCGGGCAGACCATGCTCGCACATTTGGAGTCAATGCAAGAAAAGAATCCGTCAAGAGAGGTGCAATCCCTGATCGAACATCAAGGCATTCGGATGATTCATTGACAATAGGAGCATTTGCATTTCCACGCTGATCCAAAAACCCAACAACTTGCTCAATCCCATGACATAGTCGAAACTTTAATTCCAAAGCGCATGCCTCCAAGGACATGTCTGTACTATTTTCTTCAAGGTGTGATGTTGTCTCTTGGTCATCCACCGCAAGCCTGGTTCGCATGATGTCCATGTCCTTGTCTGATATGCATACCTCTTGATACAGTGGCACATCCTTTGAGAGCAACGTATTCAAAGAGTGTGAATACGCTTTTTGGAGTGCATCCATGTGGTTGAGAAAGTCTCGTGGGCTGGCATCATCCAAACAAGCCATTTGAATGACATCCAAATGTAATCCAGCAAGGTGATATTGTTGTTCTGGGGTCAAGAAAGACCGTACGCGCTGGGCTAATACGGAGATGCTTGTGTCGGGTTTTGACATGGGTGTGTGTGATGGTGAGTAGGAAGCGCGAACGAAATGGATGAGCACTTCGCGCAAGGTTTTGAGTTTTGCTTGGGAGATGAGCGGTGGGTCGTCCTTTATGCTAGTTTCTAAATGGAGTTGAACGATGAGAGAGGTTCTGCATACACTTCTCAAATCTCCAGATACGTACCGGAAATAGATTCCAGAGTCAACCGCCCCACCAGAATGGCCAGGTACGTCAATCTAGTAACGGAGATCAGATCCTGTGGTTAAAGTTGGCACAACATGATACGATCGCACCTATATTTCATTGGCCAAGACAATGGCGAAGCGGGTTCCCGTGCCCAGTGATCCACTCCGCCAACAAGTCGGGCATTGGCGTCCCACCGGATAACAAAAACAGCTTCCAAAACACGTTGTAGCAGTCGATGTGGAAACTCTGGCCACATGGATCCAAATAGAAGCAACGCAAGGATCGTGCGTGATGCGAGGCTGTATGCACCATTTTGATCATCTACATGGGTATCTTCCCATGGAGGACTGCTTGCGGCAAATACAGAAATAGTACCCTCAACAATGGTTGGATTCTTGATTTTTTTAGCGAGCCAGTGCTTGATTTCATTTTCCAAGTCGATGGCCAGGACTTTTAATTTCCACAAGTCTTCCTCCACTCCCATGCAAAAATCCACAGGCATGCGCTTTAAGAGCATTTTGGCACGAGGAGACCATAACTTAGCGGGTACTTCAGAGTCGGGTGCGTCGTCAGCATATCTAGATGGAACAAAGGCCGGATCAAAAGGTATCAATTCTCTACTCGCCAAATCCGCTAATCGAACTCGCATGCTTTGAGCCATTTTCGTTAAATCTGCCCATGTTTTACGTTCATGCCATGTAATAAATACGCCATCGAGCATCCAAACTTCGGGGAGAGCCATAACAGCAAAACCGCGTCGTTCGGGTGTACCTTCCGCAGTCATCAATTTTGAACATCCAATACATCGTAATTGTAAGACACGAACAGGTCGAAGAATTGTTTGCAGGGTTTTGAAATCGAGGTTTGTAAATGAAATGTCTAGGAACCCTAATCCTGCGTACTTTGAAATGGCCGAAACAAGTGCTGGAGACACGTCCCTGCAATACGCTAGAGACAATGACCAAAGACATATGTACTGTGATAGGGTATTCAATAACTTTAGGTTCGTAGGTGAAATGTCGAGATGCTCTTGTTTGTTGAAAGGGGCGACAACTGACTCTCTATCCTTTCCGGTTACCAAAACATCAGCTTTGTATCCATCAGCTGAAGCCTGCAGGATATGGTTACCGTTCAGTAATACTTATTTGCTTGGAGGCTACCTCCAGGCGAGGCCGTGACCTGGTTGAGCGAAATGCCATCTTGCAAATAGCTGTCAACACGTTGCAAGTCCCCGCTATTACAGCATCCGCGCTCTGCGCGTCTATCACGTGATTGGATCCATGCTTAGTTGCCCTGGCCGTGCGGCCATTCCCTCAAAAAACCACAAAATCAAAAGGGCTGAAACGTTCAAAGGGTTCCGCCCGTTGGGTTTAAACGGATGGGTTTGCCCACAAACAAACACACACATTTTAAACAAAATTCTTTCTTGTAAATTTCCTTCACAAACGTCCCATTTCGTTTTTCCCAACGACGTGACCTTATCCCGGCTAGGGAAGGTGTAAGGCGCATACAAAAGCGCAATGACCTCCCCACCTCTGCCTCCAAAGACGACCCTCTACGGTTCCCCTCCGTCAGCAGCAGCAACCTACTCGAATCCCTCCATTGCACCTTCACAACGCACAACGAGTAAACTACTACAAAAATGGGACTCTGTGACATGGGCTCAAGTTGCAGTGACATTGTCCGTGTTGCAGGGGATCATCATTTCGTGTTTGGAGTTTTATGTGATTGCCAAAGTCAATGACTTTTTGGATGATGCTTTTACGGAAAAGTTGTCATTGCCTATTGTCAATGTGTACTTTGCGCTCTTTATTGTTGCGTTGGTCTTTCAAGCTGTGCTAACCTATGAAGCGGTGAGTACATGCCACTGCAAATTGTTCTCGTTTGGGTGCGACCGTGACTTATCCACTTGGACTGTAGACAATACACAAAAACACAATGCAAACGATCGCCGTGGTCGTTTTCAATATTGCTTCACTGGGATATTCCGTCATCCGTATGTTTTTGGACATTAGTTTGAATGATGAACGTCCCTAGGTTCTGATACCCCATTTTTGCAGAGATTAACCAAATCAATGACCTGCGCCGGTGTTCGGAGCAATGGATCAAATACTGGAACGACTATGCGAGAGCATCAGGCCCGGAAGATGCAACACGAATCTACTACTCAACCTACGTCCCAGAGAACTCGGAATGCAGAGCACGTCCGTACGGACTGAACCCAAAGTCATCCAACACGACACAAGTGTGGAGTGATGCACAGAAAGAGCCGATTGAAGTTCCGATTGTTTATGATATGCGGGACCAAGTGCAGCATGTTCAGAATGCGCTGGATGCTCTGAAACCAGTGGATTCGGTCACGTACGCCATTATTGCCTTGATGGTGATTGTGGTTGTGTTGTCGTGTTTTGTTGCGTACAAGGTGTACCAAGAGTATGGTTGGCGGATTTTCCAAGCGCAGGGCGCGAGTATTCAAAAGAAACGTAAGTAACCTGTTACTGATGGGGCATTCATAAGTGACATCTAACGTATCCGTGGTACAGAAATGTTACGTCGTGTACACTTGTTCATCCTCTTTCTCAAGCTGAATGTGTACTTTTCCATCGGGATCGTAGCCCAAGTCGTAACCGCGACCATTTATTTCCAAAAAAGTAGCGCCCCCGACTGTCAACGAGACACTGTCGACTGTTTCCGGCGCAGTGAACGCGTCAAGTACATTGTTTTGCCCTCTATGGTCATCTTTGGTGTAGCGGCTCTTACGTACTATGCTCTTGGATGGTTTGCGATACGCCGGACGCATCGGGGAGCCATGTACACTTTTTTGGGAGTGTATCTTGCCAATATCGGAGCACTTGTATACGTTATTGGATTTTTTAGTCAAAATGAGGAGACACAAGCTACCCGCAAGTGGTTACTGTCGTTTGGTATGTAAGAGTGCCTTTGTTTTAACGTGGGCATTGTGGTTTACGTTTTTTTTTTTCGTATTTTAGCGAGTATTCAGCTTGTCCTCAACTTGCTGACAATCGCGAACGCCGTATGGTGTCTCACGGACTTTGACAAAGGGTTAGGTGATGTTGGTATGTAATCGTCCTAGGTTCTTGTCAGTTTTATCATCATGGATGCTGATATCTTTTATATATAGTGATTACACGAAAGGATATGGAAATGGCGGCGGCCAAGCCCCGTCCACGCTTAGAATTGGATTAAAGTGCGAATATGAACAAACGGACGCTGAAACAATTACTAGTACTTGAAATCAAAAGTTGGGAAAAAGAAAAAACAATACGTGTATTAGTTTTTCTTTATTGCCGGTTTGTGTGTTTTTCTTACATAGCCTTGTGTTTTTTTGCCCTCCCCTACCCCTCACACACATTTTTTCCTCGTGTATTGGATTTCCCTTTGTCTGGTGGTAGTTTTGCTGTTTACATTTTTTGTATGTAGCCTCTTGATGTCTTGATATGCAAATTATACTATAATATATCATTCAATTGCAATCATAATAGTCGTATATGGACATGTATCTTGGTCAAAAAAAAAAAAAACAAATCCCATATTGAAAAACAAGAAACGCCAAGCCCAAACTTATGTGCTTGGCTTGCCAGGTTCTATTGTTTCTTCTTTTGATACCTCCGAGTCCATTGTTTTTCCATCCTCTTGATTTTCTTGTCCTTCTTCCAGCAATGCATCAATCTTTTGCATCAATGCATCGGTTCGGGATTCTAATTGGTCCAAAACAGCATTCGCGGAATCCTAAGTCCCAAAATTTCAGAATCCAATACCAAAAAAACGACGCCGTATTAAATAGTTTTTACCATTTGTCGTCCCAACCCCGCTATATCAAGCCCATCAAGACATGACACGTCATTGGAATGCAGGTCAATGTCTTTGAGGGTGGTGAGGAGGGTGGAAAGGTCCGAGAGGAGCGTTGGGTCGTTTGTCATTTGAGAGTTGGCAAGTTTCGTGTTTTTGGTGGGATTATGGGATGAGGGTTGGGTGTACTGTAGAGTGTGGTTGGAATGGAATGGAATGGTGGAGGGTGGGTTGTGACGTAAGGTGGATGACTCGTCGTGTTCGTATAAGACCAGTTTTAAAAAGTTGTTGAATTGCCTTTTGGGATAACTTTTTGAGAAAAAACCATGTCTGTTCATAAACCACACGGGAATATCATTCCTATATCCGATCCACATGCCAAAACTCATTTATGCCAGGCTACGCATGTCCCTCTCCCACCAGGCACGGGTATTGTAAACGAGGACGAGAATACGTCGACAGCATGTGGTGACGATAATGTGTTGAGGGACCCATTTCGGGATGGTGAGGATCCAAAGGAGGAGAATGAGGCTGCAAAGAAATGGGATGGACATAATTGGTAAATGGAATTGTACAAGGTTATTGGATGGGTCTTTTTTAATGTGTGATTTTTTTTAGGACGTGGGTATCTGGGAACCATCTTCATCACCTTCCGGATCCGAAACCGAGTGATCTTCCAGTGTTGGGCAAGGAGGATACGACGCCTGGTATGTTGTGGTTTTATGTTATTTGGTGGAATTTGCTAGTGAATAAAGAGATAACTTGTTGGATGTGGCAGATACAGATCCAGAAAATATTGTTGCACGCTCGCGGGGTGAAAATGAGCAGCAGGAATGGGTCAAGGGGATGGATCAGGATGAGATTGTCTATGTGGAGGAACCGGATGGGACGGCGGATTTGACGGGATGAGAAACTGGGTGACTGACAAGAGTGATGGATACATGCGATGATGGGGCGCGGCTAGTCGATTCTTGCCATCGTTCATATATGCTTTCGAGCAATAAACGGTTCAAAAGTTGAAATGGAAATGAAATTACTTTTTTGTCAACGCTTCTATATTTACATGCCGAGACAGAGATAAAAGAACGACAAGCCAAGAAAAAAACACACAACAAACACAGGAACCCTCAAAAGAGTGTGCAGTTTAAAATGTTTTTTCCCAAACTTTTCCTCTTCTTTTTTTCTCAACAACCGCCCCCTCCCGCATCTGGAAGAGTGCCCAGCACGAATCCAGCCAACGTTAGACACCAAGGAGTACATTGCTAATCAAAAAATGCTTTAAACACAAACAAAAGGGGTAAGACAAGAGTTGAGGAAACACATGCTACACAATACTGCACACACTATATATGCTACGGATTAAAATGCTAGATTCTGTTCTAGAGAACAAAAGCAGCAGCAGCCACACCAGCTGCGACACCACCAAACGCCAAACGCGCCCTTGAGCCTGGTTGTGCCGCTGACGCCTGCGTCGCGGGAGCACCGCCGCCGGGAGTACCATCAAGGGTGATGAGACCCTTCATGCCGTTCTGGCAGTGGTTGCCGACAGTACAAACGTACCATATCCTGTCGGTTGTCTCGTTGGCACCAAATGTGCGAGAGAACATGCCGCCGGTTTGGAGGTTGGTGGATTGGAATCCTCCGTCCATAGGAGTGCAACTGTCCTTGTCGGCGGTTTGCTTGACGTTGTGGGGACCACCGGCCCACATCCACATGACGGTGTCGCCCTTGGCGATGCTAAGCGTTTCGGGAGTGAACTTTTGGCCGCCCTGTCCGACAGTGATGGTGTGAGTCGTTGCTGCTCCGCTTGTGGATCCAGTGGGATTGTTTCCGCCTTGCGTGGGTGTTCCTCCTGCTCCTTGTACGTTGACTGTGCCCTTCATTCCCTTTGAGCAATGCTGGTTGAAGGTGCAGACGTAGTAGTTGGGACCGGGTTGGGTGAATTGTTGCATGAATGAAGCGCCAGCGTTCAAGTTGGCAGAGGCAAAACCTCCGGCCATGGGATCACACGAGTTGGGGTCGGCGACTTGCTTGACATTGTGGGTAGCAGCTGCAAACTCCCATTTTACCCAAGTACCGGGGGCAACGTTGACTTCCTTTGGTTCAAATGTGAGACCGTTTGCACCGACCTTGATGACGACGGGAGTATCGGAGGCACCGGGAGCGGGAGCACCTGTTTGTGTTGGGGGAGGAGCAGATGGAGAGGCACCGGCCTGGAGGACATCAATGTTCATTTTCATTCCGTTTGCGCAGTGCTGTCCGACGGTGCAACCAAAGAGACGACCTCCGGGCGTGTTGAATCTGAGAGCAAAAGTACCCGTTACGTTGAGTTTTCCAGAGTCGACACCGCCGACAAGAGGTGAGCAAGCGTCTCCATTGTTTCCCATCTGAGTAACCGTGTGTGGACCACCGGCCCAAGTGAATTTGACAGTGTCTCCTACAGCAATTTGCTATAAACAAGAGTAGGATTAGAGTTTATTCGACTGCGTGTGTGTATTTAAAACCATTTACCAATGAATTTGGTTGGTAGACTTGCTGTTTGCCTGCAGCGACGGTGACTTCATGTGTGATTTGAGCCGAAGCGAGAGGAGCGGCTACTGCCAATGCAGCAGCAGCAATGAAAGCTGGAGCCTTCATCGTTTTCATAAATGTAGTGTGTGTGTGTAGAGTTGCTAGCAAGCAAGCAAGTGTGAGAGAGAGAGAGAGAGAGATGCCTATGTAAAATAGTAAATGGAGAAAAGCGGGAAACTCTCTCTCTAATCCCCCCTTTATATAAATGATTTCTCTTTTCTTCCCTTGTAATAATCTCTCATGTATGAAACACACAAAAGATTCTCTCTCTCTCTCTCTCTCTCTTCCAAGTACATGTCGATGGTTGTTCAACTAATAGATTCCTTATAGCTCTCACAAGTAGAGGGATTTCTGCTCTCCAGTCATTTAAATGAAACGATCCGCACGGAGGCGCGTCTCTTCATGACACTCAAACAAGGGGTTTAATGAGGGTTAACGGCCATTTGTTATTTGTATTGGGGAGCGGCCAACTTTTGCTCAACTAAAAAGAGAGGGAGCCACTCCCCATACTTGCATTTGAACTGCAGTTAGACATGTTCAACAGGCAACACGGAGCAGTTTGCAATGTTCTTTATAGAATAGGCATATATTCTTGTGACATTGATGATTCTTGTAACAAGTATGTCAATGTAGAACGCACAGCCCACACATACACATTATGCATTGTAACTACGGCGCTTGTAATTATAAGGGATTTTATATTAGGGGGTTTCCCTCAATAACCGAGTGTGGGGGAGAGTCCATTTGGGAGCCCGTCTGGGAGAGAGCCTGGGGCGGCTCACATGTACGCACGTGGACACATTGCCAGCCAATCAATTCAAGAGGTGGCTGCACCTTTGCTTTTTTCCTGAAAAAGGCAAAAGGGCTCAGCCCCATCCAATCAGTTGTGTTCCTTGTGATCGCCTGGACCCTCATTCGGATTCCCTAAAGGAGGCAACATTGCGTATTTCCCTTTTAGGCAATTGGTCATTTGTCCATTTTTATCTCATCTGTTGCGCTCTCTTTCGTTGAAAGTCACTTTGCCTCTTGTCCTGTTCTGAAACGCCTCCTTGTCTCAAGAAGGATAAATCAAATCTCTTTTTTTGCCCATTTCTCTCTCTCTCTCGCTCTCTTTCCCACACTCGTCTCTCTCTCTCTCCCTTTCTCTCACTATCGCTTCTTTTGAACTTTAGGACCAGAAAAGGTAATAGGCGCCTACTATTATGGGCATATACAAAATACCTTTTTTATTTTCCCACCAGACACATTAGATACTCACACACATTCGTTTATTCCCACGTTGGTGTTTTCCCACACGCACTTTACTTGTTCATCATCATTTGTCATTGTCGATGGGCATGCATCAGCAACGATAGCAGTTTTTTTTTTCTTGTCTCTACGCGTTTTAGCGAGTAAAACACACACAGTAAGTGGCTGCGATAACCGGATGCGTTGTCGAAACGTAGACTAACTGGGAAATCCAAAGCGAGTTGTATAGTACACGAGAACTCTGGTACAAGCATGAGCAGCATCGGTCCCACGTATGAAAGTCAAGTGCATCCCGACCTTGCGCACCAACATTTGCAAGCGCAACAGCAACAGGACCCATCACAGGCACACGCTCAATTGCACCGCCAACCCGATCTTTCAGGTACTCGTCCCATGTCCAGTACGTTTGTTTGCAGCGTGTTGCTCATGGGCATTCCACGTCAGGCTCTCTACAGAATCCGCTGAAACGCGGTGCCTCGGCGGCCTCCTTGTCAGAGGACCCAGAGGATAATAACGACGACGATGGCTCGGATGAGGACGGAAAGCCTGGGAAAAAGTCGGGGCGTCGCAAGATCAAGATTGAATACATTGACGACAAGTCCCGCAGACACATTACATTTAGCAAACGCAAGGCTGGTATCATGAAAAAGGTATATATACAAAGGCCTCAACGCGTGAATCTTGATAGACATACTCTTCCTAGACTCTTAATGTTCATCCCTTAGGCGTATGAGCTGTCCACGCTCACGGGCACGCAGGTGCTGCTCTTGGTAGCCTCGGAAACCGGTCACGTTTACACTTTTGCGACCCCAAAGCTGCAACCGCTCATTACAAAACCTGAAGGGAAAAACTTGATTCAAGCGTGTCTCAACGCTCCTGACCCAAATGCTCAGCAGCAGCAGCAGCAGCAACAGCAACAGGTTGTCTACGCCCCATCCTATGCACCTCACCCGTACTCGCCCATGCCTGATGGCTCCGGCAACCGCCTTCAAGGTGCCTATGAAGTCCCACAGCAAAATGGCGAGTCGGCGGAAATGTATCAGGACAAGCAGGCCCAAGTGGCCAATGCCGCCAACCTTCAACAGTACGCCATGCAATCGAATGTGGGCGCATTGCAAGGCTACCCAGCTGGTTATGCTGTTCCCATGGGTTCTGGAGTCGGCAACAGTGGTGGACCCATTGGCCCATATGTGTACTCTTACCCACAACTTTCCGGAAATCCGCAAGGGTACGGCGGCATGGTCGGTACCGCTGCGCAGCAACAGCAGCAACTTCAACAACAGCAACAACAACAGGCACAAGCACAAGCACAGCAGCAGCAACAATCACACCAGCAACAACAACACCAACAACATCATGCACAATCACACCATCCCCAACCCCACCCATCACAACAATCCCAACAGTCGTCCCAGACACAGCCACAGCCATCCGGGTCAACGCAGCAGCAGCAACAACAGCAACATCACCAACCGCAACAGCAGACCTTTTCAAACCAACCGTCTGGGCAAAACTCTACACAATCGGCTGGCAACGGCCAGGAAAAAGAGTAACACTCGAGTTTAGCGCTGTTTGCGGCGATCCGAGGAGGGCAAGACACTTGAGGGTTTCCGTGTATAGGCAAAGGATATCGACCGACAGCAAGTCTAACACGGAAGAGACCGAAGGGAGCAGTCAGCTCCGTTGTGGTGTGCAATGGGTGCAAACGTTGAAGCACTATAGTATAAATTAGGATGTTATAGCTGACGAAGACCAATTTTTTGATTTTGTTTTTTTTTTTATGAAATAGTTTGATTTGGCAACGAAATCTTTCTTGTCCGCTTGGGGTACTTAATGTCTCCCATGAGGTACATTCTGTTGAGTGCACAAGCGTAAAGTGCTGTGACCGTTTGCGTAATGTAGAGCTCTGCGCTTACTGGGCAGCGACAGAGGAAGCTGCTTTAGACAAGAGGGTCACGCGACAAAAGCCATACCTCACACTAGATCTTGAACGTATTGCATAAGGTCCTTGTTTCGGACAATAGCACAAACAGGAAAACCCATGCGAAATCCAATAATAATAAATAATGATGTGATGACCATTCTCCCCAACAACCAAAAAATCCCAAAAAATCTATCCAAAAAGCACCTTCAACTCATCCACCCTCCTTCCCTTCTCCTCCTCATCCCTACCCCCAATGGCCACCCGACAAAGCACATTCTTTCTCTCCTGGATCCGCAACATTTGCTCTTCAACTGTATTGCGAATAATATACCGCTTCACATGAACAGGTCGTGTCTGCCCAAGTCGATGGACCCGATCAATCGTTTGGTGTTCAACAGGAGCCTAAAACAAAAAAGTAACACTAGTGAGCAAAAAAAAAAATTCCAAAAAAACGTCAAAAAAAACCTCCCAACAATGAAAAACATACATTCCACCAAGGCTCCAACACAATCACAAAGCTCGCTCGAACAAGGTTAAGTCCCACCCCCGCGGACCGAACCGAAGCCAACAACACCCCAACATCCTCAACCTCATCAAACCTTTTCAAAACCCTTTCCCGATCCCGTTGAACAAGACTCCCATCCAATCGAACAAAACCTAACCCAGCATCCGTTAAAACCGTTTCGCATAAATCAAGCATGGAAGTGAATTGGGAAAATACTACGGTTTTGATGCTTGCGTCCTTGGCGCGAGTCTCTTGAATGTCTTTAATAAGGGTACAGAGTTTTGTCGATGAATGAAAATGTTTGCGGAGACGGATGGGGGGTGGTGGTGTACATGGAGGTGAACACTCTATATTCTCCTTATTGTGTTCCGCATTCAAAAGAGTCGTTTTTGATACTGTTGTAGGCGCTCGTACAATATCCAATAAATCCTCTTCCCGAAACTCTTGTCGACAAATGGGACACTCGCCCTTTTCACCATTTTGTTCCCGTCGTTGAAGGTACCCAACGATACAGTCCCAACAACTGACATGAAGACAAGGAAACAAGGTAGGCTGCATCATAAGATCAAAACAAATCGGACAACTTTGATCATCATCATCATCTTGTCCATCCGATCCCGTTTGCGTCAATTTTTGAATCACATTCGTCACATACGCATCCCCATTTCCACCGTCTTGGAACCTTTTAATCAATTCACTCACTTCTGGCTCCTCATTCGAGTTTTTCATGGCCAAGGAAGGATGGAGACAACACTGTCGTAACCGCGTCAACATTTGGAAAACATGCGCCCAATGACTCAAAACGGTCCCAGAAGCCACAAACGCACTAAATTGCGTCTTGCTCCGACTCCAGAGCGCAGTATAGATATCTCGCTCTTCTTGAGTGAAATCCAAATAGGCCGTTTCGACGGTTTTGGGAGGAAGTGAGACGAGAGGTTTGCCTTCTGGACCCCATGGTGTCGATTTTTGACGGCGGAGGACCAAAGGTTCCAGAATTGATTGGACCACATTAAGGGCTTTGGAATCCTGGTTTGCAAATGCGATGGTAATGAACTGACGCCAATACGAAATGTTGGCCCATGGGTCGATGCGAAGAAAGTGGATGAGAGAAAAGAGGTCCTCAAGTTTGTTTTGGATGGGTGTGCCCTGAATTTATACACATTAGTTCACGAATATTAAACCCATTGTAAAAAAAATACTCACCGTAACAGCCCACCTCCTCCGCCCTTCAACCTCAGAACAACTCCTCGCCATCCCCGTCGTCCGATTCTTTATAAAATGCGCCTCGTCCAGCACTACTCGATACCACTCTACCCCATACACCAACCCACTCTTTTTCCCTGCCCCCCATTCCCGCGTGACGACACCATATGTCGTGATAATCACATCAGGCGCCCGCTTGGCGTCCGTGAGATCCGATACTGTAAGGAATCGATCCGTACCGTAGTAAACTGCACATGTCAAGGCCCTTGGCGCAAACTTGTTTGTGATTTCGTCACGCCATTGAGCGAGGAGGGAGACGGGGCAGATGATGAGTGTGCTTGGAGATTTGGGGAGGGTAGTACTGGCTGGTGATGAAAAGAGTTTGTGCAGGCTGGGTCCGAGGTTCAAGTCTCGTGAGTTGGGCCGGTTCGTGTGGATGAGGGAGAGTGTTTCGAGAGTTTTGCCTAGTCCCACTGAGAAGACAAGATGTGAGCAGAGATACTCTTATAAACTGAATACGATTCATCCTTCTTACTCTCGTCTGCTAAAATCCCACCCCGCGTTCGATCCGCCGCGCTCGGAAACTCTGTAGTCAACTCTCCCTATAATGCACCATACATCAACCTCCACCGTACCCCACCGAATTGACCACCACTCAAGAACACTCACTGTATAAGGGTTAAAGTAAAACTTTTCCTCGCCGTCTATACCTGTTTCCACTTTTGGAAACGTATATTCCTCCCAAAGCGGGTGGATAGAATGCGCAGAAGCATCTGTTGTCAGATTTTCTTTGGCCATCATCCAAGACAGCGCCTACACATATATCTTCAGCACCCGTGAACCAATAAAGGCAAGAAAACCGTCTACAAACCTGCTTCTGGTATCCCCGTAATTCGATATTCAACCCAGGTCCAGGCTCCACTTCCTCGACATTCTCAAATCCCCTCGCCTTCTCATAAAGCACCTCCACCTGATCCTCCTCCAAGTCTTTCTCATCTTCCTCGCCTTCGGTGGTCTCGTCAACGGGTTTATCAGATGATGATGGACGAAGGCCCAGGTGTTTAAAGAGGGCTAACAAGGCGGCTTTACGGTCTTTGACATCTTGATCGTTTGTGGGTTGTGTTTGGGAAAAGGCTGTCTGGGTCAGATAGATTCGGATTTGGAGAATAATGTCGCACATGAGGGTTAGCGTTGGAGGGGATGAGACGATCTGAAAAAAGTTGGGGTATGAGATTTCATTATAAAAAAGAAAAATCATGTGGATAAATAACAGAAAAAAACTCACTGTTCCTTGCACCTGTACAATCCCCAGTTCCACCAACCTCCCCAACCACCGCGCATCCTCCATCCGCATCTTTCCAAACTCTTTTCCTCGGACACTTAACCTTGTAATAGGACCCACACTCCCAACATGGACGTCACTCTTGCTAGAGATTGTAAAAGCCCTCTTTGCACGTCCCCGGCCCCTAGCTCCCAACCCAGAGCGTTTGGGAACACTAATCGTCTTGGTACCATTCAAGAGATCCATCTCGTCACCGTCACGTAGGTGGTTGGGCCCCTTGAGGGTCGAATACGCAACCAAAATAGTTTCCCCAAGAAATCGAGGAAACCCTACCGTACCATTATTTCGACGCTTGGCGAGTCCATTCCCAGTCTCCCCTGTTTCCAACTCTGCTTTTCGCTTCACCCCAGCTGCCATGGTATCGTATTTGGTTGGGCTTTCAAAGTAGAGGTTGACGGCTTGCCCCACATTCCCTTTCGCTTCTGCAAGAAGGATTTGTAATGATATGTGAGGGAGAGTGTCCCCTAGTATGAGACGGAGGGAAGCGAGGTCTCCCGTCAGTGGTTCTTGGGTATCTGCAGTGGGTATGGCATGCATGTCGAACCGCTAGATCTTGAAGGACCACTGGACGCTTGGGTTGTGGCATTGGTAACTCCGAAGTTGTCAGAGCGTTCGGACGTGCATTTGAATGTGGGTGGCTTAGTGAAGATGTGGTAGTTTGTTTGTTGAAAATGCCCACTTTTTGCACTGATAAATGGCAGAATGACATTGGCGCTGTCGCTGAGCTCATATTACTGGATGTAAATGGTAGAGTATGCTTGGATGATTAAAGGCCTCAAAGTCCCCTTGAGGTTTATTATTTATTGAACAAGACCAGATTGAGAACTGAACCAAGCAAACTAGCGTATATCCTCTTCCTACAAAAAAAGGGGGAGAGGCGAAGAGGAGGACGACGAGGACGAACTTTGCTGAAAGAAATCCTTGTCGTAACAAGAACAATCCTCGTCGTAACGTCCATCAACAACGTCTCGCAAACCTTCAAAAACCGTCTGTCGCCCAAAACCAGTCACTGGCTTAGCAAAGCTTAGTACTCGATCACAACGTAATCATTTTTTTCTTTTTGGCCTCATTCACACAAAGTCGCTTGTCCTTTTTTATTCTGGCCTTCTTACCAACCTCGATTGTCATTGGTCTGTCTTTAACACCAAAAAATGGCCAAGAAACGCATAAACAAACCACAAGCTGGTCAACCGCCGGCCAAAAAGACTAAAGTGAGTCCTCCTGTCACTGACGAAGAGGAGGACTTGCAAGTTGCGCCCACTGCCGACATTTCTTCACCCAAGACTATTGACGCGCTGGATGAGGAGGATGTGGATAGCGACTCTCCAGAAATGGATGGTGCATCAGATGACGAGAAGGAAGATTTGGATGAAGATGGCGCTGAGTTAAATGAAAGCAGTGAGGACGACGACGAGGATGAGGGTGAAGAGGAAGACGAACCTGTCAAAGCTGGTACCAAGCGACCACGATCGGAGGAAGAAGATAATGTGACGAGCAATGGCAATATTGTGGCACATCACGAAGGCAAAGATATTGAATTGGACAGTACGTTGCAGCCATGTGAATACTAGCATGTTCAATCGTTGTCGTTGTAATATTAACTTTTTCGTTTTCAAAAGGATCTGCAGTAACAGATTCTGAATCGGTCGACACTGCCTTTTCTTCCTTGAGTGTCTCTGAAAACACTGCAAAGGCCATTGCCGACCTGGGCTTCACAACCATGACCGAAGTCCAAGCCCGAAGTATTCCCGCCGCCATGACTGGACGGGACATTTTGGGAGCTGCCAAAACAGGATCTGGCAAGACGCTGGCGTTCTTGATCCCTGCTGTAGAGTACCTGGTCAAGATGAAATTCAAGCCACGCAATGGTATGTCCATTTTTTTCTTTCCACATTCCGCTTCAAGACCGTTGCTGACCATCTTTTCTACAGGAACGGGTATTCTCGTCATTTCTCCAACACGTGAACTCGCCCTCCAAATCTTTGGAGTAGCAAAAGAGCTCATGAAATACCATCACCAAACGTTCGGTATCGTCATGGGAGGCGCCAATCGCAAAGCCGAGGCAGACAAGCTTGGAAAAGGTGTCAATCTTCTCATCGCGACTCCTGGTCGTTTATTGGATCACCTACAAAACACGAGGGGATTTGTGTTCAAGAACCTAAAAATGCTCATTATCGATGAGGCTGATCGGATCTTGGAAGTCGGGTTCGAGGAAGAAATGCATCAGATTATCAAATTGCTTCCCAAAGGTAATTATTACTTGCATATTTGAGCGGATGTCCATTAGGCGGTAGACTACTCGCAATCGATGCGCACGGTTCATGAACTCTTGTGTGTGTGAAACGTGCGCATCCCTTCCTATATTTTGGAACGGTTGCCAGATAAAAAAGATGTCCGTTTGAGGCGCTGGCTTGTTTTTTTCCGTAGCACCAGCGTTATAGGTATGACACCGATATACTACCATGGAAAAAGAACCTGATGGATATCCCTGTGGAACAATGGGTGATTCAAACTCAAGCTAATGTTTTTTAATCTTATGATAGAACGCCAGACAATGCTCTTTTCAGCAACCCAAACAACCAAAGTCGAAGACCTGGCCCGCGTTTCCTTGAAAAAGGCCCCCCTCTACATCAACGTTGACGAACACAAAGACGCTGCAACAGCCGAAGGCCTTGAACAAGGCTATGTCGTCTGTCCAAGCGAAACCCGATTCCTCCTCCTCTTCACCTTCCTCAAAAAAAACCTAAAAAAGAAAATCATTGTCTTTTTTTCGTCTTGCAATTCAGTGAAATACCACGCGGAACTGTTAAACTACATTGATATACCCGTCTTGGACCTTCACGGACGGCAAAAACAACAAAAGCGAACCAACACCTTTTTTGAATTTGTGAATGCTGAGAGTGGAATTTTGTTGTGTACGGATGTTGCGGCCCGTGGATTAGATATCCCCGCTGTAGATTGGATCATTCAATTTGATCCCCCAGATGATCCTAGGGTATGTTTTCCTCCATTTTTTTTTTTTGCAATTCAATATGAATGTCACTGACGATATGGTTATAGGAATATATTCATCGAGTAGGACGAACAGCTCGTGCAGGCGGCCGCGGTCGTGCCCTCCTCTTTCTCTTACCCTCCGAACTCGGATTCCTACGCTTCCTCAAACACGCCAAAATCCCATTAAACGAGTACCAATTCCCTACCGCCAAAATCGCCAACGTTCAATCCCAACTCGAACGACTCGTTGAAAAGAACTATTACCTTAACCGCTCGGCCAAGGATGGGTACCGGTCATATTTGCAGGCCTATGCTTCCCACTCGCTGAAAAAGATTTTTGATGTCAATGCATTGGATCTCCAAAAAGTTGCACGCGCATATGGATTCACTGTTCCCCCCTCCGTAAACCTTGTGATTGGTGCAAGTGGGAAAACAGATAGAAAGCAGAGAAGAAGTGGAGGTGCAGGCGGTGGTGCTGGGTATCAGAACCAAAAAAGCCTAGCTAGAAAGGAGCACTTTACAAAAGGAAATTCATTCGGTGGGCAAGGCGGAAGGAAAGGCACAGATGGTCGGCAATGGACTCGCTAAGAAACCTTGCCAAGTATCATTTTACATTTTGTTTTTATTGGCTCTTTCTTTTTTTTAATAATACAAGGGTATTGTTTATTTACAAACCGAGTCCAAATCAAATAATTTCACAAAGGTATATACGCCAAAATACATAATTTGCAGGCGGTTAAAATATAAATGGCTTAGAAACGCCAACGCGGACGTTCAGATTTTTGGGGTACCGCAACGGGTTGTCGCGACGTGGTGCGAGTCTTTATCGTTGTGGTTTTCCCTGTCGTCACTTGCTGTTTTGGTGGAACAGGCATTGTCCTTACTGGTGCGATAGGTTCCCGCTTGGTGCGGACACGTGCTTCTCCTGATGGAACCGGCCTCACAGGGACAATACTCCGTGATGTCGTTACTTGTTTTGAAGGAACGGGCCTTGGTCGTACTGATGCAACAGGTTCCCGCTTGATGCGAGGACGTGCGTCTACAGACACACCCTCACGTACAGAGACCACTTTTCTTGATATCTCCCGCTTGCCTTCCACGATCTTTACAGGCTTGGACTCTGCCACGCCAAGTTCTTCCATAATGTCCACCTTCTTCTGTCGCATGTATTCAGCCAAGCCAAGTTCTCGGCGCCCTTCCACCTTTTTTGTTGGCTTGGAATCAGCCAACGCTTCCAAAGACAGGACGACCACCTGCGAGTTTGCACGAATGTGCCATGTCTGTCTGTACCGACCAGCCGATGGCGGTCGGAAGGAGATTGATACACTTTGTGTCGTGTGAGGCATCACGCATCCGGATGCTGTCCCGGGTTCGAATACCTTACTCTTGACTGGATGGTCCTTTTCATTGTTACGTAATGGCTTACCCTGTCGAACGACGGGTGCCATATACACCGGCCCGATAGAGGTGATAGACCAGTTCGCCGGAATGTTGCTGATATTGTTAAGGTCGAGGGCAATGCGAACGTGCGATCGAGTGGAATAAGATACTGAAGGAAATTGAATGGAGATGAAACGAGAGGATTCTGCTCCGTTAAAACTACTGACGCCATATCGTTGTTTGCGTGGAAGGATAACTTCGTAGTGCTGAGGCCGTGGTTGTGTAATTTGTGTAATTGGGCGTGGCGGCGAATTGGGAATAGCATTACGGAGTTCAGCGGCTAGGCGCCTTACGGGGGTTGGCACAACATTGACAGGAAAGTCGGCGGCCGTCCATTGAGGAGTCTTGGCAGCTTCCAGTGCATCTTGTCTTTTGAAATATTGTGTCAGCCTCTCCGCCGCTGGTGCGAGGGCCGGAGCATTGGCGAATCGCTCATCCGAGGGGGATGGTGGCCGGTACCACTTCACTTGTGCAGTCTCATCAGAATTTAAAATACGAGCCAGAGTATTGTCTTCTTCGGGTGGTTTTTCCCCCTGAGGCGTCTCGGGGGTATTGGGGAGTAAATCAATATAGCGGCCTTGTTCATCTATGCGCGGGGTAGTCCAGTGCGGCTAGAGACGGCAATAAAGATAATCAGTCAAAGAAGAGACAGTTTGACAAAATGATCGTCACCATACGTACTCGGAATTGCGCGGGTAGCTTCTCTTCAAGAGAACCCAAAGTCGCAGATCGACTTGCAAAAAAAGCACCAGGCGAAACTGCCTGGCCATTCACGAATAGCACTTCAGATTGCTCTGGGCTACTGTCAGAGTCTTCATCATCAGAGTTGTCCAAAAAATCTAGAATATCTTTTTGGGATCACCAAGATCAGCTATGCGCAGCACGTAGGAAAAACGTTTGTTCGGTACCTACTCGTTGACTGAAACTGGCCAAAATCAATCAAACCGCTAGCTTCTTGCTCTACCAGACCAAACACACATAAGAATCCACTGCTGAAGATACTGCCGATTCTCGCACATCATACCTTGCGCGAGCTGGTCAAATTCGTCAAACGACGCGTCCAGGTGACTGAGACGGTCCAACGGGATCGTGAACGTGGGTGGTTCTGGTGAAACGGACATGTCGAGACTAATAGTAATACTAATAGCGAGCAATAGGTAGTAGATAAAAATCATTGGTAAGTCGGTAAATGATCAGTGATCTCGGGGCCGCTCTTGGCTGAAGGAAAACTGGGTAGGCATTGCAGGCGAATGTCCTTTAAGTGGTTCCAAGCGCGTTGGTACTAAGCACGCGTTTCTGGACATGGAAATTGGGCAATGTGATGGGGCTCTGCTTTCCCCGCCAGATTTCAGGATGAAGGCCATCCGTGTTCAGGATCCCAAAGACTTTGACGCAACTGTCGCTTCTACGGTGCAATCGGCACCAGGTCGTGTTTTTGTGCTTCTTTTCGGTATGTTCTAGAATAGAATTCAGCTGAGGCCCGTCAAAGTGGATTCCGCCACAAGCGCCCACACTTTTCTTGACGATATGCAGGCACGGAAGACGTGGGCACCGGGGAATCATGGTGTCCGGACTGTGTTATCGGTATGTGCAGATAACTCATATGTAAACGGTGCGATACTTATGGTACAAATCTATAGCTGATCCACTTATCCGCAAGTGGGTAGGAAAAGTTCCCGACTCAACTTTGTTGGAGGTATGCTTGTGAACCTCGGCGTTTGCACTTTGGTGTTAATTTAAATCCTCTTATTGAACAGGTGCCAGTGGGGGAGCGATCAGTGTATGGCTTCTGATGTCCTTGACTGCTTTCCGCAATAATCCTCAAATGAACATTACGCAAACTTAGATGGAAAAATAACCCGGAAAATCCCTATCGTAAACATCCCTTAATTCAACTCCGAGCTATTCCAACGCTCATAGAGTGGGGAAAGGTGAGTGCAGCTTCCCCTCTTTCCTGTTATGCTCGCAATTTTAATTAGTTTGCATCGGTTCGGTTTTTCAGTCAGGACCTATTAAGCAACTGGTGGAAAGCGAAGCCGCAGATCCAGCAGCGCTAGAAAAGTTTATAGCTTAGATTACACAGCGATTAGACGGTATGTTCCCATTTGTACAATGGGTTCGTCGCAACTTGATCTTTCGCTCTGTGTAGATCAACTGCTAGTTGCCAGTCATCAGCCCTTGATAGTGATTGAATTAGGTTTAGCTTGCTACATTGCTCGACTGGACAGTTTGGTTGAAGAAACAAACTTTGACCACACGATTAATAGCGGAAGATTAAGAGTCGCGGTGAGCCAAGAATGATATTACAATGCTGTGCTCATGAGCACGGGGAAAAAATAATGACGCAGCAATTGGAATGGTGAACCTCAATATATTTACGCCTTAGCACCCTCCTTTCCCTGGAAAATGTAGGTCAATCCGCAGCGACCGCAGTATTGACGGTCGTAGTGCATGGCCATGAAAACACCAGCACCGCAGGTCTCGTTGGGGCACTCACGACGGAGACGGGTAATCTTGCCGTCGTCATCGACCTTGTAGTACTGGGAAGTGAAAGAGCAGAATATTAGGCAAACCAGTCATTTTCAATACGTTCAGAGCACATCGCATACCTTGAGAATAGCCAACTTGACCTTCTTGTGCTTGTGCTTGATCTTCTTGGGGGTGGTGTAGGTCTTCTTCTTCCTCTTCTTGGCACCACCACGAAGACGGAGCACAAGGTGAAGGGTAGACTCCTTCTGGATGTTGTAGTCTGATGAAAGAACAAGGTCAACCAAAACCCTTCAACCGTTCTGCCCTCCAGCAAGCACTGTCATACCAGACAAGGTGCGGCCGTCCTCGAGCTGCTTGCCAGCAAAGATCAAACGTTGCTGGTCTGGGGGAATTCCCTCCTTGTCCTGGATCTTGGCCTTGACATTCTCAATAGTGTCAGAAGACTCCACCTCAAGGGTGATGGTCTTGCCCGTAAGGGTCTTCACGAAGATTTGCATCGTGAAGGGTGCTAAAGGAGCAGCAAATGACGAAAACAAAAGTTAACATTTGTTTGTGTTCTTGGGGAATATGCCAGTATTTCCTATTGCAAGCACTCTTAAAGAAGCGGATGCTATTTTATTGGGTACATACCTGGGCGGATTTGCGAGAGGAAGGAAATCGTTCCTTGGCCCCTTCTCGCTGCGTGATGAATCCGTTACAAAGAGGCGCAGCGCTGACAAGCCACGTAACCAAGCCTGACACACCGACAAATGCAACTATCGCTTGCACTTTCCCCAGATCCCTCTCAAGATCCTCGCTCCAAATGGACCCAACAGAGATTTTCAAAGCGGCAGGATACGACTCAAAAAGCGCATCTACCATTCTATCACGAAAACCACAGACATTACCTGCCGACGATGCCAATGAGCAGTACTATGAAGACGTTTATTTTGATAGTGATATGGAAGGCGACGACGATATCGAGAAGCAGGAGAACACAGGGGTGGCGACCGCTGACGGCAGTAAATTAGAGAGAATACCAGGATTGAACGAGAGCACAAAGAAGAAGCAGGGGGCGAAAGGTGAGCGGAGCTTGGCAAAGTGCAAATGATCATCCATTTCTAAATAACCACAAGGGATCCTACGACAGAAGGTTCCAACAAATGATGAACTCTTTTACGATCCGGCTGCCGATTCAGATGATGAAAAGTGGCTGGAAAACAAGATTCAAAGTATGGTTTTGCCAGTTTGTGATCTGCTTCAAGATTGGTGTCGATTAAGACTTTATTGATGCAGGCCGCCGTGCGAATTCCCCAGGCAAGACCCAGGCATTTGGTCGACTTGGTGCCTCCGATGCAACTCTCTCGTGCCCGATGTGTCTCACAGACGTATGCTATGATTGTCAGCAACATATTCACTACGATAGTCAATTTCGCGCCATGTTTTTTGAAAACTGTGTTGTGGATAAAGGGGAAGTTTTGAGATATCCAAAGGAGAAGTCAAAAGGGAAGGGCAAAGTAGGCATTACTGAGGAGTTGGATAAGGACGTTACAGAAGATGAGGTATATTGGTCTGTTAAATGTGAAACATGCGGGACGCAGGTCGGCGTCATGGATGAGGACGAAGTCGTGCATTTTTTTAATGTCATTGCTACTTGACATTCGATTCGACAAGTTTATATTTCTTTTTGATTGCAAAACACAAAATGGATGGATACATCAATGCCCCCAAGGCACCCTCACGCCATAACCCGCTAGCTCTATGCCTCCTTGACTACTCAGACAACTCATTACCGTCTCTTCTTTTGCTGAGAATTCTTAGTAGCAATCCTTTCCAGCACTCTGCGAGCCTCGCACTTCGGGAAGTTTTCCAAATCGTAGTATGCCGGCGCAACCTCCAGTAACCACTCGCCTCTCACAGAGGTGCAGGTTCGAATGTAGTTTTTGGTGGTCAGGACAAATTCGTTGTAAATCACCCACTCGGGTTTGTTATCCAACCCGCAGGAGGGGTGAAGTTGGACGACCTATCAGTGAAAAAACGCAAAGAGTCAGAAAACGTTATGTAAATTCGGCAGCGCGTCTCATCGATGGGCGAAACGGGAGTGTCACTCATGAAAAAATTAGAGTGTTGATGTTTATAACGTCACAGTGTACCTCAGGTAAAGTTATAATCCTTGTGATACTCCCTTTTGCACCCAACGAAAGACTTCAGCACTAGCCACGCAACGCACCTGGTTATCTTTACTCGTTAAATAATGTCCGGTCCTCTCTAAATGTGCAACTTGCATGAAGAACCCAGCCGTTAAAGCCATCCGAATATTTTCATAATATTTTTTGCTTTCAAAAGGTGTTGAAACAAGCTCCAAGCCTCGTCTTTCCATAATCCGTACGAGCTGAGTTCGCACATTGTCTGCATTCTTCAAACTTCGCTGATTCAGATAGTTTTGGTAACACCAGCTCTGATCTCCCTCCTTTGATTTGTAGGCATGGAATACGTTTAAGAGGGTGAGGTGATCCCCGTCCTGGTGGGTAAACTGACTCTTGGCTTCATCCGCTTGCCGTCGTTGATCATTTGGTCGGATGAAACAGTTTGGTGCAGACAACATTGCAATGATCGAAAGTATTTCGTTGGAACACTTGTATTTTGGTGAAGAAAGGAGCGCTTTGCAAAATTGAGGATCGAGGGGAAAATCAGCCATCTGCTCTCCAACGGTGGTAAGATTTCCGTCATCATCCAGTGCTTCGAGGTAATTCAGGAGCTCCAGAGCCCTCATCAAAGTCTCGGGTGCTGAAAGGTAATAATTTCTTAGCCTCCTCGTCTACCACCGTCAGTACCCACAAAAGCATTAAGCCCTGTACCTGGAGGGTCCATAAAGTCGAAATGTACCAAATCATCAATGCCAAGCTTCTTCAGTTGTAACACTACTGTGCCCAAATTACATCTCAAGATTTCCGGGTAGGTCTGCTCCTGCAAATCCTTCAGGAAAGCCTTTTCCGTATACAGTCGGAAGCACTTTCCAGGTCGCGTACGCCCAGCACGTCCAGAGCGTTGTTGTGCACTGGCTCTGCTGATGGGACTAACCAGCAAACTTTCAACCCGGATACGAGGATTGTACACCTTCTGCTTTGAGAAACCTGGGTCGATAACATAGACAATACCGTCAATGGTCAACGACGTCTCCGCAATGTTCGTTGAGACTACAATCTTTCGACCAGCGGGTCCCCCTGGGAACCGAGGTGGTGGGGGATCGTCAAAGATACGCTGTTGTTGGGCTGGGGGTAGGGAGGAATATAGGGCCACGACCTTTACATCCCCTACGGTCTGCGGCGACGCTTGGATTATACTATCGATCTCAGCGCGAATTTTACGGCAGGCATCCTCAATCTCTTCCTCTCCGGTCAAAAAGACCAGGATGTCGCCGGGTTCTTCGCATGTGTGAATTTGAATAACGGTCCGAACTGCCGCCTCAAGGTAATCCCGCTCAGGCTCGGGCGTGTAGTAAATCTCGACTGGGAAGGTCCGTCCAGGCACGACCTATCGTCCCGGCCAATCGATACAGAAGAGGAGAGGTACCGACACGGTGAACAATGAAAATGCATCAAGGATATGACACGATGAGTTATGAACGACGGGGATCTATTAGCATATGTCGGACGATAGGCCGTTCAAGAGGACGAAATGCGAACAAGAAACAGAGCAGGGGTATAAACCTACCAGGAGAGGGGCATCGTTGAAATACTTTTGGAATTTTCCAGCATCTAGAGTAGCACTCATGACGACCACTTTCAAATCGGTTCGTCGCTTGCAAATCTGAAAAGCAAATCCCATGTCAGCGTCAGTTGCTCAAGTGCTGGTGCAGATTCCCAATTAGAGCACACCTCTTTTATCAATCCCATCAAAATGTCTGTCGAAAGCGTTCTTTCGTGCGCTTCATCCAAAACGACGGCCGAATATCGCTCCAGCAGTGGGTCATGCATAGCCTCTCGCAGTAGCATACCGTCAGTCATGTATTTCAACACCGTTCTTGGAGAGGTGCAGTCCTCGAAACGAATGCTATAACCAACTTCTTCACCAAGAGACACATCCAATTCCTCTGCCACACGCTTGGCAACTGACATTGCAGCAACACGTCGAGGTTGCGTGCATGCGATTAGTTTGCCCTTCATTTGGGGCTGCTCGTCGTAAACAAGGAATTGGGGAATTTGCGTGGTCTTGCCAGAACCTGTTTCTCCAACCAAGATAATGACCTGGTTGTTGTGGACGAGCTCTAGAAATTCATCGCGCTGCTTGTGCACAGGTAGGTTGCGTCGCTTTTTCAAGATCTCACGGTATTTCGGCGTGAATGGTCGGCCAGTAAACAAGTTGTTTTCGGCATCCTCGTACGCTTCAGCCTGTTCGGATGTCGTCTTGTGCGGTACGAGTGTGGGAAGCTTGTTGCGGTGGGCCAGATACGGATTTGCCGCGTCAGTCCCATTCCCTGCAGGGGTGGCCTTCTTGTCCTTGGACTGATCAACTCTGATCTTTTTGCGAGGTCTATCCTCCCCTCCCATACTTGATGCTTTTCCGAAAAAACGGGCACACTAGGCAAATGCAGTGCGGACGAGATCACGTAGCAGGCTAGGGTTCCAAAAATCAAAAAGAAAATAGATGGCTTAGTAGGATGAGGGCTGCGCACTGTGGGTTGCTGCGCACAGATGTTGAGCTTTTGACTCGGTGAGTCCGTGGTGATGTGCTCTCGGGAGTACGTCCTAGTTGGGTCAACTATTGACTAGGAATTAGCTGTTGTGATGTAGCCATCAACCCTTAATGCCTTTGATGCTAGACAGTTCATCTGATTCCGCCAACAAATTATCAAGGATGGTGACTACTTGGAGAAAGATTGATAATGACTGCATTTGACAGTAGAAAAGAACAAGAGCTCTTGATAGATTTTCTTGTCGGGCAGACATATCCCAAAAGTTAAATAGCGTATCACAAACGCTCGACTTCTGAATAAAACGAATGAAATACAAGATGTCTACATTGAAGTGGCAAGGATTGTCAAAGATATATCAAAAAGTCTTACTATCAGATATAGTCAATTCCATGCCAACGTCACCAATGCTCATCAACGTTTCGACTCCATACAAACGGCTTGGCTTTGCGAATTTTTTTGCCCATATGGTAGATCCATTGTTTACCTCTTGCCGGATGAGATTCTCCGAAACACACAAGATAAAGTAGGCATCAGGAATATCTCTGTTTGCTAATGAGACAGCCCCAAACTTGAAGCATCTTCATGTCGAAACGGGTCGGGTGCAGTCTACGACCATGCGGACCGTTCCAGAACCTCGCTGGAGGACGGAAAGGATATTGCAAGCATTGTGCGTTTCCTTCGGTGATGAAAACCAAAGATCACCGCTCCACCTTACCTAGGCAAGACCGAAGGACCGCCTCAACTGCCAACCAGTTTTCGAACATGAAGAGTGAATATGGATAGTCAAAGACATTTCAAGACAGTAGATACAAAAGGGTGTCGGCTGCTCCAGCAAGAGTTTCCGGGTTTCGGAGAGCGGTCAATTGAGTCGTACGTCTGCGCCTTAACTTACTGGACTGTTATTCTGTTCCATATTTTAGAGGAGATTACCTCTCCTGCACGCCAATGTTAGGTGAGAGATACTAGTAACGAGATATGACGAGCTGCCCACTCATGACGACCACCCATCTGCAATAAATAACGAAAATTAAGTGGCACGGGAGATCTCTCAACTCTGCCCATGAGTTCCTCTTTGAAGATACCACGCCTGCCCTCTGTCACTGCCTCATTATCGCAGCACGGTAATGTGGACGTTGACGCTCGTTCACTATACTCATTTGCTGGATGAAACAATAGAAAGCTGGAAGGGCCAGAGATGCCTTTTTTTTCCCGTGGATTGGCTATTTCCGAGCTCAATTTCAGTATACGAGTCATAGAGCACCCGTATTTGCTCCATTGCATGTATCTCTAGGCTTTGTAAACATTTCGACTACGGTGTCGCTTCAGCTATCAATGAACCTATGTACTACACGGTCCTAGACTAAGAGTTGCTTGGTACTAGAGACCTGTGATGCCCTGTCGACGTCTAAAACCTCAGTAGCAAGCCACTTCCGTCTCTTATACTTGTGAACGATCATAGCGCCAATGATGGCAGCGGTGACTCCAACAGCAGCACCACCAAATCCAGCGACGATGGGCTTTACAGAACTACTCTCTCCACTTCCGGTTGCTGAAAAGGCTGCAGTGCGAAGATCACAGCCTCTGTTCTCATTATTCCCACAAACATTACACCAACCGTCCAATCCCTCGGCGGAGAGTGGTTGCATTCGGGTGACAAAGTCTGGGAGGAGAGCCATGGCCGAAAGACCCGGAAGGCTGAGGACTTGTACAGCGCCCTGTCCATTGCGAAAACTGACTCGTACATAGCGCTCCGGTTTACCGGCATCGGCCAATAGTTCAAAAATGAGGAGTGAGCCATAGTCGGGAATGGCACGGAGGTTTTCGACGGCGGTACTTAGACCCGTGAGCCCGAAGAAGTTGACGAAGGTAGTGTAATGACCAGAAAAGTATGTCACCTATAAACATTTCAATTGAATAAGAGATGCACCCAAGGAAGCTGACGTGGTGGAAGCACTAGATTTGTACCGACCTTCCTCGTAGCACCTGGAGAGGCTGATGCCTTCAATTCCTTAATAACTTCAGCAAGAAAGTTTGCTGCCCCGTAACCTGGCTTGAATTTCTCATACTCCAGGTAGTTGACGAGCGCGGTGAGTTCGGTCCATTGGTCCGCTGTAAGGTCTTGAAATGAGGCGTTGTACGAGCGTTGCGTGTTCAGATAATCAAATCTGGTAAGATAAATATGCGCCGTTTGAGTTGACAAAAATACCCAGGGGGTCCAACATGTGGAGCAGCGAGAATAGCTTACACATTCCACATATCCACCAAGCCCAACGGACGTCCGAACCGTGGTGACAATGCGTCCAACAGGGTTTGATGTTGGGCTTGCGTGGACTTGAAGGCGTCACTGGCAAACAGATCGCTCACATGTTTGTCAAGCTTCGTGCAGTTGAACCAGCCCCGCAGCACAATATCTTCATTTTGTCCAACAACGTGGATTGGAACTTGCTGGTCGGAGGATCCTGGAGCGGCCAAAGTTGTCCCGTTGGCAAGTCGCAAGGTCTGAGTAAGATTTGGTTAGCTTATGCTCGTCGCTTTTGAGGTAAGGTATATCCTTTTATCAACCTGCGCGGGTTTAGGAGGATACAACGACATTAACAAGCTTTGTGCACTGTTAATCGTGCGATCTGTGTCGCTGCACACATAAGAGATTTATTAGGCGCTCGGCTTTTTGATTACCTACAAATTAAGAATTCTAGCCTCACCTAGATCTAACGTAGGTTTGATTCTGATAGTACGTGTCGGCAAAACCAACCATGGCATTTCCGGCGTCGAGGGTCCAGCGGTCATGCAAAAATTGTCCGCGTTCATAGAGTTGGTTTTTTCCTTCAATAGTCAGTTCCGAGTTTCCTTCAGCAAACGTTTTGGTGTCCTTAAAAAGTGGGGTACGGGCACCGTGTCGAGACAAAATGACGGCCGCAATAGGGACCGGTTCGCAGTAAGCGGGAATGAGGTGCCCTAGATGGGGAGATGAGCGAATGGGATTCTAGGCAAAAGCGTACGTTCATCATATTTACCGATGACAAGCAATGTCCCAAGGAACAATTTCCAATTCATCCGAGAAAGCATGGCGGGTGTCAACAAAGGAAAAGATGGGGATCCCAGGAAGTGTGATGAGGGTCCCATATGTGTTTAAATACCCCACTCTTATCGTCTCCCCTGGGATACTATCGGACCTGATAACGTATACAAGCCACAACTCAAATGAGTGGTTTGACTTGGTTTGATCCAATGTCTCCCGTGGGCAACTATGGAACATTCCCGTTCCACTGGCTTTCATTGGCCAAATGGAAGCCCGTTCAGCGTATATCTAGCTTCTCTCCAGCTGGAAAACCAATAGGGTTATGCAAGTAACTCAAATGACTGGAGCCTTTTTGGAATACGGTACGAGAATTATCGCAAGGAAAGCTTCCTGCATTAAGCAGGGTCAGCAGAGGAGTCGATTTTCATGATAGCACTTATCGCCGTAATCCGAGCTGCTGGACTCCACGCCCAGTGTTCAACCTGCCATTCATGATCAAAGCTTGCCTGCAAAGCAATTTACTGGCCTTCCAAATAATCCTATCCCAGGTTCATTGATGCATGGATAGGTTATGCATCCTCGGCATTCTGTGTTTTATCACTCTACCCTTGCAGGCAAGAATCGTCGAGCGTTTGATACACTGCGCTTGGGGCTTTCTGAATTTTGAATTCTGAAATCGTTGCCTGTTACCACTAACCCGAGATGCCATTAATTTCCTGATTATCGTAAGCGCCTTGTGGGCGGACTTTTTCAGACTGCCCTTTCCAGAATGAGTACTTGGGGACAGTGAAAGATGCATCATACTCACGACCTGTTTATCCAAGTCGTTGTACGTCGGTAAGGATATCGTCAGATGTGCGGCCCTGTCTCTTCACATGTTACCTGTAACTTCCACGTTATGAAACTTATGTTCACTCTGTCTTGTTTTGAGAATATATGCTTACATGTCTGGCAGTGGTATGCAAATTCTGATGTGAATCTCACTGCGGAAAGTAAAGTTCCGCGCTTCCCATGGGGAATTCCCCATCCGATCGTGGGTGCTGTGCCATCCCCGGCACGGTGTTGAAATGCAAGCGATAAGCTACAGAGGGAATGAGGACGATTCGCCCGATTTTTCGAGCACACAGTAGGCTTTTAAAGGGCCAATATCATTCTGTTCACGCTTTCTGTTGCTTTCTTGTGCAAAATCTTCCCTGCTCACGTCTACAAGCCAATACACAATTTACTGTACCATTCCGTACTTGTAGTCTTTCAACCATGACTGCCGACAGCAAGAAACCGCTCGATGGAAAAGCATCTCAGAGCAATAGCCCCATCAATACCACTGAAAGGGTCAAGCGACTTAGGGAGATCATGCGTGAAAACGGACTTCACGCGTACATTGTGCCCTCGGAAGATGCGCACCAAGTACGTAAGATTCGAGTTGCCGGCTGAAATGGATCTAACCCAAGGGTTTCCTTACAGAGTGAATATCTCGCTGACCGAGATGCTCGACGAGCCTTTGTATCGGGATTTACAGGGTCTGCAGGTTGGCTTCTTTCACAAGGCTTGCCGAATCGTATAGATCTTTGCTAGATCTTTATTTATCGCGACTCGCTAGGCCTTGCGGTCATAACTTTGGAACAGGCTGCCCTATGGACCGATGGCCGATATTTTCTACAAGCCTCCCAACAGCTTGACGCTAACTGGACTCTGATGAAGAGTGGCCTGCCTGATGTTCCCAGCAAAGAAGAATGGCTGGTTAAAGTAAGCGCACAATGAAACGCCTCAGCAATTCATAAGCCATTCAACAGTCTCCTTTAGGTCCTTCCCAAGGAATCGAAAGTTGGTGTTGATCCGAAGCTCTTCACCGTTGGTAAGAATCGATGAAGGTTCGACGCGCTTCTTTCTGCGGATATTAATCGCCTATCCTGTTCTGAAAGGCGCCGCACGGCAGCTGGCGGAGGCCCTAACAAAGGAGGGACACTCGTTAGTGAGCATACACGAGAACCTTGTTGATAAAGTTTGGGGTGCGGACCAGCCATCAATGCCACCCCACAAGATCATTGTTCATCCGATTGCATATTCCGGTGCGTTATGGGTCCGCTTCAATTTTGGGATGTAAGCCAACTCTTCGCAGGCAAGTCTAGTGAAGAGAAAATTGCAGCCTTGCGGGAACAAATTGAGAAGAAGAAGACTTATGGATTCATTGTAACCGCCTTGGACGAGATAGCTTGTAAGTTCCGTCCGGAAGACATACAGAATCATGCCTTCTTCTGACGCGATTCTATAAGGGCTCTTCAACCTTCGTGGGTCTGATATTGCCTATAATCCCGTCTTTTTCGCATATGCCTTGGTCACCCGTGATGAGGTGCTTCTGTATGTGGATGAGAACAAGCTGACCAACGAGGTGTGATATTCGCAAGTGAAATTTATCAGAAGTACACCAAAATGCTAAATACTTTTATAATATCACAGGTGAAGGAGCACCTGGGCTCCACAGTAAAAATACGCCCGTATGAAGCTGTCTTTCAAGATGTCAAACAATTCGGGGCTCAAAAGCAGGGAGAAGTGAGTTCAGTAATCATATATCCTTCGGCCTGCTTCCACTTAAATTCTTTAACCATTCTAGAAGCTTTGGATTGACAGCCGGTGCTCCCTGGCTCTTCAAGACGCGCTGGGTGGAAGCGTAAGTAACCGAGCCCTTCAGATAGGCAGGTGGCCCCATCTGGATCATCCTTTGCTTTTTCCAGCAATACGTCAGCGAATCGCGATCGCCAGTAATGACAGCAAAGGCCATCAAAAATGAAGCAGAATTAGAAGGATTTCGTCAGTCTCACATCAGGTGCGATGCGTTATTTTCAGATTAGAATGAGCTTTGCTGCAACTGGTTGACTCTATCTTTCAGGGACGCTGCTGCCTTGGTACGTTTGAAATCTCATCTCTCGGATCCAATGTTATAATTTTTCAAAGTTTGTTTCCTAAATCGACCGTGTCACCGAACAGTGCGAATACTTTGCATGGCTGGAGAAGGAACTGGTTGAGAACAAAGCAGCACTCGCTGAGGTTGAAGCAGCTGACAAGTTGGAAAGTCTCCGCAGGTGACATATATCACGATTTTGTCTTCCTTCTCCCGTTGTCGTTGCTGACTATTCTAACAAAGGAAGCAAAAGGATTTCGTTGGGTTAAGTTTTGATACAATCTCATCAACTGGACCCAACGGTGCCATCATTCACTACAAGCCTGAACGCGAAACCTGCGCGACCATCCAGGTGGATCAATTGTACCTGTGCGATTCTGGTGCTCAATACAAGTAAGCTACTGGGGCAGAGTGATAGCCTTGATGCCATTGGCGCATATGAACAACTGTCTTTAGGGACGGGACGACGGATGTTACCCGCACGCTTCACTTTGGCACGCCAACGGCAGAGGAAAAGGATGCTTTTACTCGAGTGCTGAAAGGACATATCCAAATCGACATGGCCGTGTTCCCCCGTGGAACAACTGGCTACCTTCTAGACGTCCTCGCCAGAGTCCCTCTCTGGAAGGCAGGTCTTGACTTTCGACACGGTACCGGTCACGGCGTTGGATCCTTCTTGAATGTGCATGAGGGTAGGCCAAGACAAACTGGTCAATGGAAGAGCAACAATTTGAACCTAACTGCTTTTATAAGGACCCCATGGCATCGGTACTAGGATCGCCTACAATGATGTGCAGCTGGAGGCAGGAATGACGGTGACCAACGGTATATACATGGCGAGCTTATTATATTGACGTATTGTACAAATTGACGTCATTACCTTTATTCACAATCAGAGCCCGGATACTACAAAGAGGGGTCCTTTGGCATCCGAATCGAAAATGTCCTTTTGATTCGCGATGTGAAGACTCCCCACAACTTTGGGGATCGCGGATACCTCGGCTTTGAGCACGTCACCCTGGTTCCGATCCAGACGAGCCTGGTCGATATTGGCCTCTTAACTCCAGAGGAAAGAGACTGGTTGAATGCGTATCACACTCGGTGCTGGGATAGGGTACATCCCTTGTTGCAAGAAGGAAGCGACGGATGGAAGTGGCTCAAGAGGCACACTCAGAAGATCTGATATGTGTCCAGCGTAGGATAGATGTGATAGATGTACGTCTAGTGATAGGGAGAATGGTTACAAGTCAGCTTGCATGAAAGACAGTCCGTGCACTGCAACTATGACTTCTGTGTCAATCCTTTCTGCATGTTACGGTAGCCGACGTCAAGCATACCTCTAGGTGGCTTGCATATTCATGAAAACCAGTTCGGGCTTAATTACCCACCTGACCAGCGCGTTCACTTCCAGTTCGCCCATCACGTCGTTCACCTTGGCCATTTCACACAATGGCTGCAGGATGGTCCATAGAGGAAATAACAAAGTTTTATGGTTCATATGCAAAGTCATACGATGAGGATATCGAGAAAGAGACCTATCCTGCCCCATTTATAATAGCTAACTGGGTGTTGGAGCATTTTTCAAATATGGTCCCAGACCAAGATTACCTCGCGTTTCTAGATCTCGGGTGTGGGACTGGACAGAGGTGCGTTGTGATCGTCGTTGGTTCTTCCAGTTTTATTTCCCAACTCTTTAGCTCCCTTTTCATATCTGCGTAGCTCAAAGCTGTTCTTCACTCAGCCGCTGTCACAACGAATTGATGTCTATGGAGTGGACGCGACTCCAGAGGTACTTTTGTTGGAGGTTACTTGCCCTGTTTGCTACGTATCCTCATCCATTTCCCAATGCACTTAGATGTTGGACAAGGCGAAACAGTTTCCATTCCGAGAGCTTCTCTGTCAAGATATAGAGGCAGACATACCCTTTGCTCGGGTTTTTGATGCCATCAGTACGTCCAATTCGCAATGTTTGATCTTTCGCAAGCACTCAAGTTCTTTGGAAGTTTGCGTCGGGGTTCTAGATTTTGTCAAGAACCCTCAGAACCTATTCACGTCCGTAGCAAGATCGCTCAAACAGAATGGTCAGGGGTGTTTCGCGGTTACTTTGCCAGAATCCGGCGGACTGAACACCTTCGCGGAGGCGGATATACTCAAACTGGTCAACGAAGCTGGATTCAAGATCAAAAAGAACGATAGATTTTTTGGATACGAGGACTCGGAGACCAAGGTCACCGTCCATTACCATGGTTTATTATTGACCCTTTGATGGGCTCTGAAACTAGACGTGCCTGCGCCGAAATTCAGAATAAATTAAGTGCTGAGGAATAGATAATCATCCATCTCAATCTGGATTCTGAGCAACCGCTAATGCATAATCGTGCATTGCACCGGATATGTTGGCTTGATGACCACGGCTAAAATGGAAACAGAGATTTGATTAGCGTGCCGCTGTACTAAAGGGAGCCAGACTCTTTAGAACATACGCGTCTCCACGTCTTGTGTGCGCTAGACTGTCTAAGGGGCATAAGGCGAGTACTTTGCTGTAGTCTCTTTCGGCGTCTTCATGTCGATCTATATTTGCCGAATGGAAGATATGAGCCGTTAGGCGAAAGGTGGTCTGCAAGGTAGTATGATACGATACCCAGTGTCTGCATGACGTGTCCTCTGTTGAAAAACACCTCAGGAATGGACGGATTAAGATCTGCCGCGTGGTCAAAGTCTGCCAATGCACCCGTCGTATCTAGAACACAGATGCATCAATGATCACAGTCTGTCAGCAAAGATCGATCCGGGCGATTACCTTTCAATATCGCTTTCGTGATTCCCCGATTCACGTATGCAGAGACCATACTAGGACTGAGTTGCAGTGTCTTTAGGGATGAAAGGTTCAGTTAACATGACTGAGTGAGGAGTTCTACCAAATAGCTGCATACCGCGTCGTACGCTTCCAGAGCTTGCTCCCAACGCTTCTGATAGAAGTACAGGTTGGCGGCATTGAGATGCGCCAAGGCGTAGGATGGGTTGTATTTGATTGCGAGCTATCCAGAACAGATATTCATTGAGGGTTGCAGAAGACAAATAATCACACAATTCTTCATCACGCTATTCTTACCTTATAGTTCTGTAATGCCGATACATTGTCTCCAAGCGCTTGGTAAACGACCCCTCGGTTCGTCAGGTACTCACAGTTATGCGGAGATAGTTCCTGTGGTTGTTCGCAATCAGTACCTCGTCCCGGTTATGTCACACTGCTCAGGCACTCACAATCGCCTTGCAGATATCCACTAAGGCACCAAAGAAATTCTTCAAAGCAAAATGGACCACCGACCGACCCTCTAGTGCCTCCTCACACTTCGGATCGAGAACGAGGGCCGTGCTAAATAGATCATACGCCTGATGGGGAACCTGTGTGAGTAGATATGTTCCAGTAGCTAGACACCACGAAAGTTCTCTGACGCTTACTCTTTTTGGCCGATTTTCAGCCTGCATGGTGTAAGCCATATTTACGAGGGCCTCGCTACATCGTGGATACAGGTGCAGAACGCGCAGATAATCCTTCCGAGCGCTCGTTGTCAGACCTTGCGATGCATACACGTTGCCACGACCCAAGTAAGCCTCAGTCATGTACGGATTGACGGCGATGGCCTAGAGTATGCGGCATCAATCAACGAAATTTAGATCACCGTGGTCGTAGACGCCATGATGTAGAAGACTTACCGCCGAAAACGCTTCCACGCTTTCTTGCACCTTGCCCAAGGTTTGTAGGCATAGTCCCAACAGGCCATGCAGTCGCGGATCTTCTGGAAATGCATCGCGCGCAGCGTACAGATCTAGCAGGGCATTCGCCGGGTCGCCTTGCTTCCAGTACAGTAACCCACGGTTCCGATAGGCATTCTATATGGCTTTCATTACAAGATGTTTCCATATTTTTTTCCCTTCAAATTCTTACCGAATCGTTGTGAAGCAGCATTGCGATACTGTAATCTTTGATTGCGCTCTGGTCATCCCCCATAAGTTGATACGTCACCGCGCGGTTGTAAAAGGCAAAGTGTGATGTCTAGGCAATGCAACATTTAATTGAAGTGTGTCTGTATATCGAACTCGCAATTCTTAATTACCCTGTCCAAAGCGACCGCCCGGGTAAAATCGTTGAGAGCAAGCGTGAACTGGTGCAACTTGCAATTGCAAGCGCCTCGAAGCAAGTAAGCGCGAATACTTGTGGGTTCAATTTTTAAAGCCTCATTGCAGTCATCGACACCATTTACATAGTTCCCTTTTGGATAGATTTTGTGAGTATTGGGAGCGTTTTCTAGTTCTTCCTTAACTTGTCAGAGGAAAAATACCTTTCAGATGGTGATAACTCGCTCTAGTCATATATGATTCGAAGAATTTCGGATCTAGCTTAATTGCCGTCCCCAGGTCCTCCACACCTTCCTGATCTTGGAGATGAAGCTTGGAAAGACCTCGGTGGTAATATGCTTTGGCAAAGTCCGGCTTGAGCAATATACAAGAGGTGAGCTCCTTGACGGCGCTGGCCCAGTCCTGAAGGTTCTCAAAGCATATCCCTCGTTGAAGGTAGATTTGGGGCTCTCTCTTGTTGTACTTCAGTGCTTGACCCAAATCCTTTAATGCGCCTAAGAGAACACAAGCACACCTTAGCTCTTTGCCAACACATTGTCAAGCATTTCCTTGCGCTGGAATATGCATCCCGTTACCTTCATTGTCACCACAGTTTATT